GCATACATGCGTGCGTGCGTGCGTGCGTGTGTGCGTGCGTGCGTGCGTGTGGGTATGATGGGGCTATGACCATTCAGCCATTGGTAGTGACTGGCATGAGAAAAAGACGAAGAAGTTTGCAGAACACGTAGATTGGGCGAGTTCCACTCTAAACCACCTTCATGTGGGGGATGAGGGCAGCAGAAGGAGGACAACGCAATGGCAACCGAAGTCGTATGACTGCATCTGGTTGGTGAAATAGCCTGGATTGTTAGTTCAATCAGTAGGGTATGGGTGCTGTCAAGTGCGATTCTGATACCTACCGTACTTTGTCAAATGGCGGGCCTAAGGAGTTCTTTCCTAAGATAATACGCTGACTTTCCTCGCGTCCACAGGACATTGTTGAGTTTGCGAAGCGAAGAGAACGGGAAAAGAAGCTGGATCGTTACATCCTGGATAACTTCCGGTTCAGTGACGATGCCAGCAAAAAGAAAGGGGTGAGAAACGCTTCTTTGGCGCGGGAAAGCCTGGTGCTGGTATTTCTATGCATGCTTCGGTGATCTTGCGCTGGTAACCTGGCTGCACTGTGGGCAGGGGCGGCGCAACAGGGGGAGGGGGGACAAATGGGGCCATTGCCCCTCCTCCTCTACCGGCAGGCAGAGGGAAGAGTAAATCCCCCAAAACAAGAAATTGGGAGACCCCATTTCCCCAAACTAAAGGCGTTGTAACGTAACGTAGATTACCAAGGCTCAGATCAAGGACGCCCCTATAAGTGGGCTAGAGAATAAACAATCTGACTCAGATCATTTTCTACATTAAGAGTCCCGTTTTTTGGATTATCAGGTGACCTTTATGAAAAAGTAGGTCATGCTCTAGACCACAAGGCACAATGTTTTGCTATGGTTTTGTTGGCTTGGCTTGGCTTGTTCGCTCTTTGTTGGCTTTGCTGGCTATAAACTACGAGGCCCTGTTGCGGGCTAGGAGGCAATATCTATATTCAGGCCCGCATTTCTGGAGCTGGGGCCCTTTTCATGCATCAGATGGCCGCGGTTCCGAACCGGGATACCCTGTTTTGCGATAGCGTGGCCCCTTGGCTGGATCTGGACGCCCGCCTCGTGAATCAGATGCACCTTGTTCTGGAACGGGAGATACGTTTGTGAATCATAACCTGTTTTTAGGCTATCGAGATCATTTTGCTTGGATAACTTGAAGAACCCCCCTCCCCTTTTAAAATTGGGCACATTTATTTACTTGGATATTATGCAACTGCTTGATAAAGGAGTATATGTCCTCGATGCCCCCCCCCCCCCCCACCGCTCCGTGAATAATTAACTGTCCAGGAGCCCCCCCCCCCCCTTGAAGATCCTGTCCCCTTGAAGTCCGTGGCGTCGCCCCAGACTGTGGGACTTAGCACCGCCAATGCAAAGGTGTGGCCCTGCGAAAAGAAAGATGTAGTTTTTACTGCCCTGTAGCTGGGGTTAGTTGAGCTCGACCCATCTCTGCCGATAGCAGATTAAATAAAAAAAACATTATTGGAGCGCCACATGGTTGCAACTTCGCCCTCTCCCATTCTGTGTGCCAAAAATATGTGCACATATACTACGAATATAAAAAGCCTGTGGATATTCACTACACACTACACAAGCGCTCTTGAGTTATCAACCTCAAACTAAAGTTGTCATCAAATTAAAAAAAGATGCGCAGCACGTTGGCGTTGGCAGCACGTCGCTCTTGCCTCCGGCCTGCTTTCATGGCGTCATTGTCCAGAACATGGCCGCCTGCGTCGCTGCGCGGGCCGCCTCACTGCAGTCAACATTGCAGTCCGTTCCGGTGCTTTCAGGAGCTGGGCGAATCCTGACTAATGCGGCTGAATATACGGATCTCGTACCAGGTGTAGAGCGGTCCACCGACACGGGCTGCGGTGGGCAGCGCTGGCGGCCGTGTGCGCTCCCTTCCCCGCGGAGGAGGAGGCGCTCAGATCAGGCCGCTACTCTGTTACCAGACAGCATCGCCATTGACAACACTGCCGCCACTCGCACCGCCATACCATCCCTATATTCGCTGCTGACGCGTGGTCCGGGCTGTCGCGAACTTCGACGTCCTCCTGCCGCTGTCTGGCCTTCTACAGCTGGGCCGCAGCTCGGAGACACGGTCGTGCTGTCCGGGTTTTTCGCAAAGCATGTGCCGTTTGCTAACGTTTGTCCAACGTGTTGTCCTCCATCGACTGTTGTCCGCTTTGCGCCAGTTTGCGTCGTTGCAGGTGCATCGTCGTTGTCTACGCAGTTCTCGGGCGCGGTTGAGCAAGGGTGCATGCTGACATATAACCTCTTGACGCCGCTTTGTCAGCATACCAGGCATTTATCTTAGGAGTATTTTGTGACATTGTAAGTCAGTGTATCGCCCGGGCGTTCGGTTGGGGTGCAGCGACACTGCGTCTAAAAAGGGTTTGAGAAACCCTGGAAAGACACGCAATAAATGGTACGCACGGCGTATATTTTTATCTGGCTGACCACATTCTCACCATATGCAAATGCATCTTTCCACCGGATCAGTGTTGTACGACGTCTAAAAAATTGTAAGACATGATGCGATTCAAACTGACACGGATCAGATGAGTTTATGCCTATTGTGCAGTGTTACTGAATGGACGCTGAGAAACACTTGTGAACAGCTGATTAATACAATTTAGAAGTGTTCATGAGAGTCACTGGAGATGATGCCGTTGTCATGCATCTCGTCATACAGCGGAGATTGCTGCCACATATAGTATATGTTTGCGTTAAGCCGAGTGTGCCTAGTCAAGTTAGGAATTTTGACTGTGCGCATAGGATGGTATGGAATTTTGATTTACAAATTTTGGTGTCGCTGGTTTCTACAAATTCGCCTCCACTGACGACATAATGCTGTAGCCCCAAATTTTATTTGGTTTGTATGGAAGAACAAAGTTATCCGGTAGCCCCCAAGCAACATTCGCTACCTAACACGTCGACATCATTGGGAAGGTATCGTTAGCTCTGCTTAATGACTTTTCGAGGATGTCGATTATCAGCGCTGACAGCAGCTTGCGAACGGGGGATGGCGGCCATTATGTTGTTTTTTGTTTACAATCAGCTGAGGGTTGCGAGTGTACGAGTTTAGACGTATGGCAAGGCTGGTCAGTTGATACACACCAATTCATGTCGGCCTACTATATACTTAGATGAGGAACAAGTATTGTGTCGCGTTAATCGGCTGCACCAGGCTCGAGGAAAATCTGATTGCTCTTCGTTGCTTACCAACCAAACAATGGCCGAGTTTCTAGCGCGCAGTTACCCGCAACATAGAAGCCAGCGTGTTCGTCCTTTCCTGCCCGCTGATTGGTTTATCTTTCAGGATTGTTCTTGTTCACGCAGAGCCATCGATGGGATCGATAAAAATGAATAAACAAAAACTGTTGCAAGACCCAAATGCACATTTAGCAACCAAAATGAACCATACATAATTCCAAATTCCCCCTAGGCGTGTTTTGAGAAAGCCGAAAACTTTGGACACACTCCCTTTAAAGGCAGCGGTCCCTGTTTGTATAGTGCTTTGAGCTGAAATGGCCACCTTGAAGATCATTTAGGTCAGTTCAGAGCCCTGCTCTTCTTAAGACTTAAAACTCTTCAGTTGTTGAGCTACACTCATTCAAAGATGTGAAGACTATTTTGTGTCGACTATTTCAAGGTTACCAAGGCATTCATGATGTCATGATAACGCCATTTACATCCTGCCATTTCACTGGCCATGCAGTATTCAAGGTCCATAAAGCTAGAATTGTCGAGTTGTTCATATCTGGCGTGTGTGAGCACGATTTTCAGATGTGGTAACCGTTCATTGCATAGGCGTTAGAATGTTTCAGAACGTGAGGGCCAAGCTCAGGGCGTACTTCAGGAACTTCTTCTGGTAATCAAGCCCGATGGCCGGGGGTAGGTGTAGAAATGGAGGTTATTATCGCTCTTTATTCAAATGTCATAGCTGCTATGCTAGATATGCATCTAGAGCTGCTTCTCACTAGTGCACAATCTTGCCCTTTCGACTCATCTATGTCATCCGGCAAATAAGGCTATTCAGATTCCCAAGATTATGCGGCCATTTCAGTATGGGGAGGCGAAACTTCACGAGCGGATAGACGTTTTGGGGCATTGATTAGCATCTGCCTCCACAGGGTGGATACCAAAATACGGCCTGAAGTTAGGCTGGTGAGCATATTGAACGTGAATCGATGGCTCACAGTGCAAGACTTATCACAGCATTTTAGTCGGAAGCAAATTCGGAAGCTTGAAACTGCCAAAGCAACGTGACAAAAGCCATAAACTGAAAATTATTTAAAAACCAAGCTACAGAATGAAAGACCTATCATATATTCCTTATCTGGGCTCTGCTTCCGTCCGCCGTCGGCGGCCACTACCCTGGCCCGGCTGTCTCCCGCATGAACGACTGCGAACTGATCGTATGGCTGCTTTGTTGCATATTTCTGGAACAGCATTGCTGCTAAATCGTGTGTAAAACATATGGTGGACAACTGCAACAATATCTTTTTCCCAGTTGTCTTCCTTTACACCACACCACCCCAGAAAAAGCCCCCTGCGAAGCTGCCTGTTTTAGGTATGAATTGGTCCAACGGATATTTAATTTCCACCATGCAACGCAGGCAACTTGATCTGCCTTTGTATAAAAGCGGGGACGTAACCAGAGTCTTGCCAAGGGGGACACAGAGTTGGCAAAGGGCCCTCTTATGGTAACCCCCCAAAATCCTTAGATATAGTTTAGTTGTTAACAAGGGATACAGTTTTCTTCGTTTTGTTCTTATTTTTACCTTACAACCAGAACAGAAACCCCAGCTACCATGAGATCAATTCTGTTTGCATTTGGAAGTCCATATGTACCCTGCAAACATCATGCGCCAAACGACCGCATGAAATAAATTACTGACGCCCTTGATTTACAATAGTTAAGTGGACTTTTTCAAAACCGATACAAATCAGAAGCTTTGTCAAAATTGTTTATTTGGATTCCACAGACATTAAAGACATCGTGAGGGTAGATTGTGGATCGCCATGTTTGATCGAAATTTGGAGATGAAACTTTGATCGAAGATTGAGTGGTCAACAAAGTGTTTGGCACGGCCAAGCCATATCAATACACTTGTTAAGTCACATGCCAAGGTGGATGAAAATAGTGACGCCTCTGAAGTAATTCCCTTTAGACACTCAAATCGATTAGTGACACAGGCTATGTAACGAAGTTTTGAGCATGCGCAATCGCAAATCTTGGCAATCAGAACCTCGACGCCAGGCGTTGCAGTCTCCGAATGCCGCGCAGTGTCGGTCTAGTAGCTAACGCTGCGATGTGGTTAATGGGTGGACGAAAATGATGACGCTTCTGAAAGAAGTACCTATGAGCGCTTCATACATTAAATCTTGAATATGGAAGGCAGTCTGGGCCCATATTTCACGTGTGCAATTTGTAAACTAATGATAGGAATGAATTGGCCTTCAAACCACCTCAAAGTGGGGCTGCAGTCTGGAGGTGGACGTTTAAGAGTTTTTTATTTTATTATTTTGTGTTTATTTTTCGTGTTCCTGTAACTATTAATCTGTCCTGAAGAGAGCTCAATACGTTGCCCGCGTCTGGTGGCACTTGCAGTGGCCGACGCCGTTCGGCTTTACGGCAGCTGCAACCCAGGCCATCGCTGTCCTTGCCCTCGAGGTTGCGGACGGGCATGTTCTCAAATCTTTTGGTGTAATCTGTTTCACTTATCCATTTTGAATAAGTGTACGTTCTCAGATAAATATGGGATTGCCTTTTTTGATTTTTTAAAAAATCATTTCGACACTCTCTATTCAACATTAATGAGACCCCACTCTACTTGATAGAGACCCCTCACTCCTTTCCGAGCAGTGGGCCCCTCGAGCAGAACACCAGGGGCACATTATCATTTTTGGTGAAGGGCTGAAGGGCCATTCTGTCCCATCGCGACGTGCCTTCTGACTATCATTGTGACGACACTCGGCGGGGTCTCCTGGTCGACTCGGAGATCATTAGGAGGATATACCATGTCACATTGTTCCCTTCCCTAACACGGGAAGCCTTCTGACCCGCACATTTGACCCCCAATCAGCACAAGAACCCTCACTGATGCAACAATATCCCTGATCGCCGCAGGTGGTCCAATAATTGTCACATACACCCCAGTTCCATGCTATTCTGTGTTCATCGCAGATATTGAAGACTCTCTGAACGTAGATTGCAGGTCCTGAAATGTTCAAAATTCGGTCAGAGTGGATTACCGATAAAAACTATGTAAAATGGTTGCAGCCCGTAAAGCTGCATATATAGCTCGTAGCTCGTAAATAGCTCGTAAAAAAGCTCGTAAATAAAAAGCTCGTAAGTCGCAGCAACGGGTCTCGACGTCGGGCGTTGCAGTCTCCATAGGCCTCGTGGCGTCGGCTCTGCGCCTGTGGTACTTAGCGATAGCCAATGAGTAATCGAAAAAGATGACAATCCTTGAGGAAGATGGCTGAAACACAAGCGCCGAGCAATGTTTGGTTCAGCACACAGCCAGCTCCGCCGCGGGCAACCTGTCGGGAGATTGCAGAGCTACAAGTGAGTGCTGTCTTACAAATGTTTCAGGACGCAATCAATGACGTATTGAGGAGCATATTTATTAAACATCGAAATTGTGTTGTTAAGAGCAATTTTCCACTTAAAAGCATACTAATCGTTATAAGTTAGTTTATTTCACCATACCTGATGCTAACCTCAATATCGTGAAATATGCAACATTCGGTTTCAACGGAAATTCATGGCCTTTAAAGGGAATGTTCCACATTCGAAGATATTAAACCAAGTGTTAGATGTGATGAAATAAGCTCAATTTAAACTATTGATATACTTTTAAGTGGAAAAGACTGCTATATCTGTATGCTCTGTCTGTAGACAACACAATCTCTCCTTTTAGTAGATATGCTTTTCAATACGTCAATTTGATTGCGTTTTTGAAAGTGATGTATGACGTCGAGGTGCTGCCAAACTAGGCGTGCGAAATTGCCACCCTAGCACTCACAGGTAGTACTTCAACTTATTGAAAGATGGCAGTGGCGTTACTGGAAGTGTTCACTGAGCCATATATCGTTATGTACTGGTTTTTACCTTGTCTCGTGGTGTTCTTGCATTTTTATTCGTGCATTTAAGATGTTAACTTATCTTTACATGCTTGGTTATCGCAAGGGGAAGATTCCTCAGGCGCTTGCAGCCATTTCCCGATAATATGCTTCTTGGCCTTGAATGTTGCATCGCCTATAGGGTGACAGGATTTGGATGAAGTTGGTGTGGCGTCATGCATGCCTGAATGGCCTTGTAATATTCTGCACAAAAATAGTCTGCAAAGCTTTGCGGGCGTGTAACTCAGAAGCTGGGGTGTTGTAGGTTTGTAGAACTAAGAACCTTACATTAGATCCCAGGACTGTGAACTGCACCGAATGATCTTTGAAATGTCTGTTTCAGTTCAAAACCCCATACAAATGTGGAAGGCTCACTCAAGTTATACTGCATTTGCAAAGCCATGACTGCCAGGCAGTGGAGCATTTAGCGTCAGGGGCAGTATTTGGAGCTGTTCACCGGACAGCACAAAGTGCTTCATCCACTTATTGCCTGTGCCGCATGTGCCGGGGCTTGTTACGAAAGTACCTAATCGGAGCAGCTACCACAACTGTGAGCGTTTCTCAGTCGAAATGAAAGAGAATCTTCGGGTCTGCACGTAGCATCTTAGGCATGCTTTCTATATGTTTTCAAAATGTTCCCGTCTCTGTCAAAACGGTCACTTCTTGTCAGGCGCTTTGCGTCAAGCGTGCTGTAATACATCGATTGATACTGTACCGTTCGCATTCCATTGAAGCTGCCCACGTCGTACAGCATACATTGGGGCTGCAGCGTCATGGTGTTTCCCTGCCTGCCGGTTTGTGAGAGAAGTTTTCAGTAATGTCCCTGGGAGCAGAGTGAATGGCCAGACCAAAAAACTATCGCGACTCGGGCTGCGGTGAGTCAACTGGATTCTATCTGGACCTAAAACGTAGTCTATTTCTGGCATGGAATTGATCTCCGGTGAGATACAACAAATGCATGGAAAACAAGCTTGGTTCCATGCACCACGCCGCACACTGGACACTCCAGTCTTCACGCATCACAAAGTAACACAATAAACCACCCGCACTGCCAGGCATTCGTCGTGATACACCCATTGCTGACGTTTTTTGTTGCATGTCCGGCTGTGCTGGTGCGTGCTTTTTGGGACAGAAAACTATCGGTGTGGCTGATTTCCCACCGCACATTCCACACACCAACAGCATAGCGCTGGCCACGGAGTGGCGCACGGCCTCGTGAGGCGGCTCTCTCAGCGCAAGAGGACGTTCGGTTCGCTGCCGTGGCCGTGACATGTGCGCGTCTCTCTGCCTGCGCCAACAGGAGACTGGTGCGAGATTACCGCCCAGGACGGACCAGCAGGCCAGCTCGGACAGCCAGCCGACGGCTGACCGCGACGCTCGCGCAGAACCGGCGGCCGATGCGACCGAGGATGTGGAAGCCCGGCATGCCGCAAGCGTAGACCCGGGCCCCATCCGGAATGAGGAGTTAGATTCAGACCCTGAGATCATTCCAGATCCTGACAGCGATCCAGACCACGCGATCACTTCGGACTCAAGCAGCCCGACTGATTTGAACCATGCGGTTAGTACGGAATCCCCTGACAGATCGGATCGGGACAAAAAGCCAAATCCAGAGCCTAGGCCAGCAGTTAGAGATGAACCTGACAGGAAGCTAGACGCAGAGAGCATCGAGTTACGTCCAAAAACTAAGACTAGACATGCCGCTGAGATCAGCCCAGGTCATGAACCAGCTCCAGACCTGGTGACAAGTCAAGCCGACCCTCAGACCAATCCCACCGCTGACACCAGTGCGAAGCGGTCGGCCCGTTTGGTGAACAACCGGTTGCTGGAGCTGCATGACCGGGTGCTGGCCGGTCCGCCGTGGCGCCCACTCGGCGCCTGGCTCGAGAGGACCCACGTGACCAGCGGCCCCGCCGAGCTGCGCGGCGAACATCGGTTTGTGGCCGACGGCATGCTGACGTCACGCGACTGCCGCCGGCTGATCGACATCCTGCAGGTCAGCGATAGTCCGCTCGGTTCATGTTCTAGTTGCACGCGCGGACACAGATCGAGGCTCAGCTGTCTGTCAGATGCAAACGCAAATGACTGTGGCAACAGGCGAAACGAGCAACGTTTTCGGCCAAGGCCAGACACGTGTGAGGATCAGGGGATATGAAAGTTATTGACGCGCACGAGTGTAGTCTTCATTTGTTCTGCACAAGGTATACACGAGGAATAAGCGCTAAGGCAGAATGATCCTGTCAGGCAGGTAGCCATAGTTTTTTCGGAGGAGAACAGGAGGGCGATGTCATGTTTTCTCAACCTCCTGTGACTTTAAACACCATCCCCACGAAATCCATCGATAGCTAACGTAAACGTCTTGACTCGAGCGGGGTAGCATGGCCCACGTGGTCTCTCTTGGTCACGTTACTCCAGTGGTGTTGAAATGCCTCAATAGTTCCAACGAACAGCTAATTGTCTTCCACGTAAACATGAGCCCGCATTAAGAAACTCTCAAATACGTGAGTTTACCCTGGCTCGGGCTTGTATCGATGAATTCTGCTCAAAGCCCTCCTTGTTGTACGTGTAAACGGTTCCGACACACAGCAAGCGGTTTGCAGTGTTCCGCTCTTGCAGGCAGCGGGAGTGGCGGGCGACGGATACCGCCAGAGGGTACCGCACACTCCGTTTGAAGAGTTTCGCGGTCTGTCGTTCGGCCGCCTTGTCGTGGTGAGCTATCCACAGAACCGTTTCGTTTATTGGAATCGCATCGTTCTCATTTTTACGTTCCTCTTTGCCTCATCGCATAATGGCACTAACATACATTGCACTCTGTGAATTTTAAATATTACCTATCAGCAAATACATTTTTAAACTGTCACATTTTATTGAAACAAAATCTGAAATATCCCATTAAAAACTGGGCTTTGCTAGCGCCTTAAGGAAATATTTTGATAAGTGCGATAGCATTAACCTGCTAGTTAAACTAATTATACCCGATGCCGCGTCCACGCTCCACCTGAGCACATCCGAATATGCTACCGCCCCCTCCGGAAACATGTGGTGCCGTCATGATGCCCTCTAAGCAGTGATCGCTGGAACCACGAAAGGCCAGGCCGCACCGCTGACCACGATCCGCTCCGGTCTGACATTTGACCGCGCCCGGCTTCAGAAGGTGGCACGAGACGAGGCGTCGCGGAACAGTCTGCGCTTCCTGATGGACGTGGCGGACGCGGCGAGGCTGTTCGTGGCCCGGCAGTTCGGCGTGGTCGAGCTCCACTCGTCCTACACACACCTGGTGGGCAGGACGTACCTGCCCGGTGAGTGCTGGCCACCAGAAGGTGCCCGCACGCTCTCTGTGCCTTGATGCGCCTTTTTCTCATCACGGCGACCTATCAACAGACCTTTTCGCTTGGTGGTAGCGTGTCACTGCAGCGCGCGACCGAAGCGGCCTCGATTGTCACGTACGAGTGTCTAATTTATTGACAAGTGTGACGGGCTGGGGCAAAAGCGTTACATGGACAGGATGTCGATCCCTCGTAAAAGCCGCACGGGCATGATTCAGGCCACCACATTGTACACTCGTTAGTCAAATAAAAGCAAGGCACCACAATGATTGCTGGGATGTGACAACAGTAAAAGCTCGGCGAACGTAAACGGACACGAAGTCAAAAACCATGAAGTGAGGGGTTAAAGAGTCAAACGTGATGAAGTCAAACGGCAAAAAGTCATGGTAGACATACATGAAATGCATAAAAGTTAAGCAGTAAAGGTCAAAGGAACAACAAATCAAATAGCAGGAACTGAAAAAGATAAGTCATGTGCAAAAAGTCGAATAGGCAGAAATGGAAAAGGATAGCAAGTGAAATGACGAAAAGTGGAATGTTGAATAGTCAAAAGATGAAAGTCAAACATAAAATCATCGGGGGTGAAAGCCAAAAGGCATAAAAACCACATAAATTACAGAGAAAAGGAGAGCTTGTTGCCCTTTGGCCTCTCCAATTACATATAAAACGGTAAAAAGGCAAGCTAAGAACTGCAAAACAAAATGAAACAGGTTCCTGGGATGCCTAAAGTAAACAAGCTAAAATACTCTCTTGCCCATTGGCCGGCAGTACATTCAGGTTAAATCCAGGAACTGAGGCCTTTCCATATCCACAGGAACTGTGCGTCTCAACTGCTTTCAAGCTGGGACTCCTTTAGATGTCAGCATCGCTCCTTGCACGCCTGCAGAGGCACGGGTCCGAAACTAGGGCATATGCAATTTTAGTGGAAGTCCCTGTTCAAGAAACCAGACCGGCGTGAACTAGGTGACCTAGGCATCCAGAGGCCCACTTGACTTCCGTGGAATCCGTGGTCCGTGGAAAACCACATCCATCTCAATATCTGCCCATACAGCTGCGAAGCATTATAACTTCGTTGACCAACTTTATCACAGTTTTTGATGCACAGTAGCTAATTACAAGGCGAACTACTTGTAACAATAACTGTGGCTCTTCACGATTTAAACCAGCCCAATCACAAAAAGCTGTCTCACCAGCAAAAAGTAAGTTTCCAGGTTTTAGTAGGTCCTCGTGTTTAACAGCGCTTTTTGTTTCTTTTAGTGGTCTCCGTGATCCAACAAATATGGTTAACTGTGCCTCCCCAGGGCTCAAAATGACTGAGAAACGTGATATACGTTTTGTTGAAATTGGGGAAGTCGGCATAGTCCTAAGGGGCTGGAATAAAGAATAGTGATAGGGCTGTTGATTGGCTCCCAATTGGCTCTGTTGATGACCGTCGATTGGCTCCCAATCAGTGTTGTGCAATGAACAATGACGTAACAAAAGAGTGTGTCGTATTGAGAATGATGCTTTCTTAACAAAAAAATTGTGTTGTTTTGAACAGTATTTTCCACATAAGAGTGCACCAGTGCATAAGAGAAGTTAGAGTGCATAAGGGTAGTAAAAAATGAGTTTCTTCTATCACATCTGATGATTGCTTCAATATCTTCAAATGTGGAACATTCCCTTTAAGGCAGCCTGAGTATCATGCTGTATCGACCACTGAGGTACCACCGCTGAAACCAATATGCTTTTTGGCAGGTCTGGGACAGAAACGTCCAGCCTCTGATCTGAGCCATCCAATCCACGTGGACAACTGTTTATTATTCGACAACGGAACGTGCTCGCGAGGCAAGGGCGCTTACATTCACCGCCACTACAGTGCCATCCTCTACCTGAACGACAACTTCAAAGGCGGCGAGTTTGTATTCGCCAGGGATCTGATCGATAGAAAGCCAGTGGTGAGTGTCGCTGCACGATCAAACAGTTTTGGACGAGACTGCTAGATTTAGAAATGTGGTTGCCAACCCCTTCGCATCGGCTGTGCATACGTCTCCCCCGTTGTCGCCGCAAAGCATTCCGCCCCAGCGTACCCAGCTCTAGGATGTGGGGTGAATCTTCACGCCCAATCTACAGGCATAGCTGTCCGCCCAGCCGTCGCAGTGCAGCGCCGGTGAGCTGTCCCACTGACCCAGCACCTCCTCGCGGCGGCGCCAGGTGCGCGTGCGCGCGCACTGCGGCAGACTGGTGGGCTTCTCGGCTGGCACGGAAAACCCGCACGGCGTACTGGCCGTCACGGCCGGCACCCGCTACGCCCTGGCCATGTGGTACACTGAGACGGCCGCGCAGCGCGAGGACGAGAAGATGGTCGCCGAGCTGTACCTGCACGACCCCAGCATGGCAGGTGCGAGTCCCGCGGAATGACCCGATCATGACGTGTGTGACCGTGTTGCCTGGTCCGGCTAAATTAGACATGGGTATTATTTCGCGACCGGAGAATGTAGGTCTTACTGCATGAGCCGAGCATGATGGGCACGAATTTCACTACGTGGCCTTCATCACGAAATCTATGTCGTCTCCCTGACGGACAGAGCACGGAGGACGTGGCTAACTACAAAAAAACAAAAACATTCCCTCCAAGCACGCTTTGCCTTGCTGCGCAGCAAGAGTCCTACTGATATACCTGCCCGCCAAAGTGCTTTTCCGCATCGACCATGCTTGTTAAGAGTATATTCCGAGTAAAATGAGAATATACCGTATCGTATGCGCTGAGTAAGCGCTGCACTGCAGCACTCAAAAGGTAAATGGACAAAAAGAAATGGTGGAGAGGACGAGATATGTTTGCCACGGTAGAGCCCACACCGCCATGGTGCCGTGCCTTTCTTCGATCTCTACTAAAAGCGCGGCGTGTTGTCTTGACTAGGAGAAAACAAGCGGATTTCCGGTCTTGTGAATGTGCACAAATCGCGAAAATCGCAACGCGAATTACTGACCGTTGAGCATCGGTTTCACAAACACAGGCAGCTAGACCTCGCCTTGAGTTACGTCGTGTTCTGGCAGCGGTGAAGAACATGGTTTCCGGACTGGACGCCAAATTCAAGAAGGTGGACAAAATGCTGGGCCACTAGAGATCGCTACTGAAAGAGGCCACGAGGCAACACGGCGGACGTACTGGCCTTCTGTACTGGACGCTGCGTACTGCCCAGACAGGCTGGCTGGCCTGGTATCCCGGCCAGCAGACAGCTTCCTCCTACCGAGGCCGCTGGGCTTCCCTGTGTGGGCAGGCGCGAGCCAAACAACTGTGATCTGTTTATTGAACGGGTTTGAGTTGGTGGAGGGGCGACAGGAAGCGGGAAAATCGATTACGGCTGCCGGCTGTGTGTTTGGGTACAGTGTTCTACGGTTTTCGTCTAAACTTTAGATGACCCCTTCCATTGTTTTCATTCGTCCTATTTGCTACGGATGGTCTTTGGTGTTGTTTAAATATGTGTTTGTTGATTGTTATCTTCACGTATTTTGTTCGTGCTCCAGTTCTGGCATATGATCGTTACGAGCTTCAATATTGTGCCAGGGGTCAGTGGTAGTGTGGTTAACGAACTCGCGAATTTCTCGGAGGAATGCTTTTTTAGTGCCAAGAGTAAACGTCGGCTGTGAGATAGTATAAACCAGGCAAAGGGGAACGACGACATCGCAGACTGGATGAGTGACTAGCTGGTGGCCGGGGCCCTGGTGCTGGTCGCGGCGGAGAGCGGGACATCCGACGGTCGGTTGCCCGCCCACCGGTGGGAGGTGCCACCTAACCCCACCAATCGCGTCAGGGAGATTATCCCACAACTATGCTGGGATCATGGTCCTAAAGTTAGAGTTTTATAAAGTAAAACGTTATCTCACACTGTTCCTCACCCGCATCGCATACAAACCGTAAAATGTGCTAGGATGCTGGGTTACTGCCAGCATCCTAGTATTTTAGTATATTTTACGATGCCATCATTTTGTCCTAGTCATCCAGGGGCGTACTAAAGTTTGGGGGGGGGGGGGGCGGGCGTTTCGGGCGGGCGTACGTTTCCGGTATCAGTTTCATATGTGTATTCAAACGCATATGAATAGACGCCGACTGTTAAAAACAGAAATACGTTAATTTCACGACACGTAAAAATACGTTAATTCCAAAGATGCGATTAAAATGATATGCAAGAAACTTCGCCCCTGCTATGCCCCAAAATGTTTTTCGTGGAAAATGTTAGCTGTGACAGTCATTGCAAGCTTCTGTACACAGTCATGCATGCAGCAACGACTTAAAATCAAAACCTTGAGCTACGATTGGGCTGATGCTCCCCGTATGTCTACACGGCGCGGTTTCAGAAGGGCTTGTGCTATAGTTGCGCTCTGCGGCGCAGGGCACTGCGCTGATGATCGGTCACCGACCCGCGGTACATATGTTAGCCAGTTCTTCTGCGGACTACCCTGACTGGCCGTAAGAGGCGATTTCCAACGGCCACGTAGAACTGCGGACATCTGGCCACTTTCTGTTGCCAACTGCTGCGCGGCGCCTGGGGAACCGAAGTGTGGGCCAGAGGCCCTTTCACCTGGGGCTGGACTTTGAACCCTACTACACGGGTTGCATTGCACCTCCAAACGAAATTGCGGCTTCGAAACGAATCACCGTGGTATTGTTAAGTACTCGGGTCTGTAAAACCTTTCGCAAGTCTGCGGCCGGCTCTGGGAAATTCCAAAGCGCGGCCAGTATGTAATGCCCTCCGAACATGTCAATTTTGGTTGCAGTGACCAAAAGCTATTCACCACATGTTGACCAGCTTTTATCAACTTCCACGAATCATTATGTTCACAGCTTCGCAGATTAATATAATAAGCAGACTTAAGAAAAAAGGGCCGTAGTTTCATTTTCATTCGGACATTCAGGAGCATACTATAAGTCATAAGCCTTAAATACTTTCCAGCTGGCACCTACAGGCCGCAGTTGGGCCAAACTCCACGATCCAACTAGCGAATCTTGTCAACGGACCCTTGTCCCCGGAAGAACTGACGATATTCTTTCTGGAACTAGCGCGTATAATGAGTATTGCAGTCTTCGGAGTACTCCATGTCGCAGTCGGGCGCCTCATTCCCACGTGACCCGGACCCGCTTGCTAACATAGGAACGCTGTCGACACTGCGACTTCTGCTGAGCGAAACGTATAAAAAACATGAGGCTTATAAAGCTGACGAAGCCATTCTGAGGCTTACAACATAGCGGACCGCTGACTATTTGACCTTCCCGCACATTATATGTGTAGGAGGCCTTTTTACAGCTAACTTTTGCATCTGTTCATTGACGTTGGTATTTTTAATGTCACCCGTCACAGCCTGTTAGTTGTGTACCCACGGATAACTGGTCAGACATAACCGTTAGGCTACGTAATAAGTGACCAGCAACTTGAAACGAAGTACCTTACGACGCGCATTCTCTTTTGCAACAAGTACTTATACCTAAGCCAAAAAGCATCCACGCTTGCCTCATGACTTGATGCTTGCGTGTGGGCCAAAGTACTTAAACAGTTGAGATCATCGTTAGATTTGAACTAAGGTAAGCGTGCTTCGACTGGAAAAGTCGGGGTGATAATATCGCTGTTTTCATAATGTATACCACAATAAAATGGAACATGGTGCCGGACGACTTTGGAAATCTTACGAACAGATCTACATCTAAACGTTCGTCTGTCAGATGGGTTAGTCAGAGATTTAGCGAGATCGGTTAAGGCATCAATTTACAAATGACGTGCCTTGCCAGTTCGCTGGCAGGGGGCCTCGCCAGACCATGCCATCTTGGCCGACAATTCATTTAACTTTGCACGATTTACGGTTTCTTTGACTGCGACCAAAGTTGTACTCTCAGAAAAGCTCAAAGTGTCAGTGCTGATTGAAAAGCTGGAAGGACCGTAAGCCCCCGTGCCCGCAACTGTCCGGTCAGTTATTCCACCGGCCGTCGTCAGGTCCTCGTCGGTCTTGCTGAAGACCCAGAGACGTTCCCCCAGTGCCCGCAACTGTCCGGTCAGTTATTCCACCGGCCGTCGTCAGGTCCTCGTCGGTCTTGCAGAAGACCTAGAGGCGTTCGCCGCACAGCCATGTGCGAATCAGCCTCAAAAGTCCCTGGATACCAGAGACTTTGGAGGGTGTAATATACGGACGCATGACCATGCCCCACAGATCCCCAGGTCTTTACAGTAGCGACAAACACCTGAAGACGGCCAGTTAACTAAATGACCGAAACGTAGTGTGCAGTCCGATACAAATGACGAGGACAAAAGTGAGGACGACAGTCTACAGACTGGGCTAAACGCCCATATGCCTTCCGTGGATGGGGAACAAAAGTTGGCTTCAAGACCGATCAGTGACGTCACTGCGAGTTGGACGGTATTCAGATCGCTTCAAATTATTGGGCCCAACCGAAAATGCCTTGGCTTACATGTGTAGAGCATCGCAGCGTACCATCAAGGTACGTTCGCGAAATTTATGTTGTCCCTAGTTCGTTGCTGGGTGCAAGGAAGTGTGTATATATATATATATATATATATATATATATATATATATATATATATATATACCTATACAAGACGGTTCCCAGCAGTACCTTGTGCCTAACTGATTTTTTTCTATTGAATAAATGGATGTGACACACCTTGTTCTTTCGCTGTTACGGGTTATTATCGTTGTGTGCTACAGTGCTTGGTAGAAGCGCCAGCTCCATAATCTACAGCGCTTGGTTTTCGCATTTGTTGTTTTATTTGATGAGCTAACTCACCGATGTTTGACCACCTAACACCTATCTAAAATGTGTGTGCATAAAACTGAGCAATACAAACAAGTGCTAATACAAAATCCAATGAAGCCTCTCGAATTCGTACGCAAAACGCTTCAAGAAAATTGCACGTCGTCAACTGAATTCCGTAACCATGCGGCGCACCAATATCGGGTGGACTAACATCACGTCGTTATTCCCTCACGTAAGACAACGCATCACACACAGCAAACATATTACTCCGAGATCACAACTTGATACGTTTCGTCGGCGGCCAGCTGAAGTCCAGGTCCAGCTCTGGAAAGTCATCGTCGGCAGAGTCGAACTGTGAGCAGCCAGCGGCGCTCCCCTGCACACGCCGGCCCGAGGCATCCGGCGTGGCGGCCCGCGCCGGGCGAGCGGCCACGTCACCGGATGGCGCCGCGACCCGACCCGGCACCGGCACCGGGACTCGCGCCGGCGCCGGGCTGGGGTCCGCGCTGAACTGGGCCAACTTGCCGAGCGTGCTGGCCGAGAGCGCACGCCGGCCCGACTCACCGCCGCCGGCCGAGGGCGGCGTGTCCCGTGCGCGCCGGCCCGACTCACTGCCGTCGGCCGGGGGCGACGTGTCCCACCCGGCGGCCGGCTCCGGTCTCGGTCCGCCCGCCGGCGTCAGCTCGGCGCCAATGCTCCCGGCCGCTGCGCCGGTCCGCCTCGACCCGTCTCTGACGGCTGGCCGGCGGCCGCGCGGCGTGCAGCCCGGCCGAGGCCGCGCCGTCGCGCTGCCGCCCCCGCCTGTGCCGGTTCGCAGCGAGCTCTCGAAATCGTCCAGGTCGTCCACGAAGCCGTCGAGCGAGGTGCTGAAGCCGGGCGCGTGCCCGACCTCCGAGCGGGTCAGGCTGAACGCGGCCGCCGGTTTCCTGACGAACTTGAAACGCGATAGCTGCTGGGCGCCGGGGCGGCCCACCGGCAGCTCGTCTGTCGAACCCAGGCTTGTGGCGCCCTCCGCCAGCTCCAGGGTTGACAGATCGCCAATGTCGTGACCTGCGCCGACCTGCGCCCCGTGGTCGGGCCGGCGGAGCCGCGTCAGCGCGTCGGCCCCGGCCTCGGCCTCGGTCGAGGTCGTGGCGTCGCCGGCGCCGGAGGTCGTCGCCGGCCGCGGGCTGTCGCCCGAGCCGCGGCTCCGGCTGGCTGCTAGCCTCGCGCTCAGCGTCGGCCCGACGCGGCAGGTGGGGCGGTCTGCCGCGGTAGACGGCGCTGCACTCGTGAGGATGGTTGAGGCGTCTTCTGAGACGTCCGAACCGGCGCCCCTCTGATGGTCCGACGACCCCGTCGCAGCCGAGAGGTTACCTACTTGGCGCTCTGCAGCGGCGCCTGCGGGGCTGCCAGGCGCCGGGTTCGGTGGGGTGTCCGAGGAGCCGCGGTCCGCGGTCGGGTCTGGTGCCGGCTCCGGCCCGGGCCGAGACGGCGAGTCCTCTGCCGGGCCGGGCGAGTCCAGCCGCTGCATCTCGTCCAGCGCGGCCATCTCCTGCTCCAGCAGGTCCTCCATGCCGAGCCGGCCCAGGATCAGCTCACCTGAGTGGCCAGACAAGGCGTTAGCTCTGGCTGCAACGCAGGACGGCACATCTGACGTCACAGGATCCAGACGATCCAAGATCGCAAGATCAGGATCCACACGACACGGTCCCGACCGGGATCGCGTGCAGGCCGCAGCTGGTACATCGGACGGGCATTGCACATCCCCAGCAGACCTCAGCAGACACGGCATGCTCAGGGGTCCGCGTCATCAGACCAGACCCCAGCAGACCTCAGCGGGCACGGGATGCTTAGGGGGTTCACGTCATCGGACCAGATCCCAGCAGACCTCAGCAGACACAGCATGCTCAGCGGGTCCACGTCATCGGACCAGACCCCAGTAGACCTCAGCAGACACAGCATGCTCAGCGGGTCCACGTCACCGGACCAGACCCCAGTAGACCTCAGCAGACACGGCATGCTCAGGAGGTCCACGTCATTGGGATAGACCCATCAGACCTCGGCAGACGCAGACACGGCATGTTCAGGGGGCCCACGTCATCGGACCAGACCCCAGCAGACCTCAGCAGACACGGCATGCTCAGTGGGTCCATGCCATCGGACCAGACCCCAGTAGACCTCAGCAGACACGGCATGCTCAGGGGGTCCACGTCATTGGAACAAGCGCCAGAAAATGGCGACCTTATCAATATCACCAGTCACCATCATGCCAAACACGTCACGTTTACGAGCACGCTCAGGCCAATCTATATTCCTTAGCCAACAATGCAAGTGGTGTTTCAGTGATGACGCTTTTCCGTTCATATAATGTTGATCCAGTTCCTAGGCCTTGCCCACGGTATGGTGCGTAATGAACACCACGACCACGATCCTGTGGCGAATCTGATGTGCTCACATGAGGGCATGACCATCACTGGAATTGCAGTATCCCCCTGTCAGTTTATTGCAAATGGCCAGAGTTCACACCAAAATAAGTAACGGTGACAGGAACGACACCAAACAACGCAGGATTTCGTCGTGCCGTGTCGACAACCGCGCCGTCCCGTCCCGTCCGTCGACTCACACTGCTGGCGGTACTCGTCGGCCGGGCTGTCCGGGAAGCTGGTCTGCAGGATGGAGCCGACGCCGTCGGGGCCGAGCAGGCCGCCGCCCAGCCCGCCCAGCGACGCCTCCACCAGCGTGACGGCCACCACGGCGTCGCAGAGCTGCGCGCCGTCGTCCGAGCAGCGCAGCCGAGCGTGCGCCTGCGCCAGCCGCAGCAGCGACTCCAGCAGGCGGACGGTGGTGCGCGAGCGGCCGGCCGACTCCTGGCCACGCACCAGCTGAGCGGGCCGCACACAGGCAGCGTCAGCGGCGACTATCAGCACTGAAGCACTAGCGTGGCAAGTTGGGACGAGCTTTCGCACCTCATAGTGGACCGATCGAGCAGCCTTCGGGCACCAGTGACGTCACCCACATAGTCCGTGTCCCGGGGGCCAACAGCAGCGTGCTCGTCCTCGGGGTGGGAGGCGGCAGCCCCCTGGCGCCGCCGTCGCCCCAGGCCGGGGCGCCACCTGCCTGGTAGTACCGCTGCAGCAGGGCGGCCGCCCGCCGGTCCGGCTCGGGCTGCAGGGTGCGCACGTGCGCCAGGTACGCTTGCAGCGTCTCCAGGCTCCAGTCGGCGGCGGCAGCGGTGGGCTCGGCGCCGGCCAGCGGGTCCAGGCCGGACAGAATGTAGCCGGACACAAGTCTGGCGGAGAACCTGAACATCAGCCGGCGCGCACCAGCCGAGCGCAGCCCAGACATCAGCTGGAGCGTACCGATCAGGTGCGGCCCGTACCTCAGCCGGCGCGTACCGATCAGGTGCAGCCCAGACATCAGCCGGGGCGTACCGATCAGGTGCGGCCCGTACCTCAGCCGGCGCGCACCGATCGGGTGCAGCCCGGACCTCAGCCAGCGCGTACCGATCAGGAGCAGCCCAGACTTCAGCCGGCGCGTACAAAAGGGGTGCGGCCCGTACCTCAGCTGGCGCGTACCGATCGGGTGTAGCCCGGATTTAGGGAAGGAGCAGCCTTTCGGACGGTTTTCATCCAACGTAGGAGCGTGCACACCGCACTCATTTGACTTAAATGAAATGCAAAAAGGTCGGGCAATGACATTTACGCACAGTTGCAATACAACGCACGACCACGCAGGGATGTGTTGGAAACCACATTGTTAGCAGAAAGACAAGGTCTTAACCGGAAATAAGTGAGACGACCCAAGCTTCTCACACTTCAGGGACCAAACACAGACCGGCAGCCAGCTGTGGCTCGCCGTCTCGCACCACAGCAGGCCACGGCGTCCCCGTCGGACGCGCTTACTTGTCCCAGCCGCGGCTGCCGGCGTCCTTCAGCACCAGGATGAGGTCGAAGCGGGAGAGCAGAGGCGAGCCCAGCCCGAGCCTCGGTAGCACGTCGCAGCCCGACTCCCAGTCGACTGGGAGGCGCGGGTTTGCCGCCGCCACGATCGAGCAGCGCGTGTTGAGCTTGCACACCATGCCCGCCTGATGGAGGGACGCACGGACACGCAAGTCACGTTACCGGAGTTCAGAGTCGATCTCATACAGCGCTGGGCGTGCACCAGACGGTAAGAACAGCAGCCGTAAATGAGGCAACTCGTTGCCACAAAGTGGCGCGGATGAACGAGCACCATGAGAATACGATCACCACGGGTTCTCCACTGACCTTGGCCACACTGATCGTCTGCTGTTCCATGGCCTCGTGGATGCTGGTCTTGTCGGCCTCTCTCACGGAGTTAAACTCGTCGATGCAGCAGACGCCGCCGTGAGCCAGGACCAGAGCTCCCGCCTCCAGCTGCCACTCAGCCCCCTCCTGAGGTCATGGACAGTGATAGAGCAGACGCCGCCGTCAGCCAGGACCATAGCTCCCGCCTCCAGCTGCCACTCAGCCCCCTCCTGGGGGCTGAGGGCAGCACGGACAACACTGCCTCACTCACGGTGCCGGAGCACCGGCCAGCTGGCGCTGTAACACGCTCTGGTATAAATTCAGATATAGTGTGAAGTCGGACATCCGGACACCAAAACGCGGCCGATTCCACTGCATAGCCCGCCAAGGGCGTGACAGACATTGCTGTCCCGGGAAAAGTTGGCAATTTGGACGGCATGCTTCCTTCCCGCGCTATCCTCGAGCACAGCGCGCGTCGGACTGCCCGCGTGGTCCTGGGCCTTGGGTCCTGATCTTGACAGCGGCACAGGTGAGACCTTGGACCTAGCGTCGAAGTTGGCGAGGGTGAGGCCTTGGACCTGACCTTCACGGCGGCGCAGGTAAGACCTTAGACCTGACCTTGACGGCGGCATAGGTGAGGCCTTGGACCTGACCTTAACAGCAGCGCAGATGAGGCTTTGGATCTGACCTAACGGCAGCGCAGGTGAAGCCTTGCTCCTGACCTTAACGGCAGCGCAGGTGAGACCTTAGACCTAACATCGACGGTGGCGAAGGTGAGGCCTTGGACCTGACCTTCACGGCGGCGCAGGTGAGGCCTTGGACCTGACCTTAACAGCAGCGCAGATGAGGTTTTGGACCTGACCTTAACGGCGGCATAGGTGAGACCTTAGACCTGACACTGACGGCGGCATAGGTGAGGCCTTGCACCTGGCCTTAACGGCGGCACAGATAAGACCTTGCTCCTGACCTTAACAGCGGCGCAGAGGCCTCGGACCTGACCTTAAACAGCAGCGCAGATGAGGCTTTGGACCTGACCTTAACGGCAGCGCAGGTAAAGCCTTGCTCCTGACCTTAACAGCAGCGCAGGTGAGGCCAGCCGAAGTGGAGCCGATGCCCGTGGTGAGGACGGAGCGCGCGCACAGCCGGGCCGCATACTTCAGCAGCTGCGACTTGCCCGTACCTGCGGACCACGGCGACTGGTCGCTGGGATCCCGCGGTGCACCAGTGACACTAAGCCCAGGATATGTGAAGGTCGGCGGTTCGGAAACTAAGCCCAGAGCAGAGTTATGGCACACCGCGTGTAACAAAGGACTGAGAGAAAAGTGTGCAGCCGTCTGTCAGCTGAGCTTACCGGGGTCTCCGACGAGCAGGAGGTGGGGCTCGCCGCGCGTACTGCTGGTGCCATCGCTCCGTCGCACACCTCCCACCAGGGTCAACGCCACGGCCAGCTTCACGACATAAAGGCCATATATCTGGAGAACACACACACCCACGGTCGGATGCCAGGGTCGGGGCCAACGCGACGTCAAATATGGCGCCATAAATGTAAATAAACCCATGTTTTATGCATGTTGTATGCCCAATGGGTCTTGTGTGCTTTCTAAGCAAATCTCAGACCACAATTATTGACATGTATATTTAAGATGAGGCTCAACCTATGGGAGAACGTGTCATCTCCGCCAACGTATCGTGCTCGGATGTGCCGCGCTGGGCATGCCGTAATGCCATTCGTAGGCCGATGGCTGCAGTAACAACTTCCACTCACACGAGTCCGCACGTAAACCGACCACCTCACCTCTCGTGCCGAACGGACCTTAGACACTTCGTGTATTCGTAACTGCAGCGAGGCACGGAATAATGAGACTGGTCTGGGCGCAGCCACTCTCCGGCCCCTCCCGGCTGGGACATCAGCCAGTACGACTGCGATCACTTGGGGACAGAGACGAGGAGGACCAGTCCCAGGAGCGAATGCAGAGACCATCGGCTCACCTGACAATAGGAGCGGTGTCAGGCATCTGACCCGAGAACAGGATCGGTATCAGGCGTCCGACCCGAGAACAGGGGCGGTATCAGGCGTCCGACCCGAGGACAGAAGCGGCGTCAGGCGTCTAACCCGACAACAGGAGCGGTATCAGACGTCTGACCCGGGAACAGGAGCGGTATCAGACGTCTCACCTGCGAGCAGAAGCGCTGCAGGATGCGGTTGCGGCCGCCCATGGGGTCGTGCCGGTATCTGCGCCAGAACTCGTCGAACTGTCGGCGCCGCTCGTCGGTCAGCAGCAGGCTGGTGCGCTGCTCGCTGTTGACGAACACCCGGTTGGCGTGCAGCGTCATCTCGATGTCGGGCGGCGAGCCGCGCACCGCTGACCGCCACCGCTGACGCACCGTCCCCCTGGCCAGCATATCATCACTCTCAGCACATCTCGATGTCGGGCGGCGAGCCGCGCACTGCCGACCGCCACCGCTGACGCACCGTCCCCCTGGCCAGCATATCATCACTCTCAGCACATCTCGATGTCGGGCGGCGAGCCGCGCACCGCTGACCGCCACCGCTGACGCACCGTCCCCCTGGCCAGCATATCATCACTCTCAGCACATCTCGATGTCGGGCGGCGAGCCGCGCACCGCTGACCGCCACCGCTGACGCACCGTCCCCCTGGCCAGCATATCATCACTCTCAGCACATCTCGATGTCGGGCGGCGAGCCGCGCACCGCTGACTGCTACCGCTGACGCACTGTCTCCCCTGGCCGGCACGCCAGCACACTCAGCGCACGCGCGCAGACCAACCGCCAGCCCGCAGCGGATCAGCACGGCGGTAAAAGTAGCCTTTGTATGTGCACCTCAGTGTCAGTACATCCAACTCAATGTCAGCATGTGCATCTCAACTAAGTATGTGCATTCCAGCGTCAATGTGGATATTTCGATGTCGGTATGCGCATCTCTGTCAGTATAGGCATGAGCGAATATGACCTGTAACATCGAACCCCGTAGCAACCCAAATCCAAAGTTTAATGAAGGTAAAGAAATCAGCGGTCGCATATCATGCAAGCAGGACATGCCGCGCGAATACCCCCTAAAGGGCCACAGCGGGCAGACTTTGTTCCGCTAGCGCTCAAGGCTGGTCGTTTTCCACCGCTGTCTACAGCGCGAGCCCCGCTTCTTCGCTGCAAGCGTGCATGACTCACGTGATGATCACATCGTCCCCAGCCTTGCAGGAGTCCACCAGATCGTCCTCCAGCACGACACAGAGGCCGCGGGGGATCTTGCCCACATCCAGCTTCTGTACCTGCGCGGCACCAGATGACCGTTACATTGCACTGCCCATGCCGAGATCACGGTTCGCAATACTGCGTCACAGCGCAGCACGCGTACACGTGCGCCAAATCGGCGCCCTGCTTCACCGGCCCTGTCTGATCGGTTCGGCGCGGCGACACACGGTCATTTGGCCTGGACAGGCGACATCTGACAAGTGCGGTCACTTTTACAAGCAACATCGACTGACTTCCACTTGGTGGCGGGCACGCAAGCCACGTGTCGTGAGCCTCACCTGCTCCTGCAGCCGAATCTCCTGATAATCTCTGGCCTGGTGGTGGCGCACGCTGACGTCGGGGGCCGAGGCGGGCGCGAAGCCGGCGCCAGCGCGGCACGGCTTCGGGTTCGGACAGCGAGCGGGCCGCTCGGACTGGTAGCTCTGCTCGTACTCTGCCTGAGACGACACACCAGGCCGCACCGCACTGGCGGCTTCACCACAACCGACAGGCCAGCAGCCACGCTACCGCACACAATGTATAAGGCGCCGTAGTCCGTTTGAGCTCGCCGTAGTCCGTTTAAGCTATCAGTTCGCGTAATTGAAAGCACATTGGTGCAAAAACCGGAAACTGACGGGCCAGGAGTTATGATACATCCGAAGCGCATTGCTTGCATACTCCAGCTGATGCAGCCCTTCCCAGCGTTCCCCTCGCGGCTGGGTATTCCCCTCCCTCGCTCTTAAGTGGGGCGGCGTACTTACAGTGACGGTGAACGGGTGCTTGCACTTGTTACAGGTGTAGTACGCCCTGGTCTCGAGCATGTGGGGCAGGCCGGCTCGCACCACCGTTCCCGAAACACACAACAGCTGGCCCTCGTCCTCGATCCGCGGCACGCACGTGCGCTGCAGCTCGGCACACACCGGTAGCTCTGGGGTGGAGCATGCAACGGCGTCAGCGGCGGACGGTGGATTCGACCGACACCCGGCGGCTTGGTCGGTCGGCCCGCTACACAGCAGAGCTGGTCCGCACACGCCTTCAGAGACGGTTGACAGACGGAGCACAGACCGCGGAGCCGATAAACACCACACAACAGAGCCCATCACCGCCGGGTAGAAGAGCCCACCGACATCAGCCAGCGCAACAGGTGGAGACGGTTGGGTGGTTGACGAGAACGGCTCCCACTGACCGATGAGGCGGACGTGCAAGCTGGTCTTGAGCGTCAGGCCGGTCACGCCGGCGTCCGTCAGCTGGCCGTACAGGTGGCGGGCGGCGCGGACCAGCGCCCGGTCCAGCGCGGGCAGCACTTGGCTGCCGCTGGTGCGCAGTAGATCCGCCAGCACCGCGCAGCTCTCGCTCAGCGTCAGGAAACTGGGGCAGGAAAAACGGCACTCGCTCAGCCCAGCGTCAGGAGACTGGGGCGGGAAAAACGGCACTCGTTCAGCCCAGCGTCAGGAAACTGGGGCAGGACGCACGGCACTCGCTCAGCTCAGCGTCAGGAAACTGGGACAGGACGCACGGCACTCGCTCGGCTCAGCGTCAGGAAACTGGGGCAGGACGCACGGCACTCGCTCAGCTCAGCGTCAGGAAACTGGGACAGGACGCACGGCACTCGCTCAGCTCAGCGTCAGGAAACTGGGGCGGGACGCACGGCACTCGCTCAGCTCAGCATCAGGAAACTGGGGCGGGACGCACGGCATTCGCTCAGCTCAGCGTCGGGAAACTGGGACAGGACGCAAAGCACTCACTCAGACCAGCATCAGGAAACTGGGACAGGACACAAGGCACTCGCTCAGCTCAGCGTCAGGAAGCTGGGACAGGACACAAGGCACTCGCTCAGCCCAGCATCGTACACTGTGGCAGCATGTGTAGCACTTGCCAATCATTGGGAAATTACACCAAGACATGCATCTCTCCTTCAGCACCATAAAGGTAAGGCATGAGATGCCCATGACACTTGCCCCATGCCACAAAACTAAAGTATGAGGCATGATACTCTTCAGCACAATGCAGGTTTGCTCAGTCAGGTTACAGCAGTGACATACATGGAAATAGGCAACATCAATGCAGCACATCATAGACCACCATTATGGCAAACATCATGACCTTTGCATACATCTTGAAGCAGTGTGTGGATGATGACTGAGACATGTTTGTAATGAGGCATGATGCCCTAAAACAAATCACAAGCCTGTGTAAATCAGGCCAGGCTATAGGTACAACATCATATGCTTACTTAATATAGACAGGTATGTGCCTGGCTGTATCACCAGTGTCTTCCAAGGTGTGCTGAATATCTTCTGCATGCTCACTAAGCACATAATGGTAGAACTGGTCCCTAATTTCTTTCAGGTTAACCTTGTGCTCCATCTGTAAGCAATAGGCATGTCAGGTACATTGACAACTTGGAAGTCAGATTAGCCCCACTGGACTGATATGGAATGCTATAAGGTGAAACAATGCCCACAAAGTTGAGCTCTAAAATAAAATCACTCACATCCATCAATTTTATATGATTTGATGGGATAGGATATGCTAGAGGACATAGTAGCATTGAGGGCTAGCTGTGGACCCCTAACACCATCCACTTGCAGCAAGTGTTACTTTGATTTGCACTTAAACATGATGCTCTTTTCTTGTGAGCTCACATAGGCATCAAGTCAGAGCTCTATGTAAGTGTTAAGTTGTATCCAAGGCTATCCAACATATTAATAGTTGCATCATAAATTGTTTGAATCATGTTTGTACTGTAAATGAAGCTGCTGGTTTGCAGCAATAGGCAAGAATAAAATAGGATATGATATGAAAGGAGAGATATGACAACTCACATCACAAGGTTCAACACCACTTTCATTCTTGTTGCAAAGCAATGATGATGATGATTTGGGGCTTTAGGGCGCATCGACTGCTAAAGGTCATGCAGCACCCATTTTGCAAAGCAACAGACATGGAAGATATCATGGCAACATCACACAGCATACAGCATGTTCTGTTCAAGAATAGCAATGACAAGTTTGCACACTTTGATGCTGTGATTATAAAAACCAGGGCACTGTGCATCAGCAACCAAGCTTAGTGTACCATGCAACCTGCACACAAATAGGTATTTGTTTTTCTGGCACCTAAATGCATGAAATGTACCATAACATATTTCATCTCGCTGATTATTGGTAGGAAAAAACATCAGCTTTTCCGACAATTAGCAAAAATTCACTATTAATGGGAGCTTACAATTCAAGCTGCGCGCGCCCGCTGGGTCGTGGACTTTGTCTACAAACTACAGAAATCGGATGGCCTTGGACGGGTCTTCCCAGTCCGCTGGCTTAGTAGGAAGTCGTAGGAAGTATATCTGGTAGATATGCAGGGCAGTAGAATCAAGGGTAATTAAGCGCCACCAATTTGTTTGTGCAAAACTTATGAGGTACATATCCCCATGTGACTTGGATGAAGGGAGCTGGAAAGCGAAAAGTGGTCCAACGAAGCCCCCAAAACACGCTAACAAACAGCGCTCGCCCTTGATTCGACCCGCATTGTTTTCAAAGTTGCGGGACCCTAGCCCAAATGAAGGGAAGTCTACCAAATTTAGAACGCAACTACGCCCTTAGTTCTGCCGTGCAAAGTAAAACATTTGTTTTGCGCGCGTTCCAACAAATGCAGTAATTCGAGACCTTCCCTTTAGTGGCACTATTCCAATTCAACTAGCTGCTAGTTTACCTACCACAGTTTACCTACCTACCACAGACATGTTTCCTACTAGGCCAGCTGACTGACAATACAAGGCCATCCAATTTTTTGCAGTTTTTGAATAGAAGCGTTGGGTGGGTGGGGGATGGGATACTTTAAGGCCCTGGAAGTAGAGGGCCTGCTGCCCTGTCTTCTAGTGATTCAAGCATCGAAGGCGGTGTCTCCGCCGAGCGAGGGTTTGGTGCCTTGATTTGGTGCGCGTGGAGCAAAACCGCCACCGAAGACGTTGCTGTAGGCCTCTACGCAAACGCCCGAGGCCCAAAGTTCTTGGCGAGAAGTTCCAGTTTCGCTGGTAAGTGCGGTTTAGCAGGCCGTCAAAGTCTGTGAGATCTGTGGCAATACAAATGCTTAAAGCTACTTGATGCCCATCTTGCATTGATTCAAATTACTATCTGCTACCCAATGATTTCATTTGGATTAAAATGTCTGGCATGCAATTTATGGGGCTGTCTCTAACTTATGTTGTGCGTGAAAAACAATAATTTGTATTATCTATATGAATTGCCTATGGATTAAGTGCCAAAAGGTCCACATGCCACTTATCATGGTAAGTACATGTGATAAAGGAAGCAGTAGCTGTCTTCGGCAGGTATTTGTTTTTTTGTGAACCACTGAAAATGCAGCCTGGTGAATGTTGGTTGTCTGCCAGCTTTTTGCGATGAAGTGTCTATATGTGTCGAATCCATCAAGGCACACACCAATAATCATGATATTAAGCAGTTGAACTAGTGTGCTGGAAATCAACAGCAACTGTTTACTGCCTAAACTTCCAACCACGCCACTGAAACACTGCCTATGAAAGCATTTTGATGTTAATCTTGCACAAGTACCTTCATAGTTGTGTCCTCATTGAGGAAACAACTAGAAAGACAAATAAAACATTTCAACAAGAAATCCACAGAAATTGGTGCTGAAAAGGTCTTAGACCATGCTGGAGGAGCAGGGTAGTCAAAGCAAAAACCAACATCGCAGTATCATTACTAACAATGAGGGGTGTAGGGTGAGGAGTGAAATTACTAACAATGAGCATTATGGCTGGGCCAAGGTTGCAGTGCCTGCCATTGCCCATAGGAATGTCAGCCATAGCTCTTTTTTAAATCCAAAGTGACTGCATCATTCCAGACACATCAAGGAGCATCAAAAGCGATAAGTCATTGGAGTATTTTAGGTGTGGGGTGACAGCTAAGTGCGTGAATTAAGTGCGTTGGTTGAAGCATTAATCTTGTTATTGAGTGGGTTGTAGCTTGTTTCCCGGTCACCGCTTATTTTACTGACACCAGCATGACAATGAGGAGGCCTAATAGTCACACGACTGGTGTTGACTGTTCTACTGTTCTATTCGTCTACAAATATTGTAAGTGTTGTTCAATATAAGCCATGAGCAACTCAGATTGGTTGAAGGCTGCGGGCAAATCTGGTACCAGTGCTCTTGGCGGATGGTGTCAAAAATGTTGTTTTCTTTTCTTGACATTGCGGGAGTGGAGCAGGTGCAGGGTATATGCACACACACACACAATATAATATATGTCTTTTGTTCCCTTGCCCTCGCCCTCGCCCTCGCCCTCGCCCTCGCCCTCGCCCTCGCCCTCGCCCTCGCCCTCGCCCTCGCCCTCGCCCTCGCCCTCGCCCTCGCCCTCGCCCTCGCCCTCGCCCTCGCCCTCGCCCTCGCCCTCGCCCTCGCCCTCGCCCTCGCCCTCGCCCTCGCCCTCGCCCTCGCCCTCGCCCTCGCCCTCGCCCTCGCCCTCGCCCTCGCCCTCGCCCTCGCCCTCGCCCTCGCCCTCGCCCTCGCCCTCGCCCTCGCCCTCGCCCTCGCCCTCGCCTCGCCCTCGCCCTCGCCCTCGCCCTCGCCCCGCCCTCGCCCTCGCCCTCGCCCTCGCCCTCGCCCTCGCCCTCGCCCTCGCCCTCGCCCTCGCCCTCGCCCTCGCCCTCGCCCTCGCCCTCGCCCTCGCCCTCGCCCTCGCCCTCGCCCTCGCCCTCGCCCTCGCCCTCGCCCTCGCCCTCGCCCTCGCCCTCGCCCTCGCCCTCGCCCTCGCCCTCTCTCTCTCTCTCTCTCTCTCTCTCTCTCTCTCTCTCTTTCTCTCTCCTCATAGGCTTCTTAAATCACTTCTTTGGTTCAGTTTGATTGAAACCTGTATCAGCTTGGGCAAACAGTTGTTTCCACTTCCCACAATTTAAGTAATCGACACAGGTTCGTTTGGTTGGGGGACAGCCCCGGCTAAGCACACGTTTTAAGACATTTTGCACACTAGTTATTGGTTTAAGCTCAGTTTCTCTTGAAGTTTTGATGCTTCCAACATGTAAATTCACCTCCTCTTTCTGAGCCTCCCATATACCACGTCTTTGCTCTATACTCTCGAAGTTTACGTATTTCACGTTGTTAATCGAGTGGCCCAGTGTCCAGTGAGGTATCGTGAATGGATTTAGGATAGCCCACGGATGTTCTTTATGTCCCGCTGATTGATGCTTTGGCGAAGGAGTGTTTGAAGCCCTCGCGCCTCCCCAATGTAACACACGCATCCACACCCGCACACATGACAAGGAGCACGATATGTCACGATATGATACGATACGATATGATACGATATGTCACGTTACTGGTTTTAGATGCACACAACATTTTAGGTCCCTTTACGTAAGCATGTACCTGATAAATCCGCGGGCGAAAGAAGCATTGAAGAGTATGCATTAACTGGGGTGTTCCACATTTACATGGGGTTTTGAACTGACCTTTCGGCGCTGTTCTCAATCTTGCTCTTCTTTAGACCCGAGTCGTTCTAGTTTCTGAGCCACACGCCCGCGAAAATGGGGAAAGGTGTATCGGGGAGAATATTTCAAAGTCACCCTGGCATTCATGACGTAATAATAACAACATTCAAATCCTGTCATTCCATAACCCATGCGGCGATCAAGGCCAAGGGAATATGATTATCGAGGCATTCGTATTTGGCGTTTGTGGGCGCGATTTCCAGATACAACGGCCGTCAATTGGCTCCCAGTCAATGTTGTGCAAGGTACAATGACATAATCAAACCATGATGCATTGAGGACGTATTTACTCAACAGAGAGCTGTGCTGTCTAGAGCAGTCATTTCCACTTAAAAAAGCTTACTTAAAGCCATAAGCGAGTTTGTCGCATATCGTATGCATGCTTCAATATCTTCAAATGTGAAGCATTGCCTTCAGCCAGTGCACGTCTGGGAAACCAGGGTTACGGGGTTCGATTCCACGTGGCGCCTGCTTTTCGTGCCAGGGTGAGAGGCAGGCAGCGCCAGTGGCCTCAGCAGCTGAGTTCGTGGTAAAGCCCCAATGATGATACGATGCGTGGCTAGGTGTGCGAATTGAACAGAGCATGATATGTAACACAGCGTCCCTAAGGCAGCACGCTAGTCGGCTCGTCTCACATCCAGTGACAAATTGTGGATGTGGACTGTGATGATGCAGAGTAGTTTGAGTTTTTGATGACCTGTTATAAGCGTAATGAGGCGAGCTAATTTATTGGGAGCTGATACCCGTCCTATGCTTGCCTTACTGCCACAAGACGTCGCGTACGTGGCCGGGCTAAACACCAGTGTTGGGTATGTCACGCTGCTGGGCTCGACGCTTCGCCCCGTCTCGCAGTGTGGGTCATGTTAGCATTCACGTAAATTTGGGCCCAGAAGTGGGTATCAGGTGCCAATGATGTGATAGAACGCGGGGAAGCACCCTGGTATGTATAAGTCACGTGACGTTGAGGAGGACGGCAAGAATATGAAATCAGTAGAAGCTGGTAATACTGTTTGTTCGCTGTGTCCGCCTTTCGGTAATTTGTGTGACATTGTATTGTGCGTAGGGAGGTATCCAAGGAACGTAATTATTCCTTAATTTGCCACGAAGAAGTGGTGAACAGGATTTCATGGAGTAGAGTTTTGATGAGGCGTGGGATAACTTTGGGTAATGTTTTGGTTCAGAATACATGACATGGGTTAGGATGCGCAGGGACACGAGGTGGAAATTTTTATGACATTTAGGAACACCAGCTTGAAATCCGTCAATCTTGGGTGCCACCAGTTGCAAATAATAAAATGAGACAAAGGGAAAGCTTTGAGACAAACGGAAAAATGCGATCCTGGTTGCTGCAATGAGCGATGAAGTAAATTTCGTTTCGTTTGATACATGTTCTTTCACCAAGCTTCGTGCGTCTGTGGATCGTTGCCCCTTTTGATCTATCTGTATGACGATATTTATTTTTATCGTGCAAGCGCACACCATTGGGTTGACTCGTTGTGGATGACGGTTTATCAACGTTTGGTAGCACTTGGTTGCGTGGTGGAAGAGGCGTGTGAGAGCATTGACGGCTCACTGGCCCGATCGAGCCCTTCTCCGAGCCTCGTGTTGAGCGTCATGCCGTGAGCTGACTGAACAGCCAGCCGAACAACAGCTTGAACACTCAACTGCCACGGCAGCCGGAAGCTGTCGGCAGCGTACACTGGCTCGCACCGGACAGAGCCCATGCGGCCAGCGATCAGACGGTTACCACGCTTCACATTCTGCTGACCGGCCTCTCCGTGCTTGCAGTCGGTCCTGACGGGAGGCTGCTGCCACCTGTCGACCAAACCTGGAACCGCCATCGAGGACGCGCGGCGCGACTCCCGCTCAGTTATACCCGGAGTCGTGCCGCGCAGTGAGCGGCGCCGCCCTGTCTCTGGGAGCGTCTGAGAGTGTCTCGGAGTGCTGTGCGTGGCGCCGAGTGCGCGCGTGACCGGGGTGTGATTGCCCGACCCGGAGTGCCCGACGAGCGGACGCGGGCCGGCACCATGGGCGACGAGCCATTTCTGCGCTCGCACTGTCCTGGCGGCGCCGGGTGCTACTGCGACGGCGCCGAGCACGTGTACGTGCGGGAGCGCACCGCCACGCCGCCGCGATACGTGTCCAGGAGGTGAGTCCTGAGGGGGCGTGGGGGGGGGGGGAGAGGCGACGAGTGACCGGCACCGACGGGTGAGCTGGACGGGGGCGGAGCGACGAGAGGTGGCGCGAGGTCCGACCTAAACCGGGCTTGCCCATCGGGCTGGGCGCTGGCGGCTGCGAGAAGTGGGATGAGGCTGGTTCTCTTGCACTTGCTGTCCTGTCAGGAAACTCGACTACGTGCAAACGTATTTGGAACATGAACAAACTGTTACCAAGGAAGGTGTGGGGTTTGAGACTGCTTGAAGTACTGCGTGAAGGTGCGCTAACCGACGTTTGGGTTTCGGAACTTAACAATTGTCAGGGCACAGCGAACTTTCGTGAGGTGGGCCGCATTCATAGCAAGTGTTGAATGACAGCATTCGCAGCCCTCGCGCACGAGGGATGATCGAGGCGAGGCCGGTATCAGTCAGGATCGACCGTTAAGGTGTCCGTGCGCCGTATCAGGACTATGCGCCCAGCAAGCGACGGCGACGACATGCAGGATCGGCTCGTTGGGTGGGACGGACCACGCGGCGACCATACGGCATGCGGTGTGGGCGGGACGAACCGCGCAGCGACCACACGGCATGCGGTGTGGGCGGCGGCATGCGACGAACCGCGCAGCGACCAAATGGCATGCGGTGGGAGATCGCTCCGCGCGCGATGCCGTTTAGAGTTTTGAATCTCCATCGCCCTGCCGCCCATCTCAATCATACCCTACTCCTGGCTGGCGCAGCTCACGCCCGCAACTACGTACTTTCTGCAGTAGACGCTACCACGAGGGACCGTGAAACGGTGACTGCCTGCCACCGTGAATCGACGACCGTGATTCATGCGCTGTGTGTAAGTTCACCGCAGAGTCGGTGAGCGGCCGGCGTGGTGGCGCCATCGGCGGTGTGTTGTCATGTGTATGTGACACTGTCAACACACGCGACCCGAGCGTCGGCCCGACGCGGTGAGTCACTGCTCAGTAGGGCGCGGCGGTGGCCTGGTGCAGGCGCCTGGCTGAGCGGCGGCGCCGGCCGACGGGCCGCCGGCCAGCGGACGCCGGGCGGGTGCGGCCGGCGACGCCGCACTGCTGCCGCTTCGGACTGGCCTGCTGGCGGGGCGGGCCGGCCGGCGGCTGGTGGAGTCTCCCACGTGTGGGGCTACAGCTCGCCTCGGTCGACGCGCTCCGGACCAGTGTCTATCGTCTGACGCCAGGCGGCATCGCACGCCCCACCCAGCGTCCGGGAGAGTCGGCGAGAACCGGCCGCCTCGCCCGCCCCGAGCCCGGCCAGCCCGTTATGCGTGCGCACGCGTAGCCGCCGCCGCCTACCTCCGGCGGCGCGGGCGAAGTGGGCCGGGCGGGCGGCGGCCGGGATGCCCTGGATCGGCCGGCCTCCTGCCGAGATCGGCCGCCGCTGTCGGCTGGCTGGCGGCTGATCGCCGCTCCACAGACGGCCTCCCCGCCAGGCCGCTCAAATGGCGCCCGCCGGCGGCCGGCGCCGGAAGTACGGCTCAACGGAGGGGTGGACGCCGCCGCTCGTGAACCAGGATGAGGTTCCGTGTGGAGATGTGCTGTTTGATCACAGACTGGAGATGATGAGTGGATGATGCCGGGATGGAGATTGGATGTTAGCAGTTTGATAGTGCTGCCAGAATAGTATTTCAAGCTTCCAACATGCTCCGGAGAAGTGAAATATTGGGTCGGTTCGGGTGTGTGATGGCTGGGTTTTATCTGGCAAAGGCCATCCGTTCAGTGTTCGACAAGGAATCGTCCGACCGACCTTGTAATTCAGCCGAAGGCGCCCTTAACACGATGGCGCGGAATCTGAAGGGTGCACGCCGACAGCCGGCGGTCGCGGTTGACCCTCGCAGAGTCGTGCCGCGATGACGGCTCCCGCTGCCGGGATCACACCGTTGAAGCCGTCCTGATCAGTGACGGCTCCCCAGGCCTGCAGCGCCCCCTTCCGCCACAGGCCGGTTCGGGCGGATGTCAGGATTGGCCGGCGTCGGGTCGCCGGGTACGGTGGCGGCGTCCGGCACCTCTCGGCAAGCGACGGACGCCGAGCCGGGGACGCTCCTGTCCGCCGGCGGCCGGGCAGAGGGTCGCCCGGGAGGCGGACCCCGCTGCGGGAGAGGGAGCGAGGGAGGCAGGGCCTGCAGCAGCGGCACCCGCGCGGAGATGCCGTTCGGTTAGCCTCCGTTGACCGGGCCAGTATCAGGTGGCGTCCGACACCGAGCTGTTGCGGGGCTCGGAAGGGTAAAGCTTCACGTCCGGTTCTGCCCGTTACGTGCTCTGGGGCCGCGCTGCTGGGGCGAGTAATCTGACCATACCCTAGCCGCAAACATGGCGGGAAGACGTGCCCCTGCTCCTCAAACACACTTCTGATCGGCTGCGCATCAGCTCCAGTGAGAGGGCCCCCACGCGATGACGTTGTGCCGTGACCGCATTATCGCTGGTCGCTGGTCCCCGCGCTGGGAGATGACCGCGGCGCCCGTGGCAGCCTTAGCAATACAGTGGGGACCGGGCCAGCGGCGGGCCCGTTCCGCTTAGTCATGCCGGTCTGCGTTGCCACATACGCAGGCCCGCTCGACCCATAACTCTGCGGCGTGCGTGGTCCGCGTCGGATGGTGCACCGCGCCGCCGTACTGCCCCCCCCCCCCCCCGCCCCCTCGCCAGCCCGCCTGCCGTCAATCCTGTCCGCACGGAGAGCCGGCCGTCGCGTGGGCGGCCCTGGTGACGTCACCCGGGCCGGGCGCGCGGCCGGTATGTGTGTGTGTGGGGGGGGGATGACGTCACCGCCGGCCGGCGTGCCGCGGCTGTTTGCCGTGCGCCGGCCGGCGGTCGGCGGCAGCGCCGGCTTAGCGCGGCGCGGCGGCTCTCGCGCGGCGGTGACGCCGGCCGCCGCTGCTCGAGTCGAGCGCGGTCGCTCACGGAGCGCCTTGTTTGCGGGGGAGAGCACTTCTGCGGCGGATGACGGAGGTTGCTGTACATGACAGTCGCTGGCGAGCTGAAATGCGGGTGGCCGGGGCGACGCCGAAGTCAAAGCGGTGTTGAATGCGTCCCGTACGCCGTCCCTCAACGCTGTCGTCTGGTCTGGGCTGCTGCGCCCGTCTGGGCGTCTCGGTTTGTGCTGATCTGTAACCCCGCCCCCCCCCCCCCGCCACCATGTTCCGCTGCCCTTCACCTGGCGTCGCCTGCTGCGCACATTGCAGTCGCTGGCCGACCCGGGGCCTCGGCCCGGCGCTGTCCGTACTGATTGACCTTGAGCGTTTTATGAGCTCGACGCCTCGTCAAGTCTGGCGCACGGCTGTGTTCGTTACGCATCCGGCGCGTGTATCAGGTTCGATTCAGTCCGCGCGTCAGGCACGATGAGAGCCGGACCACCGGGTGCGGTCGCGTGTTCGATGGTTGGAAGTGGAAGAGTGGACGGTAGGGTGTGGCTGGCGCGTTCTGTCGTCGTCGTTGGGGCTTTACGACGCACTCAGCTGCTCAGGCTCTATGGCGTCGCCTGCGTGTCATGCTGGCAGGCAAGACGGGCACCGCGGAAAATCGAACCCCGTATCTCTGGTTTCTCAGACGTGCAGTATTAACGCATACGTGTTGACCACTGCGCCATCGGTACCCTGGCGCGTTCTCTATAGGCTCTCCTGTATTGGCTGCGTTGTGTTTGAGCCATGTACGCTGTGCGCGGTCGGACCCTGTCACTCTTTGATAGTGTTGTTGGGAGCAGAGCCTTTTTCAAGATCTTTTGCCTCTGATGTAGCATTTTTCGAAGGCAGAAGGAGCCATTTTGAATGAAGGCCAAACCCAGCACTCATGCCTTTTCTTATCCCGCGGTCGTGCCAGAAGCGCTCGGCCGCCACGTGACAGGTGTTGGCCAGGTGCGGAGCGGAGCCAACAGCGCACTGTCGCGTCTCCGCTGCCCGCCTGCCGAGCTGCCGTGTCGGCGGCGGCGGCCGGGCCTGCGCCGTCCGGTTCCGGCGGCGGTCGGCGGCTGTGGGCGGTCCGGCTGGCCGGCGTGGACGCCGCGTCCCCGATCAACCGACCTTGGGCGGCTGCAGGCCGCCGGACCGGACTGCATGGCGACGCTCGGTGGGGGCATGCCCTGCCCGCCCCCCTCCCCTGCCGGCGGTCCGGCGGGGGTCCTGCAGGCCGCGCTGTTTCGCCGTTTGGCTCCATCGCCGGTGGCACGCCGGGCTCGCTCGGCCGCCGCTCTCCTGTCAGCCGGACGAGCCTGTCGCACTGCGCGTCTCATTCAGCTGCGTCATGTACGGCCCCAGCGGTGACCAGCTCTAAGATGTTTGTCGGCCGGGCCGGTCCCAGGCGGGCTGCAGAGGAGAGGTGACGCTCTGGTCGGCTCCGGGCGCGCGCCGAGCCGCCGCGCTCGCGCCGCGCCGGTCCGTTGACCGTTTGTCTTGAGCCGGCGCCAGCGCCGACGCCGCCAGCGGCCGGACGGCCGTGCTGGCCGGCGGCCATGGCCGCCGGCGCGCGCGTAACTCCCCCTGCCGGGCCGGCCCAGGTGGGGCCACCAACCGGCCATTGGTGGGCGCGCACCGCCGCCGACGACGGTGCCGCTGTGACGCGCGGGCGTACGCTGCCCCGGGCCGCCCCCGCTACGCTCGAGTACGACGGCCAGCTGCCGCCGACGGTGCCGAGTGAACGGTGCGGCCTGTAGCGAGTCACCACAGGCTGGCCTGACCAGTCTGAGGTGCTCCGCGGTCCTGTGATGGGGTACGTGGACCGGGTGCAGACCGAGCCGGCGACCAGGACGTTGGACTGTGCGTATCGATCGTTCTTTGTGTCAGCAGTATCGTGGTCGGCGGTGTGCGTCGGCGGCAGGATCGCGGGGCGACGCCGCCCGACATCTGTCGGGACATGTGGGCAGGCTGGGTGTCGTTTGTCGGCATGCCAAACGCCGCTGGCGTGTGAGAGATGGCCCCTGCGAACCGGGAGAAATGTGCTGGCGTTTTTGTGTCAGTTCTTGCCGACAACACCGAGACAGAAATAGCTTTCTACCCTCAAACGCCGGCGTGCTACCACTTCAGTTGTTTTTGCAGTTCTGTTTATAGGGCGCATCTGCTGCGTGTTGTCGCACAATGCTTATCGGCGTCCGCTTGTGGAACTGCGGTTTTTATCGCGAGTGTGGAGATGTATGATTACAGGCTGCTTTTACCCATGGCATGATTACTGTGCTCTGCCCAGATTGTCCAAGGATCCCGTCGTAATGGCTACACGTGCAAAAGGTCAGGCATAACGGCGATTTTCATTCAAATTGCAGCGTCAGTCGTCTTGCAAGAGCGTGGAAAGCATTGAATTATTTGCTCACGTGCTCTCACATTTCTCCTGTTCGTTGGCAAAGGGCTGGTCATCAGTGATGCGTTTGTTATGAGTAAGGAGCGTCAGATCCGTACCGAGCACAGGTGTTCCTCTGAACAACAACCGTTGAGTGGTGCCATTTCAGTGTGCCCCACACCGATCGTGCTCTCGTGAATCGCTTGTGTAGTGTTGGCCGGGGTCTCACGTCGGGTTCAACTGACAAGGGTGTGTGGAGCTTCACGTGCTCGGCGGCTGGGAATGACCGTCGCGCTGCGAGCGGTCATACGAAGGTCGACGTCGGGGAAAACACCGGGCGCCGTGGTCAAGGCAGATATCAAACTCATGCCACGCTGACGGGTGGGGATGGGGGCGGCGGGATACGCTAACCGGACTGCTCCATCCGCTATTGTTTAGTAATAATGCTGGGTGAAATTGCCGCCATACGCGAGCGAATTTGCGGCGGGATGTGCTGGTCGGATGCTGTCTTGAAATGGCTTGCTACTCTGGTGTGCTTGGTGTTTCCACTCACGACGTATGGCTGGGCTGGTCGCGGTTGCTCCGTTCGCTAACTACATAACGGCTTATACACAAGTTGTGAATATTTCATCAGACGCTTTACTAATCTATGCTTGGCAGTAGTTTATCTAACGCCTTTCCGGTGCTCTGTTTCAGCTCCAGAAATCGACGGACGTCTAATAAGAGCAACAGTGTAGAGACTGTCACGCTCAGTAAAATCAATGCCCTCTCGACCGTCTCCACCTCTAGCACGGTACGCTCCGCGAGCAGCACTTGTGGGGACGCTTTTCCGACGCTCTCGCAAGCGCTCATGTTGCAAATGTGATGACGCGTACAAAGTGGAGACCGCCTATGCGAAAACACGCACGTTTGTTTGCGAACGTATTGCTCTGACCTCACTGGTACCGAGGATGGCCACCGTTTGCGTTAAGCCGTGCTCGACAAACCAGACTGGACTGTCTGTATCTCTGGTCAACATAATGCTTTCGCAGGTCTGGCGAATGCCGTTAGTGGTATAAATGTATGATCCGGTTTCATCGGACAAATTTATCCATGCTTTCTGAAGATGAGGTAGTATACAAGCAATGCTGAAATCGGAAAGCTCATCGCTGCGGTGCCTTGTTGTTGCGTGATAGCTTTTACCGGTCTTGCAGCCGAGTCCAGCGTTTTTTTTTTGTTGTTGTACTTTTTGGAGTTCAAACATTGCTGCCGGGTCGTCGTATACCGATAAACCCTTGCGGGTCCCGAACGATATCGCCTACCAGCCAAACCCTTCTTGCTTCGGTATTTTTCTCGTTCCCCGCCGCTGCTCTCAGACCGTGCTCTCCTTCTGTCTGCTTCTCCTATGCTTATACGTGACGCTGACCACCGTCCTCTAGCCGCTTGGTGAGGGTGCGAGCGCCTCAGAGCGTGGCCCGTGTCGGCAGGCGTCGGTAGCGATGGCGTCGGCACCGCGGCTGCGCCCGGCGGCGCGGTCCGGCGCCGCCGAGGTCACCAGCCACGGCCGCAGGTCACACCGGACCAGCGGCCGGCAGGCTATCGACCCCGCGCTCAAGGAGTACCTGGCCTACAGCAGCGACGAGGAGTTTGAGGAGTTCATGTACGCGGCGCAGCCTCACGGCCGCCGGTGCTGATGCCCGTCACCCGTTCGGCGGCCAACAGACGGGGACTGCGGGGTCAGGGGAGGGGGGGGGGGGGGCGCTTGTATGATAACGCCCGTGTAAATGTCAGGTGTTATGAGGTAAGTGGTACTCTGTTTTAGTTTGTTATCACTTATTGCGCCGTATAAAGTGTGGGAGGTTTCCATCGCTAAGGTAGAACATGGGGTAATATTTCCTTCATGCGCTACTGCCGTGTGAATGTCCTGGCTCTTTGTAGAAGAGATTTACAAACACTAACAGCTAACTATCGCGCGATTCCTTAGAACGGCGTCCAGCTTCTCTGGAGAACGTCAGTCAGTCTGCGGTGCTGATCTGGAGGCGCCCCCAGCGCACCGGCACCCGCCATTACCGTCCGCTGACGCCCGCCGCTGTTTCAGGAGTAAGCCCAAGACGGACTACACGTACGCGCGCAGCGTCAGCTACAACGTCATCAGCCCGGAGCGGGTGACGCCGCCTAACATGTCGCGCCGCTGCCTGCACTCTCCGGGGAGCACGCCGGCGCTCGGTGAGCGGGCAGCCGGCGGCTGCGGACGCTGGCAGACACCCGGGCGGCCTCAGAAGGCGCACTCGGCGCCGCTGGGCTGGGGACTTCGCTGTGGTGTTACTTGTGTGTGCTGTCGCTTTTTTAAGTGCGATGCGTGATGAGTAGGGAGTTGACGCGTATTTGTCTGTCAGGCTGCCAGTTGGCAGGCATCCCAAACGTGCACGCAACGCTTTGGTTGGCTGCCACCTGAGGTGCGCCTCACGCATAAATCAGTCGCTGCGGGCTTGCGGATGGCTACGCCACGGTCTTCGTGTTTTGTTTACGGACGTCGACGGCGAAGGTCGCCGCTGTGCGAGCTAACAATGGCGTCGACCCAGTTTAGACGGATCGACACCAGGTTAACACGGAGGCGTGCCGCAGTGCGCTGCGGCTGCGAGCCGGCACAACCGACCGCGCCGACTCACCAGCCGACGAGAGAAGCGTGCCGCTGACTCGCATGTGTGATGTTTGCAGACCGCTTCGATACGCTGGCGTCCTCCAGAGCCGTGCGCAGCTTTCGGCGGGAGGTCACCTCGCACGTTACCACCAGCGTTTCCACCGCCTCGAAAGGTCGGCACCCTCCGCTCCCCGGCGCGCCAGCGCTTGTGGGGGCGAGGTGGGGGCGTGGGGAGTGGCCGGCGCGCCGTCTGTTTTGAATGTTAGCGTGCCTGTCGTGACGGGAGGTCCGACCCGCCGACTCCTTGTCGCCCCGCCCATCGTCGTGGTGTTCAGCTCGACCTGCGTTACAGGGCGTGTGACGGCGGGCGCCTCGACCGTTCCCATCTCTCGCGCGCCTTGTGCCGACCTCGCCCGTCATATCTCCGGAGCCGAGGGTGACACCAGTCCAACGTCGGACCTCTCCTCGCCGAATACCCGCTACAGACTGGCTCCGGACGGTCTGTACGGCGGCCCCCCACCCATCCGTCCGTCATCCTCTGCCGAATGACTCCGAGCCGCCTGCGCACCGGTCCTCGCTGCCAACCGACTGCCGACTGTGGGCTCGCCTGGCACCCTCTGGTCACCTGACGTTCACCACGGACTGGCCCTGGACTGTGCGGGCAGCGGTCGGCCCTCGCAGTACTGGGCTGCCTTCCATCCCCACGTAGTCAGCGTAAAATCCCCATTACCGAGCCCGACTCGCTTCGCTGACGTTTAGAAGCCAGAAGTCGGCTGACAGCTGGTGGCTCCCGTCAGTAATTGCCTTTGGCAGTCGAAAGGTGTTTGAGATTCACGTGCCCGTTGGTGGCTTCCAGTTTTAGGTAGCAGCCTGCGACGTCATACCGCCGAGACTATCGATAAATTGTAAGACTGGAAAAACGTGTTTTTGCGTTTTTTTACAGGGTTGTGCATTTACTTCTGCGGTCACTGATCTGTGACGTACTGCATCATGTAAGATTATTAGATCGCCCCACATGAGCTCTGATGCCATGGATTATTCATAATGGAAGACAAACAGTGGGGTAGCTGATGGGCTTGTGTCAATACACCCCGACCAAACAGCCGCAGTGGCGCGCCGCGAAGAGTGGCGGGCCTGAATGAGATGAGAGCTGCCCCCAGATGGTGAGAGGCGCGCTGTCGCCCTGCGGCCCCGCTCTCGCTTCTTCCAGGAGGTTATGGGCGCCATATGACCAACGTAGTCGGTGCGCCCCAAAACCCAAATCATCATCATCATTCCAGGAGGGTTGTACGAGATCTCCAGAGGCCTGGACGCCGACTCGGGAGACGAGGAGTGGGCCGAGATGGAGAACAACAACGTCTCCAAGTCGTTGGCGACGGGGCGCTATCTCTCGCACGAGACAAAGACCCGTGAGCACCAACCGCACGCGACAGTGTTTGTTATGTTTTGCGTGTCTGTCCTAGTTCTGACCGGGCTATTCGCGGCTGTTTATTGACTTGTCACGTTTAATCTTTAACCTTAATGGGGAATTCGTCTTTTTGCACTGTTGTCAGATTAGGGCGCGTCTGCACACGCGTCGTTTGAGCTGAACACCAGGTTCCTGAAGCACTTCTTGCGATCTTCCGGCGTCGGCACATTGGCCACCGTCTAAGAGCACTTGCAAGGCCGCGTCTGTTTGGATCTGCCTCGTGACCGACTCATGATTCACGGCTCTGGCTGAGCTGGTGTCAGCCTCTGGGTGCGTGCCAGCCGTCCTGCCCTGTGACGTTGGCTGCTGCCGTTGCAGGCTGGACCGCCCGCTCGGTGGTCACCACCCTGCTGTACCCGTTCACGTACCTGTGGCTGGCGGCGAGCGGCGCCGGCCGCCGGCTGCTCCGGCGCCAGCACAGGCCACCGACACCCGACGCCGCACTCGCCGCCGCTCCCGCCGCCGACACGGTCGACTACCGGCGCTGGATGCGCGGCCTGAGCCAGCCGCCGGCCGCGCGGACGGCGTCCAGCCTGACCGAGTCGCACTACTGGCTGCGGCGCGGCGCGGCGGCGCAGGGGCCGGCGCCGGAGCGGCTCTCGCTGCCGCGCCGCGCCGGGCGCCGCGTCGCCTCCGCCGTCGTCGCCGTCGCCAGCACGGCGGCGGCCGTGGTGTGGTACCTGAACCCCGTGCGGCTGGCTGCCGTCGGCTACACGGCCGCGTCCAGCCGCGTGTCGGCCTGGGCGCGCGCCACCAGCGAGGCAGCCGACCTCCCGCGCCGCTCGTCAGCCGTCATGCACTGTCTCAACCCGGTCACGTGGGTCCGCGCCGCCGGCCGCGGCCTGGCCGCCGGCTGCAGCGCCCTCTACACCGTCACCACCACCACGGTCGACTACCTGAACCCGGCGCCGGTGGTGCGGTCCGGCTGGCGCACCGTCACCAGTGCCGTCACCGCCACCAGCGACTTCCTGAACCCGGCGCCGATGGTGCGGTCCGGCTGGCGCACCGTCACCAGTGCCGTCAGCACCACCAGCGACTACCTGAACCCGGCGCTGGCTGTCGGCACCGGGCTGCAGTGGACCGGCGCGGCGGCGGCGGGAGCCGGCCGTAGTGTCTGGCGCACTGTATGGCCCGGCGCGGCCGGCTCTCGGCGCTCTGCGGCCGGGAAGCGGCAGCCGGGCGCCGGTGGGTTCGGCTCCTTGCTGACGGACGCTGCGGCCGGCCGTGGCGGCCGGCGGAGACTCTGCCTGTGTCTGCTGCCGCTGCTGTTGCTGCTGCTCCTGCTGCTCATCCCGCTGTTTTGTGAGTGCACCGCCCGCGCCTGCTGACACCCGTACCATGGCCCGCTGTATTGGTGTTACAGTACCGACGGCTATGTCGCGCGTACATCAGCGACGAGGCACACACGAAGCGAGTGAGAACTGCGCAAAGACGCGACGCGCCTTGGAAAGTGAAGCCAGGTGTCCGCACGCGCACTGGCATGTCAGATGCATGGCAGCTAAGAACCAATCTGGTGCCGATTTTTCATTTTATTTTGTTTCTGTGTCACGGATGCAGCAGCTCGCGCTCAGCGGCGGCGCCGACCTAACGTGTCACGCGTCTGTCGCCAGGGGGCCTGTACTGCGAGGACGACTCGGCGGCGGCGACGGCGGCGGCTAGCGAGTCAGCCCTGCTGCGGCAGCTCAAAGCCGCCCCGACCACCGCCTGGGCCGTCCTCAAGGACACGGCCGCATTCGTGGGAACCAACACGGTGAAGACGGCTAGCGTGAGTGGGCCGACGCGCGGTGATCCGCATCTGCGATCTAATTTGACATGTGAAAGGCACATTCAGCATTGTTCGGCCACACCCGCCAGATGGCGAGATGGAGCTCTCCCGGTTTCCAGATCTCGGGAGAGGGGGGGGGGGGGGGAGGGGGGCTCTGAAGCCCACTGACAGAGCAGAGGTGAACAAGCTCCTTGAGAAAGCGAGGGTTTACTCACCAGTCTCGTGACGTTGTATGTGACGGGAACGACTACCCGCAACGTTGGTACGTCCTTAAACGTGCGTCAAGTTCTACCAGCAGTTGCTTTGAAATAGGCTCAAGAAAAACGCAACATTACCTGTGCTGTGTGTCCCGCCATTGTGTGGACCGTCCGGGCGCAGCCCTGTGTGGCCTTGAAATGGCTCTCCAGACGTATTGAGTTCCAACGTGGATTGGGCGTGGATGCCTTGGGTCCAGGACTCCATTCATCCGCATGCTATTGACGGCGAGATTATGGCGTCCGCTTGACGTCACGTGTGTGCGCCGCTCCTGGCTGTGCACCGCTCGCGGTCGTAGTGATTCGAAAGGTTCCGTGTCAAGCCGGGCGTTCCGCTAGCTTGGTACACTGCGGCGAAGCGGTCGCTCGCTGTTGTCTTTTGGGTGGATCTCTGCTGTGTGCGAGGTTAGCGGGCCATTGAATCGGCGCTTGCTCCGTCGCTGTCTCTGGCTCCCCGTTCACCGACGCCTCGCGCGTCTGGCGTCTGTTTCGCCGCGTCCGTCCAGCGTTTCCAGGGCCGTGGGTCTCAGTCGGCGCTGCTGTGGGCGCAGCGTTCCGGCGCCGTTCAGTCCCGCCGCGTCCCGGCTGAGTCACGTGCGCTCGCCGCTGTTCGCGGCGCGGGTGTCGTGTGCGTCGCCCACAGCGGACGCCGTCCGCGCTGCTCCGCCCACAGCGGACGCCGTCCGCGCTGCCCCGCCCGCAGCGGACGCCGTCCGCGCTGCCCCGCCCATAGCGGACGCCGTCTGCGCTGTCCCGCCGCCGTCGTCGCAACGGTGCGCCTGCCGCGGCGAGCCGTTGGTGGCCGCTCAGTTGGCGTCGCCCTCCAGCCATCGGCACGTGATGCTCAGGGCGATGGCGTGCGGGCTGGCGCGCCAGTGGATGCCCGTCAGCACCTCGCCGGCGGCCAGGCTGCAGGCGAGCGCCGCCGGCTCCTCGCCTGCCGCGGCGGCGAGCGCGCGCGCCGGGCCGAGCCGGGCGGCGAGCGCCTCGGCAGAGTGCGGCTCACTGCCGCAGGTGCTCGCCAGGCGGATGGTGTGAATAGCGCCCTCGGTGCTCTCGAACAGGTGGTTGTCCTTGCCGTTGCCGCTGGACACGGTGATGATCTTCTCCAACGCGGGGCCGAAGCGCACGCAGCGCAGCTGTAGCAACTGCGGGTACTTTTGCTCCCACTTGCCTGTGACGATGCCGTACGCTAGGTAGTCAGTGCTGCCACAGGAGATCGCCTCGCCGCTGCAGTTGGCCGTACGCGTGTCGTACCGCTCGGGTGGCACGCAGTCGCCGGCCGCCTCCAGCAGCGGCAGTGGGCAGCGGCACGTGCGCTGCAGACAGCGCGCGCCGGCCGCCAGCCGCGCGCAGTCAGCGTCGGCGGCGCACTGGTCATGCAGGCGCGCGGCGCGGCTCCGCAGCAGCAGCGCGCAGCCGGGCGCCGACAGCCGGCTGCTTGTGTTGCCCCGCCGGCCGTACAACCGACAGCCGGGTGTGGACGCTGGCGGCGGGCAGTGGCCCAGGCTGAGGCAGCGCGGCCGCGCAGCGCACGCCCGCTGGCACAGGCACCGGTCGGCGCCGGCCAGGGTGGCCAGCAGCTCGGAGTCAGCCGGCGTCTCGGCCAAGCCCGACTCCTCGAACGCCAGCGGCGGCGGCCCGTCGGTCGGCTCGCCTGACACGAGGACCGCATTCAGGCTCACCTTTTGGCCGAGGCACAGGCATAGATCAGGGCGGAGTAGGAGCACAACGGAGAACAGCATGACTGGCCGCCGGCGCGTTCTTGACCCTCGGCTCGGCGGCGGCTGGGGTTTTGTAGCGAGCTGCCTCGTCCCGCCCCGCCCACGGACCTGCAGGGTGTCGACACTCCCTGATTTGTTTGAGATGTGATTGCTGTTTGTCATGGCGTTTTGATGGACAGCTACGTTCTGAGCTGGCGGGAAACTCTGAGTAGGCTCACTTCTTGACACATTGTTGTCAATATGGGTGGTTCTAGCCCGGGCTGGTGTCATCGCAATCAAAGCGCTACACGTTGAAAACAACTCAAAGAAATGAGTTTCGGTGCAGATAATTTATCAGTGCCAACCTGTTTTTGTTTCTGGAGAATGGGGCGATGTTATTGCCATGACTGCCGGAACGTGCGCTAGGGCTTTCAGAATATTAAAAAATGCCTCTACGGTTATGAAATGCTTTGATGATGCCTGCACGCGGCGCATTTTATGTATGCCTCATTTTTCCGTACTGTGCATGTCCATAAGTGTTTAGCACAAACTTCTGTCCGGGACATATGATACTGGCTGACGAGTCACAAACTGCTGTCCAGGACACGTGGCGCTGGCTGACGCATCACAGGCTGCTGCCTCAGGACACGTGGCGCTGGCTGACGCGTCACAGACCGCTGCCTCAGGACACGTGGCGCTGGCTGACGCGTCACAGACCGCTGCCTCAGGACACGTGGCGCTGGCTGACGCATCACAGGCTGCTGCCTCAGGACACGTGGCGCTGGCTGACGCGTCACAGACCGCTGCCTCAGGACACGTGGCGCTGGCTGACGCGTCACAGACCGCTGCCTCAGGACACGTGGCGCTGGCTGACACGTCACAGACCGCTGCCTCAGGACACGTGGCGCTGGCTGACGCGTCACAGACCGCTGCCTCAGGACACGTGGCGCTGGCTGACGCGTCACAGACCGCTGCCTCAGGACACGTGGCGCTGGCTGACGCGTCACAGACCGCTGCCTCAGGACACGTGGCGCTGGCTGACGCGTCACAGACTGCTGCCTCAGGACACGTGGCGCTGGCTGACGCGTCACAGACTGCTGCCTCAGGACACGTGGCGCTGGCTGACGCGTCACAGACCGCTGCCTCAGGACACGTGGCGCTGGCTGACGCGTCACAGACCGCTGCCTCAGGACACGTGGCGCTGGCTGACGCGTCACAGACCGCTGCCTCAGGACACGTGGCGCTGGCTGACGCGTCACAGACCGCTGCCTCAGGACACGTGGCGCTGGCTGACGCGTGTGTGGTCACCTGGGGTCTGTCGTGCCGCAGGGCATGTACGGCTACCTGGCGCTGCTGGGCAGCTCGGCTCTGGCGCCGGCGCCGGTGGCCGCCCCGATCACGGAGCCAGTGTTCGTGTCGCCGCCGGCCGCGGCCCCGGTCCCGGCCCCGGCCCCGGCCCCGGCCGCGGCCGCCGCGTCCGACCAGTCGCTGGCGGCCGTGTACACGCAGCTGGAGCAGCTGCAGGCCAAGCTGGCTCTGCTGCAGACGGACTTCCAGGTGAGTCGGCCGACCAGACAGAGGTGTCGTCAGCGGCGGCGCCCGGCTGAAGGGCGGCGGCGGCGGCACGTGTCGCCATCAGACCGGCAGCGGCCCGACTGCCTGGCCCTTGCTGCCGCTCGGTGTGAAGTCTGCTTGTCTCCGGAGGCTTGTTGATAGTTTCCCCCCCCCCCCCCCCCCATTGGACACGCTGACACGCAATAGCAGCAACCTCTGGCGATATCACACCTGCAAGGGTCCATGGTTGGCCGTGCCAGGTCACTCTGTGAACCCGGGCGGTGCGGCCGTCCGTGACCGGCCGTGGTGGTGACCTGCCCGTCCGTGACCAGCCGTTGTGGTAACCTGTCCGTCCGTGACCAGCTGTGGTGGTGACCTGTCCGTCCGTGACCAGCTGTGGTGGTGACCTGTCCGTCCGTGACCAGCTGTGGTGGTGACGTGTCCGTCCGTGACCAGCTGTGGTGGTGACCTGTCCGTCCGTGACCGGTTTTGGTGGTGACCTGCCCGCGTACTCGCTGTCCCTGGCTGGCTTTGGCGCTGACCAGCCTCCGCCTGGTGATAGCCGGTAGCCGCTGTCCTTGACACTGACCGACCGTGACACTGACCGACCGTGACACGGACCGGCCGTGACACTGACCTGCGGTGGCGTCCGTCGACAGGCGTGCCGCGCGGCGTCGGCGGCGGCGGCGCGGCCGGACGCCCTGCGCGCCGCGCTGGGGCTGGCGGCCGGCTCGGCGGCGCTGCTCACCGGCGACCAGCTGGCGGCGGCCGAGAAGCGCCAGACGGCGCGGCTGGTGGGCCTGGACGGCCGGCTGACGCAGGAGCTGTCTGCCGTCCGCCGCCAGCTGCAGGAGCGCGCCGACGCCGACCAGCAGCGCCGGGCCGACGGCGAGGCGGCCGGCGCGGCCAGCGCTGCCGAGCTGGCGGCGCGGCTGGCCGAGCTGCAAGCCGTCCGCGAGGCACTGGCTCAGCTGGAGGCGGACGCTGGCCGGCGCGAGGAGCGCGGCGCCGCGCTCGCCGCCAAACTGACCCAATTGCAGCAAGAGTTCAGCGACCTAAACCGTCTCCTACTGGTGGTCCAGGTGAGGTCTGCTCCGCACTTGGGGTTGGGCCAGGAATAATTATCCATTATAATATCTGCGAATTTGCAACGGCCGGTGGCCTTCATCGTTGTCCAGCTTTGTGTCCGTACACAAATCGTCGTCTGCTGCTCGCCAGCGCGGCGGCTCCACGCGGCATCAAGCGGACCGGACCGAGCGGACGCCATGCGACCCGGATCCCGATCCCCTGACGCCCGCCACGCCGTGCCGTGCTCACGCCTGCGCCCGTGCCTGTTCGCAGGAAAGCCTGAAACAGGTGCGCTCGTGCTGTAACCGGACCGACCCGGACTGGAGCGCGCTGCTGAGCGGCCGGCTGCAAGACATGGAGCGCCAGCTGGAGGAGCGGCTGCTGGTGCACGCGGCCACCATCAAGCAAGGTGAGCGGGTGGGCTCGCGCCGGCGCAGGAGCTGAGCCAGAGCCGGAGCCGGAGCCGGAGCTGAGGCGGAGCCGGAGTCGGAGCCGGAGCCGGAGCCGGGGCGGAGAGGTCGACGTCCGCCGGCGCGAGGGTTAGGTTGTCGCGGGGCCAGGCTTGACGGGTGCCGCCAGGCCCCGCGTTCGTTTAGGTATTTACGCGCGCTTGTCGCTGATAAATTGGGCCGCGACTCGGTGCAGGTACGCCTGTTTTATGGCTGAGTAATATGCAGCGGGTACTTGTGAACTGGCGCGTTGATTGGTACAGTTAGCTGCTGCCATACCTGCCAACAGACTGTTTTGACGCACTGTTGCCAGACATCGTCCTGACCAGGTGCACTGGGCGGTTCGCTGCCAGCTGGTCACTGGCGTTTGGTCGTGGGGCACCTGATGGAAGCACCACATATGGCTAGCAATAGGCAGAAGGTTGTATGATTTTGCCGACGCGGGGACCCGATCACACCCTCGGTATATGGCGACGACACCAGGACCTAATCACATCGTCGGTGTATGGCGAAGACACCGGGACCTGATCACATCCTCGGTGTATGGTGACAACACCAGGACCTGATGACAACTTCAGTGTATGGTGACGACACCAGGACCTAATCACATCCTCGGTGTATGGCGAAGACACCGGGACCTGATCACATCCTCGGTGTATGGTGACAACACCAGGACCTGATGACAACTTCAGTGTATGGTGACGACACCAGGACCTGATCACACCTTCGGTGTATGGTGACGACACCAGGACCTGATCACACCCTCGGTGTATGGTGACGACACCGGGACCTGACCACATCTTCGGTGTATGGCGAAGACACCGGGACCTGATGACACCCTTGGCGTATGGTGACGACACCGGGACCTGATCAGACCCTCGGTGTATGGTGACGACACCGGGACCTGGTCACACCTTCAGTGGATGGTGACGACATCGGGACCTGATCACACCCTCGGTGTATGGTGACGACACCAGGACCTGATCACATCCTCGGTGTATGGTGACGACACCGGGACCTGATCACACCCTCGGTGTATGGTGACGACACCAGGACCTGATCGCATCCTCGGTGTATAGTGACGACACCAGGACCTGATCACACCCTCGGTGTATGGTGACGACACCAGGACCTGATCGCATCCTCGGTGTATGGTGACGACACCGGGACCTGATCACATCTTCGGTGTATGGTGAAGACACCGGGACCTGATGACACCCTTGGCGTATGGTGACGTCCTGCCCCGTCCAGAGTTGACCCTGTCGCTCTCACCTTCCCACGGTCAGAGCGTATCGCCGGACGCCACCCATCCCTGTTATTCTGTGGAATAGCATCATTCTGTCATTCTCTGCTTATCCTGTACCCGCGGGGACATGGAGGTGCCTTCTCGTGCGCGACCCTGTCTCCTTGGGCCCGGGCATATCACCTGTCCACACCCTGCGTGTTTCGAGGTAACGGCTTGCCCCGTCCGGACACCACCAAGCCGTCAAACTTGGTGCCGCCAGGTGTTCTCCGCCGCCCACGTCGTGGGATCATTACGTGCTGTCCTGTCATGAAACCTAGCATCCGTAGGCCTCCCCCCCCCCCCACGTCTTTAGGTGGGTCACGACGCGTTCTCTTGTCCAGAAGCCTAGTGTCCTCAGACCATCCGCCATTCGTTCTTTGGGTGGGCCGTGACGGGTTGTCCTGTCCAGAAGCCCGGCGCCCTCAGACCCCCTCCCTTCTTTAGGTGGGTTGTGACGCGCTCTCCTGTCCAGAGGCCTGGCGTCCTCAGACCCCCTCCCTTCTTTAGGTGGGTTGTGACGCGCTCCCCTGTCCAGAAGCCTGGCGTTCTCAGACCTCCCCCTTCCTTAGGTGGGTTGTGACGCGCTGTCCTGTCCAGAAGCCTGGCGCCCTAAGACCGCCCCCTCCCCACTACCCTTGTTACGGCGGGTCGTGACGGGCTGCCCTGGCCGCACAGCGCCTATGTACCATCTCCAGCACACTCGTGTGCGCGGGCTGTCGGCAGACCTGGCCTTGGAGACCGCGCCGGCCGTGGCAGTTACAGGCGTCAGCCGGGCCGACGTGGAGACCATCGCGCGCCAGACGCTGGCTCTGTACGACGCCGACAAGACGGGCAAGTTCGACTACGCGCTGGAGTCAGCCGGCGGCAGCGTCGTCAGCACCAAGTGCACGGAGTCCTACAACGTCAAGTCGGCGCGCATCTCCGTGCTGGGCATCCCTCTGTGGTATGCGTCCAACAACCCGCGGACCATCATCCAGGTACCAGCTGTCGGACGTGGCGTGCCCCGGCGTGTGTTTGTGTTCCCTCTCGCTTGATAAATCTTTTGAAGTTGATCATATCAAACAAAAGAAGGTTCCAAACTCTACGTACAGATACAAAGATCAATGAAAAGGTGTAAGCTCACTGGGCTGGCATTGACATGCAAAGATCACGTACACATGTAGGTGTAATAACAAGTGTCACTTGTATATGTTCAGAACGGGCGTAGGGTTCCCGTTAGAGCGGGTTCGTTCAACGCGTCGGCTTCGCTAACCAGCGTGGATTGTCCGTGAACTCCACGCGTATCTACTTGCATTGAGAAACTGCTTGCAGTTACCGCGTTTGCCGTCCACGGCACCGTCCGTTTCCTGTAACCTGTTCTCCGTCTGGACCAGTGTGCACCGCTGTTGTGGTCGAGCTCAGTGTGCCCGACACCCTGTCACCAGCTTCGTCTGAACCAGCGTTGGCCGCTGTCGTGGTCGAGCTCAGTGTGCCCGGCACCCTGTCACCAGCTTCTTCTGAACCAGCGTTCGCCGCTGTCGTGGTCGAGCTCAGTGTGCCCGGCACCCTGTCACCAGCTTCGTCTGGACCAGTGTTCGCCGCTGTCGTGGCCGAGCTCAGTGTGCCCGACGCCTCGTCACCAGCTTACACCCTCTCTCTTTCCATCGGCAGCCGCACATGAGTCCCGGCGAGTGCTTTGCCTTCCGCGGCCAGGGCTACTTCGTCATCGCGCTGTCGCGACGGATCGTGCCCACCGGCTTCGTGATGGAGCACATCTCGCGTAACCTGACGCCCAGTGCCGCCATCGACTCGGCGCCCCGGGAGTTCACCGTGCTGGTGGGTGATGCCCCCGCTCCCTCCCTCCCCTCCGCCTCCCCAGGACACCCCATCGTCAGGGACACGCGGACAGTTCACCGTGCTGGTGGGTGATGCCCCCGCTCCCTCCCTCCCCTCCGCCTCCTCAGGACACCCCATCGTCAGGGACACGCGGACAGTTCACCGTGCTGGTGGGTGATGCCCCCGCTCCCTCCCTCCCCTCCGCCTCCGCAGGACACCCCATCGTCAGGGACTCGCGGACAGTTCACCGTGCTGGTGGGTGATGCCCTCGCTCCCTCCCTCCCCTCCGCCTCCTCAGGACACCCCATCGTCAGGGACACGCGGACAGTTCACCGTGCTGGTGGGTGATGCCCTCGCTCCCTCCCTCCCCTCCGCCTCCTCAGGACACCCCATCGTCAGGGACACGCGGACAGTTCACCGTGCTGGTGGGTGATGCCCTCGCTCCCTCCCTCCCCTCCGCCTCCTCAGGACACCCCATCGTCGGGGGACTAGCGGACAGTTCACCGTGCTGGTGGGTGATGCCCCCGCTCCCTCCCTCCCCTCCGCCTCCTCAGGACACCCCATCGTCAGGGACACGCGGACAGTTCACCGTGCTGGTGGGTGATGCCCCCGCTCCCTCCCTCCCCTCCGCCTCCTCAGGACACCCCATCGTCAGGGACACGCGGACAGTTCACCGTGCTGGTGGGTGGCGTCGCCTCGTGGGATGGGCGAAGGCGTGAAGGTGTGGGCGTCACTCAGGTGTGATTTTCAAGCCAATGCACCGTGTAAGCGTGGAGACCGCCCCAGGCAATGTGGGAGGAGATAATGGTTTAAGTTTGGGGCTCACGGAGCTTTAGAGCTGCCTTGGCTCGCAGGATTTGCGCCGACAGTTTTGTGTCCAGGCCTGTGCCAAGCACCACCGTCCGAGGCCAGTCTGCTGTCCAAAGGCAAAACCCGATATGTTCATGTTTGACCATTTTGTGTTTTTTACGTCCTTTGATTCGTCTTATCGTGCTGAATTGGGTTACTTAAACCCTTCGTCGATTTTTTCACAAACTTTTAGCCTTCCTGGGCTAAAAGTCCGCGAAAAGTTCAACGCAAGGCTTAGATAACCGAATTTAACTGGAGAAGACAGATCAAACGACATAAAAAGCGCAAAATGCCCAAACCTGAATATGTGGGTTTTGCCTTTGCACGGCAGCAGTGCCGGGACCTGTCACGGGTCCGGACTGCGTGGCGCGGCCGGCCGAACCCCGCGCGCCACCTGACCTGTCTGCACCACGCCGCCAGGGCCTGGCCGACCCCCAGGACCGGGAGGGCGTCGTGCTGGGCGACTACGTGTACGAGGAGGCGGGGCCGCCGCTGCAGGAGTTCGGCGCGCAGGTCGTCGGTGCCGCCGACTTCAGCGTGGTCGAACTACGCGTCAAGTCCAACTGGGGACATCCGAACTACACGTGCGTGTATCGGTTCCGCGTACACGGTGCGCCCACCGGACCCGACGGGGCGTAGCGCCGGCGCCGCCACCACGAGCGGCGCCTGGCGGCGCTCGCTCGCAACAGTACAAACCATCGCGGTGTGTGGAGGGCCGGCGAGCGCGCCGGCGACGGGCGCTGGCGGACAGGGCGCGGGGTGTGCTGTAGAGACGAGGCGGCCGGCGAGCTAGTCCTGGCCGTTCGCTGTTGGTTCACGCGTCACCAAATGCCGAGCTGTGTGATCTCTCGCGTTGAGTAGCGCTCATCTTTAGTAGGCACCGGTGCAGGCGGCCCGGTCACGGCCGCCAAGGAGCCCGTTTGTTTTGTTACACGGCCGTCGCCACCTGCGACCGCGCTTGGCTTGAGGACGCCGTTTGCTGCCCTAGGTTCGAGGATCTGTTGCCAAAGTAAGCTGCATGCGTACACGCGAGCGAGTGCCGAACGCGGCGGGTCATTTTTTGTAGATATTCATCGGGTTTTCAAACATCGCCACTGTCGAGTGCGAGGTACACTGCTTAACGATGGGATATGCGATGGATGACTGCTGGAGTGCGAACAACCATTTTTACATGCTTAGCGTGCCTTCAGATTACATGCAAAATACTTTTAAGCTTAGAAATCCGCTGCTTTACCTGAGCCCGTTTCTCGTTGGATTTCGGGACCATCGTGTTGAATAAAATTCTGTTTTAGTCATCGGCGAGTGTCGCAACGCAGCAGGCCGTCGTCAGTCTGCGGTTGACATGAATTGATCAAGCTGTTGCAATTGACGCTGCCGTTGGTCTTGAATGGACGTGGCTCAGCGTCGGACATCAAACCTGAGATTACCTTTTAATGACATGCAGCACCCTTGTTTCTCTGCGATGCTTCAGCAATCGGACGTAAACATACTTCATATGTTCACGTCTGGGAGCGTCACAATTCTGGGGCCTAGGCCAGTATCGTTTTTTTTGTGGTCATTCGCACATTTTTGAGTGGCCATTGCTATCCATCGCACGCGACGCACAACTTCCGGATCGGCTATATTGTATTCACCGTACAAAACCGGAGGCACAAGGCCACCGCGTAGCCACAATTGCACCGTAGCCCCGAAGTCCTTATCCAGCGCGCCTCACGACGGGCGCCCCTACGTCGGCCCCGAACATGGCCCGGCCGAGACTGCACCCGCCCGGCTGCCGGGGCGCCGGAGCGTGCGCAGACCGGGTAGGTCAGCACGCACACGCACACCCGCCGGCGGTCCCGAAGGCCGGGCGCTTCGTCGCCGGGTGCAGGCTTGCCCGCCTTCTCCCCCCCCCCCCCCCGGCGGCGCCGCTGGGAGGGCCACTCGCAGAGGGACGAACGGTCTGCCCCCTCCCCCCCCCCCGGCGGCGCCGCTGGGACGGCCACCCGCAGAGGGACGCACGGCCTCCCCCCCTCGGCGGCGCTGCTGGGACGGCCACTCGCAGAGGGTTGTACGGCCCCTCCCCCTCCCCCTCGGTGACGCCGCTGGGACGGCCACTCGCAGAGAAACGCACGGCCTGCCCCCCCCCCCCCCTCGGCGACGCCGCTGGGACGGCCACTCGCAGAGGGACGCACGGCCTCCCCCTCCCCCCCCCCCGACGGCGCCGCTGGGACGGCCACCCGCAGGGGGACGCACGGCCTGCCCCCCCCCCTCGGCGACGCCGCTGAGACGGCCACTCGCAGAGGGACGCACGGCCTCCCCCTCCCCCCCCCCCCCCCCCCCGACGGCGCCGCTGGGACGGCCACCCGCAGGGGGACGCACGGCCTGCCCGCCTGCGCTGAGCCAGACAGCCGTGCACGGGGCGGTAACGTGCGGCCGCCAAATCCGGCATAGCCATCTCAGAAAGGCATATCCTCAGATAACTCGCTAACAATCATACAATCTGAACTTCCAAGTCGCAAACAACGCACGCCGGCGCTCAACAGTCACCAAAACCGAACTGGTACGGATCGCTGTCGTAATATGAGTACATGAACGACACGCTCGCACCATGGGACGAGCGTTAACGTTTTCACCCAGAATGCCGCCGACTGCACGGACAAAACATGCGCAGCTGCTACACGTCTGAACGCTATACATAACTGCTACGCGGGAGTCCTGTTCAATGACGCTCGCCGAAGAGAACGGGCACCCTCAGACGGGCGATGGCACATCCGCTCCTTTGTCACACACCAAGAGCTCCAAATTCCGTTCGACCTCCAATGCTCTCAGACTTTACAGCCGACGCCCCTGCCCCTGGGGTTAGATCGTGCAGCACGCCGTTGACGGCATCGCTGCCCCTCGACGCACCGACGGCTGGCGGGCCAAAGCCCTCCGGTCCAGACCCCGACCCCGACCCCGACCACCGACGGCCGGCGGCCGAAACCCCTCCGGCCGAGATCCCAACCACCGACGGTTGGCGGCCGAAACCCAGACCCAGACCCGGCACCAGACCCAGATCCAGACCCAGATCCAGATCCAGATCAGGCCCAAACCCGATCATCAGCGCGGGGAAGTCACGCAGCCGGCCACCCCGCACTTGCCAGCTTTCCCACATCACATAGGCAGCCCAGTGCACGGCCGGCAGGAGTGTGCGGCAGCCGGCAGCAGCCTCTCCGAACCGTCGCGGCGGCCCGCCCGTCCGCTGCCGTCACTAGTGGCTGGCCGCCTCCTGGTTCAGATAGTGGAGGACGTAGTGCAGCACCAGGTCGTAGCAGTACTTGTACTCGGTCTGCGGAGGACGGACAGGCGACGGCTCAGCCCAGCGGCCCCTCCAGTGGCCAGTCGGCGCCTCGTCCCCGCTCAGTGCCGTCGTCGCCGCAGCGAGGCCCGTGCCGCCACAGGGGCCGGACCAGCACGGCCGGGTCCGCCGGCGGACGGCGCTGCGTCAAACCGTGTTCCACAGCGCCTCACGGCCGGGTGAGCCAACTAGCTCTAATCCGTGGCCGAATCCCCAGCCCCGCCGCCCGGAACACCGCATTCCGAACCGAGACTGATGGAACATTGCATTCGTGAAGCGCGGCACGCGTTTGATGCGAGTAGGTTTATCGACCAAGATCGCATCAGCCGAAATTAGCCAAGCACAGCAGCTGAAAGTGATCAGGTCAAGTAAGGGCACGTTATAGTTGAGATTTACCATCCGGGCAGCGGCTGGAGGAGAGCTCAGCACATCACGGGCTGTCGTCACCCCTGGTATGGGTAACACTCCTGGAGAACGGGCCGAACATCTGCGTAGCCGGGCCGGCCTCACCGGCGGGAGGGGGGTGAGGGAGCGGTGGCCTCACCATGTTGGAGATGAGCTGCGGCCGATGCCGGCGGACCGTCTTCACCGCCTGGAACACGTCCACCTCGCTGTGCTGGATCACCTGCTCGATGCACGCGTTGGCCGCGCAGTACACGCCCGCTCGGCACTGGCCGTCACTGCGGAACGCGTGGCGGCGCGGTGAGACGCGCCCGCGGACGACGGCGACACCGCCACCGAACGGAGGCCGGCGATGGCGACAGGGCATCGTGCAGACCTCACCGGGTCTGCATGATGACCTGACGCGACCGCGGTCAGTCGCTCCGGCGGAGCGCCTCACGCATGACAACGGAGGGCCCGGAGATCGGTCGTGACACCGGACTGTCAGGCTGTGCGAGACAGACAGCGTTCAGACGAGGTAAGACCGCCCATGTAGCGCGCGCTGAACAGAGGCCACGTCCACGGAGGCCTTTGACGGCTCGCAACGCCAACACCGAGGTAGCCTCAGCTGGCCATGAAATGAGATCCTCCCGGAGTCGCGAGCAGCTACATCTCAACGCCACGCCGGGCACCCGCGAACCTCTTGCCCGCGGCCCACGCAGACTGTCCCAAACACAGCTCAGCCCCCTCGGAGCGGCCGTGTGGCACGGCCCACATCGGGAACAGAGCGAGCGAAGCCGACACAGGAGCCAGCCGCCAGCCGCCGAGCCCAGCTCCGCCGGCCCACACTCACGGAGAGACGACGACCACAGGCCCGTAGCCGGAGCGCTGCCGCCACCGCTCCACCATGTTCATCAGCTCGACCAACGCGTTGGTGGAGGTGGGCACCTTGTAGGCGGCCGGCCAGCAGGTCAGTTGGAACAGCTGGCACGTCTTCACCTCGGCCTTGACGCCGGCCATCAGCTCAGTCAGCGAGACGATCTGTGGGCGGTGCGCGGAAGGGGGTCAGCGAGCGCTGCGGACGGGGGTCAGCAAGCGCTGCCCGGCCGCCAGCAAAGGCCCACATGGGCCGCCGGCAGGCTAGGGCAGCTACCGACGCGCGGCGGGTGTGGTGATGTCCGCGCGACCTGCGCCACGCCGGCCCCGCGCGACCCGCGCCACACCCGCCTTCGCGACCTGCGCCACACCGGCCCCCGCGCGACCTGCGTCACGCCGGGCTCCGCGCGACCTGCGCCACACCGGCCCTTGCGCGACCTGCGCCACACTGGCCCCAGCGCGACCTGCGCCACACCCGCCTCCGCGCGACCTGTACCACACCAGCCCCAGCGCGACCTGCGCCACACCGGGCTCCGCACGGCCCGCCCGACGGTGACGGCCCAGGAGCGAGCCGCTGCCTTCTGCACCAGGCGTTCAATGGCGCGGGTAAGGAAAGTCGCTAGCCACCCACGTCAGTCACCTCCCAGCGACCGACGCCGGCAAGCGCAGTCTCGGCAGTCGTGACGAAAACACCTAAGTCAGCTCTCAGCCACCGCCGCCGGCACGCGCAGCCTCGGCAGTGATGACGAGAACACCGCGGCCCATGCTGACGCAACACGGTCACGATGCTGGCATGGAGGGCTCAGCGACACGCGACATGCGGGACATGCGAGCGCTACATGGTGACATGGAGCACTCGCACCGACTGGCCGGAATACGAGCCGCACTCATCTCATCCCTTGACGAAGCCACCGTTCTTCAGCCCCAGTCCAATTGCCTGGCCGCTGGCGAATCTCTGCATGCAGCGCCAGTTCTCACCTGCGAGCCTTGATGTGGGTCCACGTTGGTCGATATGGTCTTACGGTACGGCGCTATCTCCTAGTACCAAATAGAGAAAGGTCAGAGCAGCGCTCGCGAGTGCGAGTGTGGGGAGCTAGGCCGCTATGCTGTGTGATGCAACAGAGGACACGACAGTGTTATCTGCTGGCCCGACAGCAGTACGCAGGGAACGGGTCCCGCAAACGAGGGAACGCAGTCAAAACGCAACGGAAGTTGAAAGCAGCGCGCAAATAAAAGTGTAGTTGCAAAACTATATCAAACAATACACAAAATCATGCCAGACGACACAACGAAGAGCAAACCTGAAGCAAACGGCCAGCACGCTACCTTTTTGTTGATCTTGAAGACCCAGGACTTGATGTTCTGGTAGTGCTGGTGCGATATGTGCTCGACAGTGAACACGGTGCCGTACTTCTTGGACCTGGTGCTCTCCGGCCAGAAGTGGGGAAAGCTCTGCAACGGCGGCCACCGCTCAGCGTCCTGACGTCACGTCCGAGACCACGGCGCGGCACGCGGCGCTGGCTGACACGCCCCTTCCGCCGTAGCGTCCCATCGGCCGAGACGCACGACAGACTGACAGGCGCCGATCTGAACACCGCGCAACATTGAAGATTATCAGTGGGGATGGGGATCATCACTAAGTCAAACCTACCTCACGGGGAAGTCATAAGTAAGAAGATGTCGAGCAGCTACTCGAACGGCAAAGTTTGCGAAATCGGGTTTACTTGAACAGTCCAGTAACGGTAATCAGACGGGAAACAATCCAAAAACCAAACGATGCAGATGGCAACGCCGGAAGTCAGATGCATACGCGGAGATGAGCACAACTGCACGGGCAAAACCAACCGCCAACTCCAGTCCGATTAGCCACGACATGTATCACACTGTCCAATCTCGTTAACTATGAAAACCGATGCTGCGTGAGGCACTCAGAAATTATCTCACAATTTGGCATCATATGGCCCCTTTTAGTGGAAGCCACGGTCCTAACATGAGCTGGAGCGACAAAAATGCGTCACTGGGTGTAGCCACGTCACGTAATATATTACCTTTCGCAGTACGCACTGCTTGCAAATGGACATACGCTTGACTATTTTTTACGTGAAATGCTACGACAGACGCAAACTCAACAGCCTTCTCCCAACAACGCCAACTATCCATTGTATGTCTGAGGCCAAAAACCGACCAAGAGGCCCAGGCAATAATGGACAAAACACATGAACAAAGTGCGCGGAACTAATCAAACGCAAGCAGATACTATCGCATCTGCACTGTAGCATCAGGTTCTCTAGACGATGTAGTGTGTGCGTGCGTGCGTGCGTGCGTGCGTGCGTGCGTGCGTGCGCGTGCGCGTGCGCGTGTGCTTGTGCGTGTGCGTGTACTTGTGCGGGTGCGTGTGCTTGTGCGGGTGCGCGTGCGTGTAAGTGCGAGTGTAAGTCCGCGTGTGCGTGTGCTTGTGCGGGTGCGTGTGCTTGTGAGGGTGCGCGTGCGTGTGTAGAAGATGTGTAATCTAACAACTTCGCCATGTTGTCATCGAAAGAGCGACGAAGGACCAACAATCGATGGGTGTGGTTTTCCAGTGACGGGGGCGCGGTGGGAGTAGGGGGGGGGGGGGGGTACTTTCGGTAAACGCGGGAGCATCCATATACGTATGGAGGTGGTGGTAACACTGCACAACATGAAGCCATCTATGCCAAACACTCTATATACAGGAATGTTATTTGTTCCGATGTGCTAAGTGCGTTAAATGCAAATAAAGCGTACGACCTTGTGCGAATGATGTCGGGCACGCCACGTCACATCAAGTCAGCCACAGACGTCACGCGGGGAGCGGGTTCCCAATTCAGCCAGTGGAGCGGCAGGGAGCCAAACGAGGGATATGAATCAGTCCATCAGACTCATCAGCGCTACTGCGACAATGACTCGCCTTCTCTAGGCGGCGGCTGTTTAGCTGAGCGTCAACCCATGCCACGCGCCGTCGGCGGCGATTGAGACGCACAAGTATTGACACTGAGTACATATGTTCACGCCGCGAGAGTGCTTCTTCAGCAGATCGGAGGTGACCTAAACGCAGCATTGAGGAGGAATAGAAGGGCCATCACTTCCTTCCCACATCCCTGCGACACCACTGGCTGATCATCACTGGGGACACGGCACTCGTCTAGTGTAGGCTGCGAAAAAATAACGCTACTTAACGAAACGAAAAGATGTGTCCAACAGATAGGTCCAACACGCCATACACTGGCTTATCTCGCGTAAAACAGAAAGCAAAACTGGGTAACATGAGCACAGAGGGGATCCTTCAAACAAAGTGATGACTGAGTGGTGTGCAAATTGTGTCCTGAACATGAGAGCAACAACGCTTTGAACATAAATGCATGACACACATATATTCACGGTCATGCGAAAAATGATCGCACACTTAATGTGAAGATTTTGCACACCGTTCACTATCACCCTGTTTAAGGCAGCCCGTCAGCTGCGCTTTAGAAATAAAACGAGCAGTACTCTTTGCGACGCAGAACAAAAACTGGTCGCCGTGCGACCAAATTCACCGCAATATACCCAGGACACCGATGTCCATAGCCTGACACAAAAACACACGCACGCGAAAGTTGTTCAGTGCATTAGCGAGGAACATTATTCACATAGATAAGACAGTAGCACTAGCCTTATCCCTCGGAGAAAAACACCAGGAGAACGGTGATATATATATATATATATATATATATATATATATATATATATATATATATATATATATATACAACTATATATATCTATAAATATACATATATATATATATATCTATATCTATATCTGTATCTATATATATATATATATATATATATATATATATATCTCTCTCTCTCTCTATATATATATATATACATATATATATATATATATATATATATATATATCTATATCTATACATGGGTTGATATTCTGGTAACATGCCTTCATCGAAACAATGGCAGAAGTGAATTCACTTCTCATGTCTCTATTCTCCCGGCCTTTCTCCAAGGAGTAAGGCTATTACTGCTGTCTTATCCACAGACACACACGATACATTTCGTTGGTGTTGTGTGACAGGCAAGATCGCACAGCTGACGGCCGCGCCTCACTAAAGCATTTCCGCGATCATTCCGCTGAGACTGGCTCGCTTCTCGGAATGTTCTATAACCATGTAACGCCACGCGGAAACACACAGTATGCTCATGCGCATGTGTGTTGCGTGTGCGCCACTGTTAGCCGGAGAACGCTGCACATCTGCAGGCAGTACGTGCGCGAGTGTCAAGGGGGCACCGCGGACGGCGCACATAAGCTGCGCGTGGCAACCTGCCTTGCAACAGCCGACTAATCTACTAAAACACGCCAAAATGTAAACACTCCACGGAGAGCGTCGCGCGGCATTCACACATAGCGCAACTGCGGCAAACTACAACTGTCGACTCGCGGGCGCACCCAACGAAAAAGCTGCTAAAACCAAACAGCAATAAAACCGCTTATCGCACAAGCCTCGGCGGCGGCCGTCTCGGAGAGCAGTCACCCGCGCCCGGCCTCGAAAGCGCGACTGTCCGGCGACTATCTACGCGGGAGAACAGGGCAACGCTCACGCACGGCATTCGTCCCAGCACGGGCCGTCCGCGCTCGCGCCGGCCGGGGCGGAACACACGGGGCACACGTGACCGCCGGAGGCGCGGGGGGCGAGGGGGGGGGGCGGGGGCACAAGCCGTCACACCGGCCGGGCAAAGCGGGCACGCCACAAGCTGCGGAAGCCGCGTAGCTGACGGGCCGGCCGCGGCGCGGCGCCACCGTCGCGTGACTGACCGGCGACGCCTCTGGGTTACAGAGCACGACGACGGCGCTACAGTCGTGGTCGTACACCATGGACCAGATGTCAGGCACCGTGCTGGCCAGCGGCCACTCTGTGACGATGTACTCGCGCGGGTGCGTGTAGCCCTGCAACAGCGGCGCGTGAGCAGTGGGCGGCGGTGGCGGCGGCGGCGACACCGGCGGCGGGTGCCCCTTACCGAACTGTCGCCCGGGTTGGTGAGCACCACTATCGAGTTACAGTCGTGGTCGTACACCAGGCTCCAGAAGTCGCTCTGCGTGGAGCGCAGCGGCCACTCGGTCACTATGTACTCCCGCGCGCGGTTGTACTCCTGCAAGAGGCGTCTGCGGTGTCAGGCGCGCGCGCGCGCTGCGGCCGCGCCGAGCGGGCCGCCATGGACTGGGGTACGAGGGACACGGCCACTGCGGACGGCCACAAGGCGGCGGATGCAGCCGCGCCAACCGCAAATGCGGGGACTGGGGAAGCATGCCAGAAAAGTCTCCGTGGGCGGGGTGTGGCTCGATGCCCAAAAACAAAAGCCGCGGCAAAAAACAACACAGGCTAACCGTTTGTACGAAATTAGTGAATCATCACATCACTACGTGCAAACCCCAAGAATTATACTGGTACAACATAAAAGCAATGCACAGCGAGACAATGATCCTCTAACGAACGAAACTGAGAACAACCAAGGACTGTCGTAAAATTACTTAACTCCGAAACTGACCTCTCGAGATTTGCGCCCACGCGCGAGTCTCCAGGTCAATATCAAACGGCAAATGACGGACTGACATCACTTAAAAATAGCGTTTTGTAAATCACGCAACATTTCAATAGGTACAACACACCAAATTTGGCTCACTGTAGGGTTACTAAAACTACGTATTCCAGTAAAGGGTACCAACACAGCGGTGTGTCCACCAACCACATAAAATCCATCGCACGACTCCCTGAAGACATTCCGTTCTTCCCTAAGTGCTTCACATTGAGACGTGACCACGGAATGCGAAGGCCGATAACCTGGCATTCCACAAATGACAAGCTTTTCAAAATGGACATCAAATACGTTACACGAGGAATCCTATTCCGACCCGCACCAAAATAACCGCCCCCGGCGGCCAGCCAAACATTCTCCTCGAGGAAAAAGCTCGGAACGCTGAGCTGCGGACTTCGGACCGCTCTCCGCAGCTATGCGCCGGGCGGGTCACCACATTCCGGACCTCAAAACGCCGCACAACCGGCGACGAAACGGAGCCTGACAAATTAACGCGCGGGCCGCATTCCGGCGGCGCTCCCGCCCGGATGCCGCGCGTGCCGGCCGCCGCGACAGGCAGCCGTCCACCGCGGCGGCGGCGACGACGGCTCGCCTTTCGGCCCGTCCCTGACCGCGCCGGCTCGGCAAAACACGGCGTCGCGCGCGCCGCCCGGCCCGGCTGGCCTGCCAACCCCGGCTCCCCCCCCCCCCCCCCCCTCCCCCCGCCATACTCACGTCCACGAACACGGCGTTGATGTAGTCGGTGAAGTTGGTGCCTTGGAATGAGCTCAGGTACGGGCGGAAGTTGTCGGCTGAAACGCACGCGCCGCCGACGTCAGCGTCGCCGCTCGGCAGCGCGCACAAAGGGGGTGTCGCGTCCCGCCGAGCCACGAGCGCCGCCGCCTGCCGGAATACCGGCCTAGGCGCCACCGCGGGTCGGCGGCGAGGAAAAGGCCACGATCGTCACCGCCGGCCCAGGCGCCACCGCGGGCCGGCGGTGAGCAGCGGGCCACGATCACCGCCGCCGGCCCAGGGAACACCGCAGGTCGCGGTGAGCAGCGGGCCACGATCGCCGCCGCCGGCACAGGCGCCACCGTGGGCCACAATCACCGCCGCCGGCCCAGGGAACACCGCGGGCCGGCGGTGAGCAGCGGGCCACGATCGCCGCCGCCGGCACAGGCGCCACCGCGCGCCGGCGGCGCTGGCTCGGCACTGCGTGACGTCACCCGGGACGGCCGCCGGCGGATGTGGCGTCATGGTGGACTCAGCCGGCGGGGTCAGGGCACCACAGGGGGCTCGCCAGGTAATCGCAACGTCCCGAAATACATGGTGCACAGGGTGCCATAAATCAAAGTTCATGGACTTCAAAGGTCGGAGGGGACATATAACCGCAGGCGATTGTTACCGCATGGTGCGCCTTTGCGCACGTGTTAATGTATCATTTAGATCTGCCTGGTTATACGACAAACATTTCCGGAATTTTGTGGAAGATTAACAAGAAGGCCGAGGGCGGATCTTTTAAAAAGGGTCCTGCTTTATTTTCTGGCAAAGACAAATTAAAGAGGGGATCAGTCATGCGCATTTCCACCTTTGCAAACACAACGTTGGCACGCTATACCGAGAGTGAAGAGGAAAAAGTCGATGGAGTGGCGGGAAGTTATTTCAAGCACCATCTGTCACCCAACATCGTGACTTTGGGGACATTGGTTATCTGGGATCACTGAGTTGCTTACTGACACAAACAAGGCGTCGTCGCAAACACAGCGCAGCGCACTCACCTAACATCCACCATGCGCATCGCAAACCTGCCTGGTCCGTTCAGTCGCCTCACAGCCGGCCGATGAGGTCACGCTGTCATGACGTCACACATGGAGGACTCACGCGGCACGATCATGACGTCACGGTTCTTGTGTCGGTTGTCGGCGCGGTGGCCGCCGGCGCAGTCGCCGATCGTGAACTTGGGCACCTGGCGGCAGATCTGGTTGAACTCGCGCTGGTAGTCGTTCAGCTTGTCGAGCCCTTTGACGGCCTTCTCCTTCAGCCGCTGCGACAGCTCCGACACCGGGAAGGACGAATAGCCGCACGTGACGAACTCCTCCAGCGTGTCGTACACAAACTTGTACTGGTCCTGCGGGTAGCGTAGGGACAGCTTAGGCGGGCCCGTGGCGTCGCGTGTACACCACACACCGCTGGTGACCTTCCGGGCGACGCGCTGCCCGTGTACAACTCCGAGACAACGCTGCTCGTGAACAGCCGAGAAGTACAGCGATGAACAGCCAAGAAGCACAACTGCTACCGGCCGACACCACCACTAAGGCTCTCGTCACCAGCTGAATGCGTCCTGAGTCGCCAGGGGCCTCCGAATTCCTAGTGGGGGCTCCAGAGATGGAGCGAACCAGTCATTGATCAGGTGCCACACTTGACGGCAGTGCCCGGGGTGCTTGGCTGCGAAACGCCCCCTCCCTCTCCCCACACAGCATGCCCCATCACTTCGATCCCAAAACGAGCTCGACTACCTGACAACCCACACGTCCAAACGATCAACTGGAAAGAGCACCCGCCGCTGATCAGCTGAGTGTGTGAAGACCAGCCAGTGCGCATCTGGATCCGGAACCTTCATCACAGCACTTTTCTTCCACAACACTGGGGAGTGGAGGGTATGCCTAGTTTCGTGGCCGAGTGCCAAGTTGAAGATAAAGGCAGTGTGTAAACGCTTGGCCCCCATCTGAAACAGCTCACTGTCGCCAAAAAGGAGTACTATGCAAAAACGCCCTCTTCACACATCAACGCGGCCACCGAACTCACCATCCTCTCATCATTAACGCCATCGAAGATCATCTTCAGTCTGCCGCGTCAATCGATCCCCACCCGGCCCCCTACGCCAGCCAGCACGTTCGCTCTTACTCCGGCGGCTGCTCAGTACTCACCTCACGATCACCTCCCGCTGCCCCCCCCCCCTCCCCTCCATCTCAACCCCAGCCGGTCGGCACGTGCACCCGCGCTGACGACCGCTCGGCACTCACGATCGTCTCGATGAGACCCCGCCGGGCCTGCCGCATCTTCTTCAGGTAGCCGTAGACGTCGAACACGCCGTCCTCCTCGGCCAACTCAATGTTGGCGTCAATCGCCAGGAACACCCCTGACCGGCCCGCTCCGTCACTGACCGGAAGAGGCAACGTTGTCAGGCGCGGGACGACACGGTACCTCTCCGTCACTGACCGGGAAAGGCAACGTTGTCAAGCGCGGGACGACATGGTACCGATCCGTCACTGACCGGGAAAGGCAACGTTGTCAGGCGCGGGACGACACGGTACCGCTCCGTCACTGACCGGGAAAGGCAACATTGTCAGGCGCGGGACGACATGGTATCGATCCGTCACTGACCGGGAGAGACAACGCTGTCGGACGCAGGACGACACGGTACCGCTCTGTCATTGACCGGGAGAGACAACGCTGTCAGAAGAGGCCTGACCGGCCCGCTCCGTCACGGACCGGGAGAGACAACGCTGTCAGACGCGGGCTGACGCGATACCGCTCCGTCACTAACCAGGAGAGATAACGCTGTCCGGCGCGGGATGACACGGTACCGCGCATCACTGACCGGCGGAGACAACGCTGTCAGACGCGGGCTGACACGGTACCGCTCCGTCACTGACCAGGAGAGACAACGCTGCCAGACGCGGGATGACACGGTACCGCGTATCACTGACCGGCGGAGACAACGCTGTCAGACAAGACATAACACGGCAGCTCTCCGTCACTGACCAGGAGAGACAACGCTGTCCGGCGCGGGATGACACGGTACCGTGCATCACTGACCGCTGGAGACAACGCTGTCAGGCGCGGGATGGCACGGTACTGCGTATCACTGTGAGACAACTCTGCCATGCATGGGCTGACACAATACTGTGACTTATTGGTCGCGCAGAGACACTGGGGTCGGGCATGGTATAATTACAGCAAAAATAAGGCCCTTCGCGATCCAGGGCGCCTTCTTTCTCAACTGTAAATCTTGGGCCTTAGACTGCAACGCAGCACAAAGATGCTGTGCGGAACAGTACTAATCCAGGCGCATGCCCTCGACAGCAGACAGGTCAGAAGGGGTGAACTGATTGGTGACCGGTTCATTCCTTCGACGGCGTTAGACATATAAACATGCAGACATCAGGCCAGTAAAGGGCCACAAGGGGCCATCGAGGTTGGCCTAACCCAGATTCCGCACTCACCCTTGACACCAATCTTACCACCTGACCTGCCTGAATGTAGCTATAACTGAGATCCTTAGACCGATAGAAGTTGTTCAAACGATTCTTAAATGTTGCTAGGGAGGGACTTCCTGCAACTTCGTTTGGCAATCCGTTCCAATGATTCACTTTTTTTTTTTACCAAATCACATCTGCCCCTGCACAGCTCTACTCTTACCTTTTGTTACTTTAAATTGGTTCCAACTAAGTCTCGGCCTAACCTCCAGCGCTCCCTGTACATCTGCCTCGTCTATCCCTTTCATAATCTTGAATGCCATTATCAAATCTCCTCAAAGTCTACGATATTGCAGTGAATACCAATCCAAAGCCTTAAGCCTATCCTCATGTTTTAAGATGGCCTACCCATATATCATCCTAGTTGCTTTTCGCTGTACTCTCTTCAGCCTCAGCAGCTCCATTCGTTTTTGGAGGCATGGGAAGCAAGCTTCTCTAGGTGTGGTCTGACACAAGCCACGTACAACTTTTTGACAACATTCCTTCTCTTGTAATGGACATTCCTGTTTACAAGTCCCAGCATCGGAAATGCCTCGCTCCTAGCAGCCCCACATTGCTTTTCAGCCTTTAAATCCCTGGAAATTACAACTCTAAGTCCCCTCCGTCTTCCACAAAGTCAGCTGTAACTAGATCGTTCAGCCTGGGTACCGAGCCATGACATAAGTATCATAGAACGAGTGCAAACAAAAATGCGGGATGAAGTACCGCTAGTACTAGGGGGGAGGTTCGCACGTGACTGCTGGTGTAGTGCCACACCATAATATTCGGAGCGCACTACTCCCATTCCCATGCGTCATACTGCATAAGTACATGTATGACATGCCCCACAATCATGTAAGTCTGTCCATGACCGCCTGACTGGTATAAGGCGATACCCATCCCTCCACAATGTTGATAACATCAACAAAGCGGTGCGCAATCCTCCACTCTGATGACGACATCCATTCATTTTTGAGGGCACGCGATACACGTCGTCATACGCGATACACGTGAGGCTTTGGATTAGCCCGCCCCTTTCACTGAGCGTCAGCGAATGCACTGCCTATATTAGCGCTCAGGGGCACACGGCACAGCCGGGACTTCAATTTGGGCCCCGCGTAGGAGTCCGCATGCTCCGTGGCGTGTAGCTAACAAAGAGACTGGCCCAAAATTGTGGGGCGCACACGTCCCGACTCACGTCGTTATCATGTTTGTAACGCACCGTGCGATGGGCGCAACGGCACGTGCTGAGCCCGTGAGGCGGAGACTGCGGCGCCCAGCACCACGTCGTGCGGCTGACAGCAATTAGCACGTGTCCGGGCCGACATCAAACAAGCGGAAGAAGAAGTGAGCCGCCGTCACGCGCGCCGAGACCGGCGCTAACAAGCTGGCGGCTGTGGACGCCGGTAGGCCGGTCCTCTGTGCCCAGGCTCGCCCCGGCGTCGGAGCGTTTGGCGATGAGTACAGCACCAGCTCCAGCGCTCGCTTCTCGAAGTCCGGGCTTGTCAGACATATACGCCGGAGAGAGCGAGAGAGAGAAAGAGAGAGAGAGAGAGAGAGAGAGAGAGAGAGAAGAGAGAGAGAGGAGAGAGAGAGAGAGAGAGAGAGAGAGAGAGAGAGATAGAGAGAGAGAGAGAGAGAGAGAGAGGAGAGAGAGAGAGAGAGAGAGAGAGAGAGAGAGAGAGAGAGAGAGAGAGAGAGGAGAGGAGAGAGAGAGAGAGAGAGAGAGAGAGAGAGAGAGAGAGAGAGAGAGAGAGAGAGAGAGAGAGAGAGAGAGAGAGAGAGGAGAGAGAGAGAGAGAGAGAGAGAGAGAGAGAGAGAGAGAGAGAGAGAGAGAGAGAGAGAGAGAGAGAGAGAGAGAGAGAGAGAGAGAGAGAGAGAGAGAGAGAGAGAGAGAGAGAGAGAGAGAGAGAGAGAGAGAGAGAGAGAGAGAGAGAGAGAGAGAGAGAGAGAGAGAGAGAGAGAGAGAGAGAGAGAGAGAGAGAGAGAGAGAGAGAGAGAGAGAGAGAGAGAGAGAGAGAGAGAGAGAGAGAGAGAGAGAGAGAGAGAGAGAGAGAGAGAGAGAGAGAGAGAGAGAGAGAGAGAGAGAGGAGAGAGAGAGAGAGAGAGAGAGAGAGAGAGAGAGAGAGAGAGAGAGAGAGAGAGAGAGAGAGAGAGAGAGGAGAGAGAGAGAGAGAGAGAGAGAGAGAGAGAGAGAGAGAGAGAGAGAGAGAGAGAGAGAGAGAGAGAGAGAGAGAGAGAGAGAGAGAGAGAGAGAGAGAGAGAGAGAGAGAGAGAGAGAGAGAGAGAGAGAGAGAGAGAGAGAGGAGAGAGAGAGAGAGAGAGAGAGAGAGAGAGAGAGAGAGAGAGAGAGAGAGAGAGGAGAGAGAGATAGAGAGAGAGATAGGAGAGAGAGAGAGAGAGAGAGAGAGAGAGAGAGAGAGAGAGAGAGAGAGAGAGAGAGAGAGAGAGAAGAGAGAGAGAGAGAGAGAGAGAGAAGAGAGAGAGAGAGAGAGAGGAGAGGAGGAGAGAGAGAGAGAGAGAGGAGAGAGAGAGAGAGAGGAGAGAGAGAGAGAGAGAGAGGAGAGAGAGCAGAGAGGAGGAGAGAGAGAGAGAAAGAGGAGAGAGAGAGGAGAGAGAGAGAGAGAGAAAGAGAGTAGAAGAGAGAGAGAGAGGAGAGAGAAGGAAGAGAGAGAGAGAGAGAAGAGAGAGAGAGAGGAGAAGAGAGAGAGAGAGAAGAGGGAAGAAGAAGAGAGGAGAAGAGAGAGAGAGAGAAGAGAGAGAAGAGAGAGGGAGAGAGAGAGAGAGAGAGAGTCGCGCACCGTCAGCCCCGCGGCGAGAGGCAGAGTGCCCCGCCGCTGGTCCGGGACGTCGCACTGATCAGCACGCGTCGCGGTCGTCGGCCGATGCCCCGCCCGCGCGGTAATTGGTCGGCACGATCGACTGCCGCGCAAGACCGAAGCACCGGGGCCCATCAGCACGGCGCCGGCTCCCGGTGGCACCGACCCCCCTCCCTCGGCCCGGCCCGGCCCGCACGGCCGCAGCTGGCGGCGGCGCGGTGTTCGACCACGGCCCGTGCCGGCGGTGGGCGTCGTTGAGATGTGATGTTCCGTGGCGCAGGGCAGCGCATTTCCGCGACACATTCACGGATCACCGAGGCCGGTTGGCGCAACAGCTCGTCTGATTCTACAAGGCGTGCACACGCACAGCAATCAGCGTTTTTTTTTTTTCACCTCGGCGGGGCGCAATAAGGGCTCCTTGACATTCAGACAGAATGAGATCCTTTACTGCGCAACAAGGTAGGCAGTACGTTATATACGAACCCAATGATTGCTAGCCACTTGGACGAACGGCAGGACTCACTGTGCTTATATGATTTCGAGCAAGCGGCACAAGCGTCTCGGGACTGGCCATGCATGTCAGGCGCTTGTGCCAGCCGAGCGTTTATTGCGTGCACTCACAGCCCAGCAGCGAAGTGGGTCACATCCAGGGCAAATGGTCATTTTTGCCGGCGGTCTGTCAGCCGAGAGCGCGGCGGGCGCCGAGAGATCTCCTTTGTGCCGCACAATGCTACAGTGCGACCGGCCGTGTCAGAAGGGCCGCCTGGCCGGCTGCCAGCTGGCCATTGTATATCAGTCGGCCGAAACAAAGCGCACGCCCTCGGGCTGGTGTCTGAATAACTATCAGTCAGTGACACCGAGCCGCGGCGCCCAAAGTCTCTCTCGCTGGCCACGCGGTGCAGTTGACGTCCCGTGCCCCACCCGTACACTGCGGAAAGGTGGCGCCTCAAGGTGGAGGATGAATTTCGCAGCCGTTTTTTCTACTCATCAAAATATTTATAACACAACAATATGAACCCTAGGAGGCCTCGGAAAACGCTGAGCCAAGGACTCAGACAGGCATCAGCGCTCTACATTGACGGCGGCCCTCGCCCCGCCCCCACCCCCCCTTCCCCTCCCCCGACGCGGCGGTACCGACCTGCAGTGCACCACGATGGGTCCGTCGAGGTCGGGCGTGCGGTGACGCAGGCAGATGCGGATCCGTCGCCGGAACTCCAGAATGGCGTTGGAGAAGGGGCACGAGTGGCACGGCCACTCGGTGTAGTGGAACTGCAGCACGGTCCGCTCCTGCCGGACGGCGACGGGGAGGCAAGATGCGGTCACCTGAACACGCGCCCGACAAAAGACGCGCCTCAAGGCCAGTGCAACGCGTCGAACACGTCTCAGAGCCCGCTTTGTCCAGCTTTGAGCGCGACGAGCGCCTCATCCCACCGGCTCAGTGCGCGCGCACCCTGACGCCACCTACAAGCCGTACTCGGGGTGGGGGCGCGAGCACGGCGCAAACACAGCTGGGCCATGTCGAGATCGACACCGGACAGCGCCGACAGGTGGCCAGCGCCGGCGGAGAGGCCTCGCAGCCTCCGACTGGCCCTGACATCACTGGCCTGCGGGCGTCACTTTCCGTGCAAAGAAGCCCACCCGAGCGGCCGTGGGCTCAGCCCAGCGACGCGTCACGGCGGGCGTCACTTCACGGGAAGAGAAGCACACCTGAGCGGCGGTGAGCTCAGTCCAGCGACACGTCACGGCGCCGCCGCGGCTCGGCGGGCGGCCGCACCAGCTGAGGCGCCGGCGCGCGTGGCGTCCTCTGATGATGTCGTTACCACCTGACCTTTGGACACGGCAACCGGAGCCGACTAATCATAGACGGCGGCCGCCGGTCGCCAAAGCGTAATCTGGCGTCCAGGGGCGTCAGGCGCCACGCCTGGCGCCATAACCAGCAGAGTACGCCAGCGCCAGCTCGAGGGGCGCCTGTAAACTAGTGCGCTGTGTGCGCGGTAGGTGTGTGCGTCTCAGGTCGTCGGCCGCGCTCAGCCGATCTTAGTGCGCACAGTGCGCTGGTGTGTGATCGCGCGTGCGCTGATCAATGCGTTACCGAGTGCGGCCAACCGGCATCCTTGGCCTGTACGCGAGCGTGCGTGTGGGCCAACAACCATATTGGCTTGTCGGGCTGCGTGCCTGCGTGCCTGCGTGCCTGCGTGCCTGCGTGCCTGCGTGTCTGCGTGTGTGCGTCCGTGCGCGCCGGCGTGCCTGCGTGTGTGCGTCCGTGCGCGCCGGCGTGCCTGCGTGTGTGCGTCCGTGCGCGCCGGCGTCCAGGCGTCGGGGCGCGGCTCGGCGGAGACGCGTACCTGGTCGTCCTTGTTCAGCCGGATGGTGCGGATGACGAAGTTGGCCAGCTGTTCCTCCTTGAGCACGGTGACAACGATGTCGCCGTACGTCTCCTCCTTGTCCACCAGCACGGGCCAGTACTGGACGCACATCACCTGTCGGCAGCGAGGCGGCACGCCGGTCAGCAGCCGCGGCGCGCGGCTCGACCCAGCGCCGTCACCTGGCGACCGGCCGGGCGGTCACGCGTAGACCCGGGCCGCGCGGACCGTCTCGGTGTCCTGCCAGGTACCGGCCGGCCAGACAGCAGAGCACAGCAGCGGACGGCGACGCGACGGGCCTGACGTCCCTGCTGAACCCCGCGTGACGTGCGGCGCGGCGGTGCCCCGGTCACCGCCTCGGGCCACAGCGCCGCCGGCCGGGTCGCGCGACCCTGCCGCGCGTGCCACTCGGCCGGCTCGCGCTAATAGTCCGCGTGTGTGACGAGGTCCGTGACAAGGGCCCCAGGACCGCCGGGGCTGGCGGTAATACCGGACATTCATGTGGGCTCCCTTCGACCCGGCTTCGATCGTAGGCACCGACCCGTAAGTGGTCACGGGGACAAACAACACGCAATTTGTCCGGCACGGCCTGACAGCGGTTCCTGCGGGTCTGTGACGAGCACAGCTGTCGCTGACTCCTTCCAGAGGCCGTGCCGCCCGCTGCTGCCGCACCACCGCTAGGGCCATTGTCGAGGGCTGTGACATGAGATCTGAATGGCATTCAGTATGCTGACTAGGCTGGAACACGAGCCAGAGCTGTTGCGTCACCGCCGGACGCTGGGGCTGGGGCGCCTACGACGAATGCGAGCGAGAGCCGGTGTGTCACCGCAGGACGCTGGGGTCGGGGCGCCTACAACGAACGCGAGCGAGAGCCGGTGCGTCACCGCAGGACGCTGGGGTCGGGGCGCCTACGACGAACGCGAGCGAGAGCCGGTGCGTCACCGCAGGACGCTGGGGCGGGGCGTCTACGACGCACCAGACCCTGTTTGGAGTGTGGGCGAACGCTGAATCGCGATCTCCACTCAGCCAATGCGGGCACGCTCGCCCACAATGGCGAAACTATTTCTGGGTCGAGTTGGCCGAACCGCTCCTCTTCGAGATACGAGTACACTCAGCATGAATAACACCGCTATATGGGATCGGCGTCATCCTCGACCGTGCGGCCGGCGCCGAACGTCTGACAAGCGCGGACCTGTCCAAAGCGGTACGAACTGGTACCCGAAGACCCCATCTGGGACATGAGACCATCCCTCGACCATCCCTCGCAGACAATCATCCCCCCTATCGAGAACACAAGACCAGCGGCGCCCAAGAGGTTCAGAACGGCGTCGGACGCTCAGCAGCACGCGCTTGGACAGAACGAGAACGCTTCCACGGTGTCCAAACACCCCGCTACGCAACTCATCCGGTTGGCCGACACAGTCCTGTTCCCGAGGGGAGTCCCGTTCACCGTCGGCGAAGCGTCAGAATCAACCGACCCGGCTGCACTCGAACGCTTTCTTCGCAGTTCCGACGCAGATCCGGGACTGGTGCCGACAAAGGTCCATCTGCGCCGCAGCGCTCGATGCGCGCCTGGCGTGCGGCGCAGATCCCCGCACCACACGCAGCGCGGGATCCCGTCACGTACGTCGTTAGTAGGCACGAAAAGGCTTTCCATCGCCATCAACCAATAGGGTGCAGGGTCGCCGCATAGGGTATTAACCTCGCAAGAATGCAAAGTGAGTAACGTAATTATCCTACGACGTTCAAAGCGCCCTCCGTTTGAGGTGCACTTTTCACCACGGCTTGTGTTCCACTTAGCACTAGACTGCGGCTCAGCCCGGCCGCAATCGGCGGCTGAGCACCGTCACCCATCCCGGCTTATGAAACACAAGCCCGTTGTCGGCGGCGCGGCCAGCGCCACGTGATCAGCACGGGGCGGATGGCTGCCGCAATCAGCGGACAGCACCTGACCGGAGCTTATTTTGAGCCGGTCCGGGCGGCTGCCAGTCGCCAAGAGGTCGTCAGCGGCGCGGCTGCCGCACCGCCGGCAGAGCCAGGCACCGGCCGCCACGGACCCGGCCGGGACCAGTCGGCTGAGCCCGCGTCGGCCGGCCGGGGACGCTGCACGGCGGCCATCGACGGCCGCGGGCGGTCCGTGAGGCGGACAGGCAGAGGCGGTCCGTGAGTCCATCAGGCGGCTCGCCACCGCGGCGGCGGCCTCCCTGACGCCCGCCGAGCGCCGGCCGCGGCGCGGCATCAGCCGGTCCGGACCTGGACGCCGCCGCCGGCTACCGGCTGCAGAGGACCACGGCCGCGAGCAGGCGCGCTCCGTCCGCCGCCTCGGCACTCCGTCACAGCCGGCGTGATTGATCGTGCACCACACGCGGCATGCGCCGGCGATCTGTTACATGAAACGCCTGCTGAGGCGAATGCATCTCCGCCAGCGATGTGGCTGTGATGGCGGCTGACCGGGAAACGCGTCCAAGCGCTTCCTGTCATCAGCTGTACCGTTCAAGGCAAATACGTGCTATAAACACGGCTCAGTTCCGTAATCAAAACATTGCATGACAGGGCAGGCAGCAACACACCGGTTAATTTCACAAGGCAGAAGCATAAACTGCATCGTTTGTGATCTCATCCAGCAAGCATGCATAACGAAAAATGTTCAGTTTGACCTATGATACACGTTCACGTCATTGATAAATGGGAAGAATCCACGGAATCGAGAGATGTTTGGCTCATACCCCTACACCGCATTAACGCTCACAAATGATGTACGCTGTTTTTGTGCCTCGCAGCCTTTTATTTAATTCCAAAAAGTCAACATCAACCATTCGTGGCGCCAGCTCCTCATTTGACGAACGCGTTTGTGTACGCCAGCTGCGTTGTTCCGCCCCGGGGCGATCGGCGTCGATGTCGGAGGCTGCGCCGGCCCGCGGCGCCGCGGCGCTATGCAGGCAGCCCGCAGCCGGATGGCACGTGCCTCGGACGTGGCCAGTGTTTGCAGGCCTGGCCCGCCGCTTCAGAAGCGCCCGTCCGCCCGCATCAAAATCGTAACCGGCACCGGAGTTCCAACCGCAGGGCCGGGAGCAGCGGACCGTGCGATACAGGTGTCGCGGTACCGGCTGGACGGCCGGGCGTGCTCCGCTGATCCAGGTATCACGGCACCGGCTGGACGGCCGGGCGTGCTCCGATAATACAGGTATCACGGTACCGGCTGGACGGCCGGGCGTGCTCCACTGATCCAGGTATCAGGGCATCGGCTGGACGGCCAGGCGTGCTCAGATAATACGGGTATCACGGCACCGGCTGGACGGCCAGGCGCGCCCCGATGATACAGGTATCACGGCACTGGCTGGACGGCCGGGTGTGCTCCGGTGACACAGGTATCACGGCACCGGTTAGACGGCCGGGCGTGCTCCGCTGATCCAGGTATCAGGGGATCGGCTGGACGGCCGGGCGTGCTCCGCTGATCCAGGTACCACAGCACCGGCTGGACGGCCAGGCGTGCTCCGATGATACAGGTATCACGGCACCGGCTGGACGGCCGGGCGTGCCTCGCTGATCCAGGTATCACGGCACCGGCTGGACGGCCGGGCGTGCCCCGATGATACAGGTATCACGGCACCGGCTGGACGGCCGGGTGTGCTCCGATGATACAGGTATCGCGGCACCGGCTGGACGGCCGGGCGGGCTCCGATGATCCAGGTATCACAGCACCGGCTGGACGGCCGGGCGTGCTCCGATGATCCAGATATCACAGCACCGGCTGGACGGCCGGGCGCGCTCCGATGATACAGGCATCACGGCACCGGCTGGACGGCCAGGCGTGCTCCGATGATACAGGTATCACGGCACCGGCTGGACGGTCGAGCGTGCCTCGCTGATCCAGGTATCACGGCACCGGCTGTACGGCCAGGCGTGCCCCGATGATCCAGGTATCACAGCACCGCCTGGACGGCCAGGTGTACCCGCAGTCACGCCGGATACCCGCTCCCGCCGGCGCTTCACATCAGGCGACGGACCTGGCTCGTCCCAGCCCGGGGCCGCTGCTCCGTCGCAGTCGGCAGGACCCAGTCGGGAAAGTCCGAGCGGCCGGAACCAATGCGCGGCCGCGCCCGCGGCGCCATTGCCGTCGCTCTTTATCCGCCCGGGAGCGCGATACGCTGATCCGTCACGACAGCGGGTCATAACACGGCCGCGCCGCCGACAGCGCGGCGCCGCGCCACCGCCCGTCAACGAGGCCGGCCGGCCGGGCGGCGCCACACAACACCGGCCCCGACCTCGCTTCCGGTGGAGGCCCGGCCGCTCGGCTCGGTGGAGGCCCCGGCCACATCGCCGGCTCCGATCAGCGGGGAGCGGGCAACGTGGCCCCGATGGGCGCGCGTCACGCCTCAACCACGCCGCGCTACGAGCAAACACAGGCCTCGCCAGCACGCCCACCGGGACGGGGCGGAGCGCGCGCCCACCATTACGGCGAATAGGTCGCGGCAGCTCGGGCAAACGTGGGCTAGGCATGACGTTGAACGGACCGCGACGGGCCGTACAGGCGTCGGCCAATCATTAAGCCGAAAACGCCGAGACGGTCTCAGTACACGTGGGTTCCGCATGACAGCGAATAGACTGAGACCAGACGGACACACGGCTACAGCGGGGCCAACTATGGCCATCCCCACGTCGAGGGACGGGCGGGGGGGGGGGGGGCGCTAGGTTGCCGGCCGCGGGTGCCGGGGGTGCTGTGCTCGGTGATCGGGCTCACTTTCCAGGAAGTGGTCGATCATTTCACGGCACCATACAACCATCCGCAGTATCCATGTCGCGGCATGCCTGCATCAGCAGTCTTATCCGTCAAGCCAATTGCAGCGAGCAAACCGAAACATATCCGGAACTGATCATCAAAACCACGACCCATTGATAGGAAATCGAAACACATCTGGCGCTGAGAATCAACACCGCGACCTAGCAAAGATAAGACAAGCATTCGTCGGCTCCGCTCCTGCATCTTCTGGAGATGACTCACCTTGATAAAGTCGAACGTCTTAGTGAGCATGACGATGCAGGGCGAGTTCTCCTTCCAGACCATGCGCCAGAGGTCGTTGAGCGTGCGTTCGTTGGGGCCCTGTGTCACGATGTAGGCGTTCGGCTTCAGCAAGCTCTGCGGCAGGACGACGGAGTCGTGTGGCGCGGCGCAGCATCACATATCGGTGTGCGGTGCAGCATCATAGACCAGCGTGCGATGCGGCACACCATCACGGACCAGTGTCTCGTGCGGTGCAGCAGCCGTGCGAGGCGGCACAGCATCACGGACCAGTGTGCGGTGCGGCGCAGCATCACGGACCAGTGTCCGGCGCAGCAGCCGAGCGATGCGGCACAGCATCACAGATCAGTGCGCGTTGCAGCGCAGCATCACAGATCAGTGTCTGGTGCGGCGCAGCATCGCAGATCAGTGTCCGGTATGGTGCGGCGCGGTGCAGCATCGCAGATCAGTGCCCGGTGCGGCGCAGCGTCACATATCAGTGTCCGGTGCGGCGAGGCATCACAGATCAGTGTCCGGCGCGGCGCAGCACCACAGATCAGTGTCCGGTGCGGCGCAGCATCACAGATCAGTGTCCGGTGCGGCGCAGCATCACAGATCAGTGTCCGGTGCGGCGCAGCATCGCAGATCAGTGTTCCGCACTGTAGCCGTGCCGTGCGGCGCAGCACCAAGCTTGCATCACAACCACGCGTTGTCAGCGGAATGACCACACGGAAACAGAAGTTCGCCACGACGATCCATTTGAGAAGAAGTTGTCCAAAACAGGTTGTGCCCACTCGGAACCACTAGCACGCCGTCCCCTCCAGGAAACCAAGCCCGTAACCACATAATAGGACAAATGTCAATGGCCCCTGAGGATGGCGAAAGTACTCAATGCGTAAGGATAATGCCACTCCAGCGGCCCCGCGCGCTTAATGGCGAGGACGTCAGGCTCAGTGCCGCCCCCGGCTGACATCAGCCAGGCGAGTGGCCGGATTGTCATCATCCAGCAAGCCACGCTAATGGTTGGAGGACCCAACTGCTACGACCCAAACGACCGAGCCAAACAGCCATCGATCGTGACGCGCCGCCGGGAGCCGGCTCGGCGCCGCCAGACTCACCGCGACATTCACACCATCATTTGCGCCATCGAACTTGCCTTCCGAGACTAATGCACGCCTTCAGAATGACAAAGCACCCCGCCCCCAAAGCAAACTGTTCGTGGCAAATGTCGAGCGTCACGAGGTTCACCACACCACAAACTAACGTTCGAAAACGGCACGCAATTTATTCGACCACAAAACACAGCTGGCCATCACTTGCAGGTGATTCAAAGTTTTCATAAGCACATTCAGAACTTAAAGAAACGGCACATTATCTACGGACTGGAAGTTGTGTCGGGAAGTCTCACTGATCAAATTTCGGCGCGCACCGACGATGTCAAAACATGACATCCACAGCAGACCCCATCAAACTACCAGTCCCTGTCAAAACAAAACACAAAAAGAAACGGTGGCGTTGTCTGTGGGCTGTTTGGCTATCGGCGCATCCGGACCAGGATTGTCTACTAGCATTCTACGGCGTCCATATCGGACAGCCCGGTCCGCAGCCGCCTTTCCCCGGCACACGCACACACGCACACGCACCCGCACACGCACACACGAGACAGGGGCGGGGGTCGCTCCGACTCAGCGGCAGGGGTCCGGTGAGCTATCTCACACTCAAACCTATCGCCCTGGTGCCGGGCCCGCGCCTGGCGGGGAGGGCGACAGTGTCCGCCGGTGCGGAGAGAGCTCGTGAGGCGCTCGTGAGGCCCTCGAGACGTGGCCAGGCCCGCGCTTGGTGGGGAAGGCGACGGTGTCTGCCAGTGCGGAAAGAGCTCGTGAGGTCCTCGAGACGTGACAAGGCTCGCGCTCGGTGGGGGGGGGGGGGGGGGGCGACGGTGTCTGCCAGTGCGGAGAGAGCTCGTGAGGTCCTCGAGACGTGACAAGGCTCACGCTTGGTGGGGAGGGCGACGGTGTCTGCCAGTGCGGAGAAAGCTCGTGAGGCCCTCGAGACGTGACAAGAGCCCCGGACGGCGGGGAGGGCGGCGGTGTCTGCCAGTGCGGAGAGCTCGTGAGGCCCTCGAGACGTGACAAGGGTCGCGGACGGCGAGGAGGGAGGCGGTGTTCGCCAGTGCGAAGACCTTGTGAGGCCCTCGAGACGTGACGAGGGCCGCGGACGGTCGCAGTCAGCAAGCGGACGCTGTCCTTACACTTGGACAACATCGTCCCGTTACGGCAAAACTAACACCGACGGGAGTGCTACAGAATCGGCTCTACACGGCTTTACGTCTACTGCGAAAAAGTCTAGGGATTTTACTTAATTAAATGCCACTTCAGTTGTATTGGGAACCAGGACAGTAGAGGTGATGTCGTGCGCCAAATGACATCCCAGGTACGCGACATGAGCGCGAAACGGCAAAATGTATACTTCAAATACATATACTTGTCATGGCATCTGCTGAACAAAACACTAGTCTTTACTTATACACGACATCGCTTCCACTGAAAAAACTCTTCCACGACCGAATTTAAACTGCAAAAACACGTAAATCAATCAATACTACAAAGGCAAAAACCATGCAATGGCCTTTACTTACAAGTGATCTTACTTCCACGGTAACGAGCTATACGTGACTTTTGTGCCATGCAATACTAAAAACGTAGTGAATGCGTAACGTAATAAAAACGACAAAACGTAATGCTGCAAACATTTCTTGTCTCTACTAATACATGAAATTACTTCGACCGGCAATACCTGTGCACAATTTTTTTGTCGTGTGATACAGGTCAAACTCCATAAATTATACCCGTCAATTCTTCCGCACCACAGTTAAAGCCTCACCAAAATCCCAGATGAAGCGAACGCATGGGTACAGTTGGACGGACGAAATCGAACTAGATGTGCCCACTCCACGGCATCGATGCAGTATTGCTGGTGTAAATAACGTGATCAAGCGACCAACGACGGTAAAAGTTCCACGCGACATTTCATATGCTGGAAAAACGTATGGGACACTGGAGTGGTGTTCCAAAAAAGGGTTTGGGGACTTAACTGGAAAAACGACAGCCAAACTTGGCACTAACCACATCAAACACGGCGCTCGCCGCGAAGGTCATGCACTCATGCTTAAATAATGGAGACACGCCCCTATCACAGATAAGGCGTGAATGGAGGCGGCGACAGAATATTTAACTACACCCCTGGCCTGGTGTTCACTAAAAGGCAACATGGTTTCCACTACAATGACTAAAATAAGGCCCTAGTGCTACACAACAGAATTATTGTTTCAGAAAGTTGTGTTCCTCATTGAAATTCTGCAAACAAAATGACAGCCTTCGCTCATACGCAAAGCACCGCAAATTGAAAAAATGACGAAATATGACGGATGATTCTTTTTTCGTGTCGACACCACGGAGTGTTTATTACAGTATTGCCCAGTAACCTGCCAGTTATTCCTAAGTCGCCGCTAGGTGTGCACGCATTTTCCATTAAGTGGCTAAGTATTGGCGGTAGAAGTAATGTTAGGTGAGCGTAAAAGCTGTATAAGCTTCTGCAGCAGAAACAATGACAGGTGTACATCGCTGAACTATAAGTTTTTGCAGCAGCAGTAATAATAGCTATACGTTCTTGAAGTATAACTTTGGCGTGTAGCACTAATTTCCCTTGAAGTCTGCGGTAGAAGTAATGTGTACAAGTCATGACTGACTAAGTTTTAGCAGTAGAAGTAACGACGGAGGACAGGTCTTGACGCGTCGAAATAATGTCGTGTTTAAGTACTGTCAGTAGAAAGGCAGCACTCTTATTGGTACGAGTTCCTGCTGTAGCACTAACGCCATGGAGCGCCCACGCAGAGATAGCATCAAAGGCTCAGGGGGGAGGGGGAGGGAGGAGGTTTCTGCGACGGCCGGCGGTTTGGCCGGCGGTGGGGCCTCACACCGACGCGACCAGGACTCCTCCCGCTCTCGAACACGGCGCACGGAGACAATGGCGGCGTGGCAAGGCGCGGCGGCGACGCAAAACCCGAACAATGAGCCGCCAATGCCAGCGTTCCGCCCCGCTCCGAATCCGGGCCAGCGACAGCCACCGCCGCCGCCGGCTCGGAGCGCACCGCCTCGTCCGGCCCGGTGCGGCCCGTTAACGCACCGTCGGCGACCGGCACGCTCGCCCCCAGCCTCCATCCCCCATAATGCCACTTACGTCCACGTAGGAAGCGTTGATGTAGTCGGACTCGGCCTCGTCGACGGGCTCCGGCTCGGCCGGCAGCATGTCCAGCACCACCCGGTTGTAGTCGTCTGGCAACGGGCGGCACGGGAGGCGCGGTCAGTCCGTGTGCGACGCAGCTGGCCGCTACACAGCTGAGTGGCCTGCAGATTGGCTGGTCAATTTGACCGAGACATGAGTCGCCACGACAGCTTCGTGAGATAACATGGTGCACTGGGAACAAGCTAAGCGGTATTGACCCTTTCACGCCAGTCACGCCCATTTGAACATAACAGACGTGAGTATGAAACAAATGACCATTACTGTACGCGCGATTGCATTAACGCAGCTTGGAGCCGCAGCAGCTGGGTCACCAGCCCGACTGGGCTCGACTCCCAGTAACAGTCTTAAGATGCCAGAACGTCGCAGGCGGGGGCCACCACCAAGCACTCACATGGCACCATCTTCTGGTTTTGGTTCTTGGTCTCGTTGCACGGTTTGCTGCCGTGACGCGAGGGGTGCGGCTCGATTCGCCCTGCATGCTGTGGAGAGACGCCCGGTTAGAGGCTGACAAACGCCATGAACATTGGGCCGCACAACTTCCGGAGCCGAAGCGAACATCGTAGGTTTCAGGAGCACCGACAGCCAGGCCCATTTTAGCACTGACTGCGTGCAAACCGGCCGATAACGTCGCCAGGCAGTGACCGCAGTGACTACTCCAACCCACACATCGTCAGATAAACAACGCAGACATCGAGAGACACACACATCTCCGCGACTGCTCCGCCGGTTGCGTGTCGGCTGCGCGGCGCCACGCCCCGCGGCCGGTACCTGACAGCCGAGCGAGCCCAGCTGCGCCACAAGCTGCCGGCGACACACGCCGCCCGTCCGGCCGCTGCCGCGACATTCCGGGCGTCGGTCGATAGCAGCCCGTCAGGACGCCAAGGAGAAGACCGCGGACGGCATCTGCGGCCGGTTCATCTGAGATCTGAAGCCGAGCCGAGCCGAGCCGAGCCCAGCCGCGCCGCGCTGCCACTGCTCGGCGATCAGGGCGCCGCGCAGGGCCAGCTGGGCCGCGGCCCGGCGCGCACCTGTCCGGCTGGCCCGCCAGGCCGGCCGTATCGCCGGCATCGGGTGGCCGCCGCTCGACTAATGGTGCGCGGTGCGACACACGACGCGGGTCGGGCGGACCGGCCTGTCACCAGCGGCCGCGCCGGATGATGTCAAGGAGCCGCCACAAGGCCGGCGCGCGACAGGACACCGGCCAGACGCGGCCGGGTCTGCTGTGTGAGGACACCGGCCAGACGCAGCCGGGTCTGCTGTGTGAGGACACCGGCCAGACGCGAGCCGGGTCTGCCGTGTGAGGACACCGGCCAGACGCGGCCGGGTGTCCTATGCGAGGACATCGGCCAGACGCGGCCGGGTGTCCTATGCGAGGACACCGGCCAGACGCGGCCGGGTGTCCTATGCGAGGATATCGGCCAGACGCGGCCGGGTGTCCTATGCGAGGACACCGGCCAGACGCGGCCGGGTGTCCCATGCGAGGACACCGGCCAGACGCAGCCGGGAGTCCTATGCGAGGACATCGGCCAGACGCGGCCGGGAGTCCTATGCGAGGACACCGGCCAGACGCGGCCGGGTGTCCTATGCGAGGACACCGGCCAGACGCAGCCGGGTCTGCTATGTGAGGACACCGGCCAGACGCAGCCGTGTCTGCCGTGTGAGGACACCGGCCAGACACGAGTCGCTCCGCCATCAGGATGCCGGCAGGTCGCGCGGACCGACCCGGCGCTGGCCGCAGCACGGGCGCCGGCACTCGTCTCCCCGCTCAGCCGGAGCCACGCGTCAACAGCCGAAGCGTTTCAGAAACAGCGGACCGGGGCGGGGCGCACGGGGCGCCAGTGGCGCCGGGCCGCCGCAAAAACAAACACAAACATACGACACACGAAGGCGCCGCGCCCGCTCGTGGCAGCGGAGCCAGAGGCCGCGCGCACTCGACAAAACAATGACGCTCCCCGCTGTCCGACGCGGACTGCGGAGAGTGGGTGACCGGAGGCGAGGCCGACCATGTGTTTCAAACGCGTTTATCTCGTCACACAACACAGGTGGTGGAGCTGACACGGCCGACTACGATTTATTTAGGCAGCTGCACAAGTGTCGCAATGAAGCGGCATCGGCACTCGGCTATGTAAATGACTTGCCGGAATGTGAATGAGCACGCGAAAACAGTTGTGTGCATCTTACCGTGCATTGTTTCTTTTGCACACAGGGACGCCGCGCATAAATATGTTGGTAAGTGTGACCACTGCGCCGACCCGCGCGCTGTGACTTCTCCTTCACAACGAACCTGCTTTACATTCTCGCCATGTCCTCCTCGTCCGAGGATGGGCATCGTTAGCTACGTGAGAGACTCAAATGCCTAAAGAACGCTCCAGCGCACCCCAGCAGACCGCGCCGTCACTTAGCCCTCGCCGGACGAGGGAGGCTCCTCGGGACTCCCAGAGACTTTTCAGTCACTAAACGCATACCGCTGACGCTCCGCACGACAGAGTTTTGAACATTTCCACACCTCCTGTGAAAATTTGAAGACTGTCATAAGCAATTTATCTTAGGACTTATCAATGTCTCGTCGGTCACCTGCGTTCGAAATTTAATGACACGTGTTTGTCCACAACACGCGTTCCGCAGAACGCGTGTTGTGAACAAAGGAAAGCAAAAGGAAAAAGGAAAGCAAAACGCACGTCTGGCAAATGTCACGCATCGCCCAACCCGAGCTTTCTTGAGAGCTTTCGGTTTTGATCTTGAGATCTGAGAGATTTTGTTTCGTTGCACACTTCGATGATTTGAACTACATACGTCTTCCCCGCCGCCATCGGTGTACTTTTCACCAGAAGAACGCATCGACCAATGGTTTACCAGTGCCAGCTATTTACAATACTCCCTCCACGGCATATTATACGCCCACGACAAGAAGTGTTACGAATGTCTGAGATTGCGTAGTGATGCATTTCAGGATTAACAAATTGAGCATCAGCATAAGCAATACAAACAGCGCGGCAAAGGTTTGTAACACAATAAACGCATCGTCGGTGTCGCAAAACACGCGGCACCCAGTCAGTTGACATCAGTCCACATGGCGATTCTGTGTTGGGAGATAGCCGGCGGGTAACAAAACCGTAACATGTCACTTGTGAGCGCTCCTCTCACTCTCTAGCTCCTTTGTCCAAGACTAAAGGCCTTCAGAATGCGCTCGGAAAACTCACAATTTGTTATACTAAAATGGCATCTTTTCAAATAACGGCGACCCACAGCCAGCGACATTGCAGCTCGCCAACGCCTGTGATGAACGGGTTACTAAATGGCCTGCAATTGCATGCATCGTCAAATAAACTTATCTAAATGAAAAGATTTACGAGGCCCGCCATCATGACGTCCCTATAACTCTGCCGAGACTGGGCTGGTTTATCTGGAACAGAACTGCCACGAACGAAGCCATGAGGCTGGGACGGCCGCGCCTTTGTCCGGTCCCGAGACAACGGCGATCATCTCTCGGGGCCACGACCCCGCGGCGGGGCGGCCCTCCACGGCAGCCAGCGCCGCCGCCGGCACCGCCTCCGCGCCCGGCCGGCCGCTGCGTCGGGCGCGGAGGCGGCGGCGGCGCCCTCCGAACCGCAGGCCGCGCACCGCCACCCAGCACCGGCGCTGGCAGCGGCGGCGCCGCCGGCTGCCAACTCAAATGCCGGCTCGCGGTCCGGCCGGCTGACGTATCCAGCGGGCGGTGTCGCCGGCGGCGGCACGCGGCCGGCGCACAAACAACGGCGCGGCCGCCGCCAGAGTGCCGGCCGAGCACGCGGCGCCGGCCGGCCGGCAGCTGTCGCCAGGTCGCGCACCGCGGCGCCGGCCGGCGACGGCCGACCCAGCCCGGCAGGTCATGGCCGCCGCCGGCGCCGCCCGCGCCCCGGCCAGTCGGCGGCCGTTTACCGGGCGGCTCCTATCCGTCGGTGTTGACGCGTCTCTCACAAAGGCCGAGCTGTGTCTGGTGCCGCGGCCCGCCGCCGGGGCCGCATGGGCCGCCCGCAGCGCGGCGTTCGCCCCCCGCCTGTCCGTCCGTCCGTCTCCCACGGCGACCGAATGTGGGCCAGCGGGCCGTGCGCGCCGGCGATCCTGACCCAGATCGCCGTCGGCAAGGTCGCCTGAGCGCCGAGGCCGGCTGAATGGGCCGGCGCGGCCGCCCGGTCCGTCGGAGCGAAGACAACGAGCGCCGAACAAAAGGGGCTGGCGGCCGGCCGCTGCGCCGCATGATACTGCAGCGGCCATTGTGAGGGGAGCCCACTGGCCGGGTCCCGCGCTCAGCGTCAGCTGGCTCCACCGCTCGCTAATTGCGGGCGGCGGCCGCAGTGTTGACCAGCGAGCTAACGAGGAGGCCACTTACCTGAAATTCGACTTTGAACAGAATCGGGTACTTTCTGTGCTGCTCGCAATACTTGATGAAGTTGGCCTTCTCCACGGGCTTCTTGGGAATGGCTCGGATCGCTTTGTCCTCTTCGGCTGCGGGGAGACACGCTCTGTCAGCAGCGATCACCGGCTTGGAGCGTCGGGCTGCGCGGTGGGCCGGTGCTCGGTCGCCACGTCAGGGGCAGCTCAGATGACGCTGTCGTGTCGGCGCGGTGTCGTAGCGAGCTGACGCGCAGCATCTGCCGTGCGCACACCAGACCGGGTGGGCTGGACTAAGCCAGACGGACCAGGGGGTGCCCAGTACACATGCGTTTGTGAGACGTCCGCCGGAGCCGCCGTGAGCCTGGGGCCGATGGTCTCTGAGCCAATCCCCAGCCCACGCACAGGCTACCGGCTCCGACAGACGGTACCGCAGCGTGTCGGAAGACAGTGCGACTCTATCCAAGATGACCGCCGGCGCTGTGGCCCCCGGCAACAGCACTGCTCCATCACATATTGCTGACCGGGCCGGACAGCCGGTATCGGACCGTGTGGGAGGGCTGTGCCGTGCCAGGATCCCGGCCGCCGCCGCCTCTCGGAGGATCACCGACCCTCGCAGGCAGCCAGTCGGCCCGAACAGAAGGCATCGGACCGTGTCAACATGCTGCGCCGTGGGCCAGAGTAAGCCGCCGGCCGGATGTAGCTCCGAGCCGCGGTCCAGATTAATCAGGAGACACGAACATTAGAGCACAGGGATTTCACTGGGCAAATATTTGAGTGAGCTTCTGGCCAGCGGAGGACAGCACGCTATGGTCGGTAACGGAACTGGCTCATGTCATTGATACCCTTCACATTGCCCGTATTTTAAGCATCAGCGTGGGTGCGACTGGTTGTTATGAACAACGGAATGTTCATATTTGCTTTTTGAAGCTTATAAGTGTATACTTGAGAGACGCTTACTATCCTTCTGCAGGTTATGAAATACAAAAATGCCAACACAAGGAAAACGTGCATCGTTAAGCGAGCAAGCAGCCAAACAATACGTCACAACGTTCCAATCCCGCGGAAATGAGACCATGGACCGCAACATCGTCACACAATCCCTCACCCATCCCCCACCCCCACCTCAACCCACCCAACCGGACTTCAGCTCCCGCCATAGCGACGATCATCCACTGAACGGCATGCGTCATAACGACATCATAACGGTTATTCCTAAGATTGCACACAAATCCATTCAACTGAAAATGCGCAAAATGATTCTTGAATGATGCTTGAAATGACGCAAATTCCACCCAAGGAAACGTCTTAACGTAACACATATGCATTATGCTCAAAGCATATAGCTGCAGCTGTAAACGTGAAGCACAAAGTAGCTTGAAAGTGAAAGTGTGATTAAAAACACTTAAGGTGGATTTACAGGTCGTGTTAAAAAGAATGTCCAGGTTTTTCGAACTGACCCTGGAATCAACAGTGAAACAGTATCTAAGTCTTGAACAGTTCTAACCAGTTCTTGGCACCTGGCATTGACAGTTGAGAAAACATCCCGTACGCGGCGAGACAGAGATGTGGTGGATGTTTCATCGGTGTGCCCATTCACGACCATTCCGTCCATCACTGGGGCCTCACTTATACGTCGAATTTATAGGGCTTCGATTTATATGGTGAAACTTACGTCACCATGGCGACAATTACAGGGTATGAGGGTACGGGGAGAGAGACCCGGAATCGACCGGCATATGGAGATGCCTAAAAGTGAAATGAAAATTGGGCACATGTAGGTTGTTGCCGGCCTTGTTAGAATGCGTCAGTGTCTGAGTGTCTGCACGTTCGAGCACTCATGACCTGACTGCAATGTACTGATGATGCACGACTGCAAGCTGATGTGATGGAACGGTTAACGTCAAGCCCAGGTCCACATAGTTTGCCCCGTGAAATGTACCAGATATTTGCAACCTCAGAATGAACGGTACGGTGACCTGTAGAGCGTGCGTTCAGCTATCTAACTTGCATGCGCATGATTGTGTAATCGCATGCTAAAACAAACATTATAAACGGGTGACATAAACATGTCGAAATTATTTTTACACGCAATTATCTGCCACGCTCAAAAATTTAAACATGTAAGTTTCACCACTGCGCAACGCAGCATTTGTAACACTAACATATGTTCCCACGGAAGGCGTACCATGGGACCGAAAAACAGTTCAAATCATAGCTACTTGGGTGTCCCATGTCTGCATAAAAAAACACTCGAAACAAAATGTCCCTCAAATAATCGCAATTTATACCACTGGCAATTTTATCAAGCAGAAAAGGTTTGAATTCACACAACAATTGGGCATTTTGGCCCAGTGCACGCACTTTCTACGCTAATGTCTGCGCTACCGTGCAATGACTCTTTCCAATTCTATCTTGTGATGTTGAGAAAGGACACAAATCAAATGCTTGTTCTGGTGCCCACTAGAGGAGCTGCACGCGAGCTCCCAAACAGCCGCACACCTGCGGATCGGCATCCGTTGAGATCAATCTCACTGATAGTCAGCTGCCGCATAAAACCTGCCATGAGCCGACAAGATCCACTCACAGTGCCATATACCGTCTCAGCATTCTGGCTTGAGATGGCTCAATGGCGAGATGCCCGTTGCTATAGCCAGATATCTGGACTGGACTACATATATCGCCTCAGCATTCTGGCTTGAGATGGCTCAATGGCGGGATGCCCGTCGCTATAGCCAGATATCTGGACTTTCCGCTTTCTTTCACATGGGGCCCATTATTAGTTTTACGCGCACATTTCAGCTTCCTTTTTGGAGAAAGGTGGCCTAAAATGTTCATAACTGTAATCTCACATATGGTTCTGTCATGCGCTCTGCGCAGTGTGGTGTATTGATCTTGCATTCCGAGCCTTTAGACAATTGCTTGCGCGTACATATTAGAGCAGCTTTTCACTGACAACGGCGATCCCAAATGTGGTACATTTTATATTGACGTGTTCATCGATAGCATAAATCATGTTGCCAAGCTTGCTTGGCCAGGTCGATTTCTGTTAAAATGAGAACTTCCGACTTACAATGCGACAAACGCAAAGCTCAAGGGCTTTACTTTTTATATAAAATATAAAACTGTTATATTTTGACTGCTTATGAAACTGCCTCGTTATGGTGAGTTATCGCCGTTGTACAATAACCTCCAACTTTGATTAATAAAAAGCGCTTAATCAAATAGCTGTTTGTCTAGGAATGGACCGATTCTTTGTTATCACCAATTGAAACAGAACTGATTTACAACGGTTTTCGGTCGACCAAATTTGTGGTCCTAGGTTGACATCACTAGATCCAACCGCCGCCCACCGCCACAGCTGGACCGGCGGGACGGGGTCAGCACCCACCGTCCAGCGGTACCGGTGGGATCGGACCACCACCCACCGTCCCAGCTGGACCGGCGGGACGGGACCACCACCCACCGTCCAGCGGCACCGGCGGGAACGGACCACCACCCACCGTCCAGCGGTACCGACGGGAGCGGACCAGCACCCACCGCCACAGCGATACCGGTGGACCCGGACCACCACCAGCACCCGTGCCCCGGGCGCTCGTTACCGGACCGACGGCGCGGCGGGACCGGCCTTACCGATGGGGATCAGGCCGCTGTTGAGCATGCTCAGCTGGATCTTGGCCGGGATCGAGATGAGGGAGCTGCCGGCCGAGCCCAGCACGCGGTGGCGCCGCCTGGGCTTGGTGTCGACGTAGCGCTGGGCGGAGCGGGCGCGGCGGCCGCGGAGCCGCGGCGCCCCGTCGCCAGACGCGTCCGACGCCACCGACGCCGAGCTGCGCCCCTCGTCCAGACGGTCCACGCTGTGGCCGCGCATCTCGACCATAGCGCGTGCACCCGACTACGGCCCCGCCGGCCGACTGAACGGCGGTGGCGGTGGCGGCGGCGGTGGCGGCCGCGTCGGTCCGTCGCGTGACGTTGCCGTCCGACGGACCGCGGCTTAGAGTGGACACTCACCGACGGACGGCGGTTTATGGTGGGCACTAACCGGACGGCGATCGGACCGGGCTCATGGCGGACCACCAGGGTTCATGGTGGAGACCGACCGACGGATAGCGGCTTATGGTGGAAACCGACGACAGCCAGAGGTGGACGGTCGACCCATGACGGCGGTGGCGACAACAGACAAAACGGACCCCGTGAACCACGAGAGGCACAGCTCGGACGACGGTCGTGGGGAAGAACCCCCGCCCCTCCGGCGCGCCGGTCCGCCTGTGTCGTGACTGATCATCTAAACAGCCAGCCGTTGGTCCGCCGCCGGGCACCGCCCAGAATCGGTGAAGCCTGGCGCCGCGGGTCACAGGACACTCGGCGCCCCGGCCAGCACCAGCCCGGGCTCCTCCGCCTCCGCCGGTGCCGCCGGTTAGGCCGTGTCGTGGCTGATCATCTGAACCGTCAGTCGGTGACCCACCGGCGGGCACCGCCCAGGATCGGTGAAGCCTGGCGCCGCGGGTCACAGGACACTCGGCGCCCGCGGCCAGCACCAGCCCGGGCTCCTCTGCCTCCGCCGCCGTCGCCGGCTGCAGCGGAGCCCGGCCGAGGCCGCGCCAGCCAGCCAGGGTCGGCGCCCGGGCGCCGGCGTCGAGGTCGGAATGCCGGCAGAATGCGCCGGCCGCTGGCGGAGGTCGGCGAGCAAACCCGCACCGGCCGCCCGCTAGCAGGCGGGGGGGGGGGGGGGGGGGGGGGTCAGGAGGCCGGGACCCCACCGGCCACCGCTGGCGGGGCGAGTGTGGGGGTCAGGAGACCGCACCTCCAGCGGCCGGCCGCCGGCACACGCAGCCACCGGACCCCGTACGGACAAGGAGACACTCATCTCTTAGTGCAGGACCGACAGTTCCGACCTACAGGGTGCACATGAATTATGCACATATGTGCCTTCAAGTCCTACAAGTCCTGACTCAAGCTCTGATTTCAAAGAGGGTCGAGATTGCTTGTTCAAGTTATATAAACACGCCACCTGGTGTTCGCCCCACTTGTGGACACCCCTCGGCCGACACATGAAACGGGACGGCAGCCTGTATGGGCCCAGGTCCGGGGCCGAGGTGAGCTGGAGGCGGATCTGCAGCCATGCGCCGCGGCGGTACGGCTCCCTGCTGCCGTACCCGCCGCCTCCCCCCCCCCCCCCTCCCCCCCCCCCCACACCGTTCGCTGCTCCGCTGCTCTGCTGTCGCGTGTTAGGCTCTTGAACGACTGTGGACGCCTGTGCGAGCACTTCTGAGTATGTCATGTGACAACCAGTGAGCTATTCTTCTGTCATCCTGACGTGAGGCCGTATAGTCACGAGCATATTAAGGATAGCCCCAATCAAGGGGGCCGTGCCCGCCACACGCGACCCGGCAAGAGCCAGCGGACTTTTGGCAGGAGTGTGAGTCGGGCTTCGCGGCCTTTTGCGGGTTAAAATTTGAACAGACAAAACTATACATTTTTGCAAGCATTCAAATTTCAAAACCTTCAAAGAAACAGAGCGCACAGTCATATACAAGACTTCAAAACCTTCAAAGAAACAGAGCGCACAGCCATATACAAGACAATCATTCAATATTCATATTTTGTTTTTTCTAGCGAGCCCCCAGTTGATAGAAAACCCATGGCAGACACAAGACAATCAATTTCCCCGATTATTTCGACGAACAAGTCAAGATTAACTATCTAAATTATCGAAGTTGGGCCTGATTGCATTGAGTAATAGTCATGTGGCTCGTTAATATCAACACGACACGCTGAGCTAAGCCGTTATTGTAAGGACGAGGAACATTTAAATTTTGCTGTTTCATACACAAACCAAAACTCAGGAACACCATTAATGATTGATGACATAACCGAACAGTGTGACGTTCACTGCTATAGCCACGCTCTCTGATCTGTGTAGTCCGCAGTTACAGGTGTATGACATGCGCAACTCTTGTACAAATCCAGCGGTGGAAACGCAGATCGTGTCCCTTTATGCTTGCGCTTGTCTACACTTTCAAGGGCATATAATTTAGCCCGCGATAACAGGGGGTCATACGTGCGACACTTGGTCTTCAGGCATGTGTCAAAAATTCCAGTATAACATATGACGTCAGCCATTGCACACAGTTCAGGAAGCTGCATTCAACAGAACACATGACGTCAACCATTCGATATAATTCAGGAAGCCGCACACGGTACATAGACGAAAGCCACTCGATGAAAGAAAGGACGCTGCAGCCGTCAGACATGTGAACGGCTATTTTAAACATGCTCTGGTCAGTATTCGTTCACGTCGAAATTTGCATTCAGCATTCAACCACACATTTTATGACATTGCTTAGAGTAAATAAGGCCAACTGAGCGACACTGACGGCACTCTTGGACGAAAGTGCTGCTGATGTCCTTTTACGTAGCACCACGCAAATGACTTAGTGACGGACATCCTCGACAGCAACATGGACAGTGGTAGGAGGGAAATGTGGACCCTTCCAAAATCACCACCACCATTCTTCCGTACTGTGGAATAAGGTGTCAATTTAAGAACAGCAAATATCACGAACGAATCTGAATATCTTTCTTGAATCCGGCGCATGTATATTGGCTATTATGACGCAATCGCCTTCTGTGCTGTGGCAGACTGAAAATTGCAACTTCTAGCGGAAGTGCAGCATAAAAAGCTCCCCATTTCTAGGACTGTCAGTCATGTGTGCTCGTGTACAGAGCAATGAACTAAGGCTTACTAAGATTTGAAAGTACCCAGCATTTCATCCTTTATCAATGCAAAGCCATCAGTCGTTGTAACCAATTTTACAAGACCAACCTCATGGTGTACTGACGTCAGGTAGAACGGAAAAATTTCTGGCGCATCTTGGTTAGGGTTCCAACTCCAATTTTACACCGTTCCTTCCCATTTGTAGTTGGAAACTAGCATTAATGTAAAATATTTTTGGCGCCATGGAATTCCCCCATATGCCCAAAATTAAGAAGAAGACACATTACAAAACAAAGATTGTATTTAACCAAATATTTGCGAGTTAATGCCGGGCCAGCATGGCAGCACGGTGGGCTCTACGAGCCAAATCCCCGACTGGCTGGGGCGGGGCGAGCCGCCGAGGGGCTGCGGGCTGGCAGTCTGGAAAGAGGCGCGTCTGTAGTTCCAGCACATGTCTCAGTCAAAATGAAAAGGCTTTTTTACCAAGAACGGTCCGTGGCGGGTTTGTGGTCAGATAACTGGCCGCTGATGCCACATAATTCACCAAATAGTCAAAATAATCCCGTGATGGCTCCCAGAAACTAAGAAATGGCGGCTATGCTAAAAGTCCAACATCGAGCAAAACAACGCACCTCTGGTACGATGGGCCACCTCCAATGTTTAAAGTTCAGCGAGAAAAACAACACGCTTTAGGTATGACAGATCACCTCGCACTGTCAGAAGGTCCACGTGGTCCTACACGACGTCACGTGAATTGGTTTTCGCGGATCAACTTCAGTGGAGCATTAACACGCGCCCGGATGGCCGGTTGGATACCCTTCGCTCGAGTAGGGGTTAATTTGACCCCTCTCAGATCTCAGGAACTAAGAGAGCTAGAGACACCAAGTTCTTAGAATGCGCTGTCCTGCGCGTGAGCTCACTTGGGTCAAATATTGAGGTTCCTAGGTCATGACCTTTGGGTCAAATAATGCCAAACAAGGTCACACTCCGGGATGGTGTCCAAAGTACCTGCGGAATCTAGATATATGTCCTAAGCAAAAGCTCACTGGTGCTCATTTAAGGTCATTGACCTCACTTGACCTTTCGAAGATCATGGTGACCAAAATATACAGGACTGCTTTGGGTTTTGCATTTGAATAAGCGACAAAGATTGCGCTGGCAGTATGTTCCCAAGAGCAAAATAATGACCCAGGCTATTTTAGGTCAGTAACGTATTCCGACCCGTAAGCAGTCCATGGAAGATGTATTATGCGGTTCCCGTTACCAATACACTCGAAATGAGCACCAGAAACTATTCCATACAGCAAGCCCAAAAGTAATGGAACAGGTTGGTTTTGGTCTTGATCTCACCTTCACATCTGACCCTAGATCAATGGAATTTGTTCATTCAAGTGTTGTGTTGTCTGAGAAAGTTGCGCAGGGGTGTATGGCTTCGTTTAACACTCCACCTGCTGCATCAGATTGGACGATTACCTCGAAACTGACTTCCCTGAATCCATGACTTGATTTTTATCTGCCCGAGGTCAGCGACCTTACAATTGCATCCAAATTTATGATACTAAGCGATCTGCTATTCAATTTTCCACAGGTACGCAAAATGTTCCCCGGCTACGTCGCGCCGCTCGAAAATCTGCCCCCCCCCCCCCCCCCGCCCTAGTGCGTGTTAAATAAAACATAAGTACGTCAGTGCCAGCACTGCGGAAAGTGAAACAGGGCATGTTGTCCATCCCTGATGTAAGATGCTAGCAAGACACGCCCGTGCAAGGCGGGCCATCCTCATTCTGCATGGAAGACCGAAGAATGACACGGATGCCATGACATGACACACATGACAATGACACGCGTGCCAGTCCGGGACAGAGGGGTTTGAGACGGCTCCGTTCATATTTAACTCCGATGGAAAATACTTGGGCCATCGCGCCGAGTACGTCAACGATATCATATTTGCCCGCAGCGTCGACGACCTGGCAGAACAAGTCAAAAGAAACACACGCTTACCTCGGCTACTGTACGAGATAAGCTGACGACGGGTGCGTGAGGTCGTCTACCTTCCAAATGTGTGTTGCAGCGCCCCAATACCTTTTATACAGTTTTACCCCTAAGTAAAGGTAGCTTGTGTTTTATCACATCGGATGACTTAGTGGCGTTTGCACCAGTTTTACACCCTGCGCATCGACGGGAGGGAGGCCGTTCCTGGCTACGCGAGAAACCGCTAACGGACATGACGAGGCGATTGGTACGGCCGCTTACTGATTGCCTGTGTCGATCCTAAATGATTGCGGATAGTAGATGTTGTGATTCATGAGCACGGAAGTAGTCCTTCAGAGGTGCAGGACTCAGAGTCTTTCCACTGAAGAACAACTCCGGTTCACGGCTCCGACTTGGCATCACACCGAAATGGATGGTCCGCAAGCCTTTTAGTTCTGAATACCATCCAAGTACAACAGAATCATCGAGCCAATTCCGCCTTACGTGGGTGACAATTCAACGGAAGTTGTCGAACTCGGCCAGGGGAAGAGCACATCAGGCAGAGATCCGCAAACGCACCACACTCTCCTTAAAGCTGCTTCGACATGAGTCATCAATGATATCAGCGTGAACACTGAGCAAACGTCACAGCAATAATGTCATGCAACGCACGCAAGGCGAACACTCAATGCCATATCCCACCACATGTCATGCAACTCCCGCAAAGCGCTGAACTTCCGGGTTACGTCATCGTGAAGTCAGTTCCGCCGGGCTGGGCGTATTAACAGTTTAGCGCGAGTCCGCATACCAACGCCCACGGAACAAATTCCATGGTTACTCATGGAAGGCAAAATCCACATTAGTTCTAAAAACAAATCTGGCGGCTTCTCGCGCTGGCCAAATAACCAAGCAAACTTCTGTTTATCAGCTGACTTCACCCAGTCCGATTGAGATGATTGCTTGAATCCGCCCTGGCCTGGTATAATGCACCGTCACGCGCCAGTGCCATGCGGTGCAGTATGTAATCCGTGCCAGCCGCCAGGCTACGAGCGGCGCGGAGCGGCCGACGGGCTTGGAAAAGCTTCGGTCCTGCTCGTGTTGAGTCGTGTCGCAAAAAAAAACATGTACCTGACTCGGGCCCAACAGCAAAAATCTATAACATTGCGAGACGCCCATAATTCCAAGGTCGGCAATCTTACAAAAGGAATTACCACGACGGAAACAGGTCGCGTTGGACCCACCGAACGAAAAACGCATCCCAGTAAATAAGCCCATCGGGACAACAAACGCTGAAGACTAGTGTTGCATAACAGGCGAAGATCAGGAAATGAACACCTCACCGTTGAGGGCGGGCCGTCATACCACGACACAGCTCCTTTCAATCAAGCCAACTACTTTGCAAAGTCGGAAAAACCGACGCCCTTTCAGCAGTCGTCATCCTCGTTTCATCAGGTTTCATACTACACAGGGCGAACTTCCAGCAGGTGCTGAATCCCGGAATCTCCCGCCAGCCCCCGTACATTCCAAACCGCTACACGCTTCTGCTGATGCGCATTGGCTGCCCAAGCACTGTTCGAACCGACCGCCGCACAAAGCTCGGTTGGCGGTGGAACATTGCCCAATGTAATCGGATCACATCCACCGGCAAAATGCCTGATCCGATCGCCGCCACCACCGCTCGGTCCGGCCGGCAGATATCTGACTGCAGAGATGTTGGGAGGGGGGAGGGGGCGACGGCACATTAGGCCCACTGGGTGAGCAAGTCAGGGAGGTCGGAGACAGTGTGCCGGGTGACACCGAGAGCTGGCCGTAAACTCGCCCCGTGGACAACTCGCACGGCCGCGTGCGCAGGTGGAAATCGCTGAGAACGGCTGGTGCAGCACAGGAGCCGGACCAATGAACTGTCAGAGGGAAAATCCTCAATGGAGGGTGGCGCGGCCGCTGCCACAATTGCCGGCCGCTTCCCCCCCCCCCCCCCCCTCCCTCCCCCCACAACCGGTAGCACGTGTCCCAGGATTCTGCGTCTTAAAGATGGGAGGATAATCACAGATTTCACGCACTGCTACACGCGAAAGAGCATAGGGCTTGAAGATCGTTTCATACAGAGGCTGAATGAGAGCTGATGCAGGTCCTTAAAACACAGGGAGACTTTCCTGCCATGTTAAATGAACGCCGCGAGGCAAGCAACGCGATGGTGGCCATGGCCATGGAGCGGCGCAATACCCGCAAAGCAAACAAAATTCGTACGGCAAATCCCACCATGATCGCTATAAATGGCTGACGAGTGGAAAAAGAATGGCTGACGCCATCATTGCAACCAACCGACACCAAAAGGCGATCACGCTTTGTTCCCACGGGACCCCTTGGCAGCCCACTGCCGGCAGCTGGCTGTGTATATTTAGACAGCGGTACTGAAGCACAACGCGGCCGACATATAACACAGGTTTCCGGTCAAAACTAGACGGGATGGGTCACCGGACCATGGCGGACGGGCCTAAACGACGTTTTATCTGATGTTTCTGGCGCCATTCCAACCGCTATGCCAAGGTCATCATGTGGCTCTCTTTCATTTTGGATATTTATTTCTTCAGCTCGAACAACATTTCCCTGCACGTCAAGGAATCCACCCGCACGAGAAGAATCTCAATTGCCCCATCCGAGTCATACCAAAACATACGGGCGAGCCCAGAGAACGCTGCACTTCCAACTCCAACGCAAAGGGGTCGCTGCATACGCCCACGCTCCGGAATGCATTGGTCAAACACGAACTGCGTCGTACCCATTTCCGGTTAGTTTCGTTTGCCACTTTTAGAGGTACCAACGAAATGTCATGTACTTAAGCAGGCGGCGTTCGCAGCTCCTGTGTGTGTCATTTGTGTTCCGCTCTCAGGGGCAGGGTTTCAGAGAAGGGGGGGGGGGCAGGTCCGACCCAGTTTCGCGTCCCCTCGTGCAGTTGGTTGCTAAGCGAAAGAAATCGGGTATTTATTTCAAGATTTGCTTGATTTGTACGGATCTAGCTGTTTTAGGCGTAAGCTGGATGCATAACTGTTGATAAATTATGTCAGGGTGACGGGGGTAAATCCATGGGTGCTGTGGGCGAGGGCACCCCCCCCCCCCCCCTTGTGTTGATCCGTGTTGATCGTGACCTTGTGTTGATCTTGTGTATATATATATATATATATATATATATATATGCGTACCACATCACGGATCAACACAAAGGGGGGTGCCCTCGCCCACAGCACCCATGGATTTACCCCCGTCACCCTGACACATAATTTATCAACAGCTATGCATCCAGCTTACGCCTAGAACAGCTAGATCCGTACAAATCAAGCAAATCTTGAAATAAATACCCGATTTCTCTCGCCATATATATATATATATATATATATATATATATATATATATATATATATATATATATATAATTTATATTCATATACATAATG